TTTTCATCCCTTAATACAGTAATATACTTAAGGAAACTTTTTTCTTAAAACTTTCTTAGAAACTATGCTATCCCCATTTACCCCAAATTTTATGATATTTTCTAAATTTTGGGGTAAATGGGGACAGTCAGTTTCATGCGTTTAAAGCTTATCTAAATTTTTTTCTCCTGCATAAAATTAATCCTGGGAACGTAAATAACAACTTAAAAAAAAAATAAACCCGCAAATATTACCTTTTAAAGGAAAAAAACTTACGTAATTTTTGAAAAATAGCGATTTTGTCCCCATTTATCCCAACTGATCCTATTGACAGAAATTTTTTTGACCATCAAAACTAAAAACTATGACAACATTTTTTTAATTCGAATAAATTGCTTAAATTAGACTTCAAAAAATTATAAAAATGGAACATTAAGAATTTTTTTTAGAAATTTGTTCTACTTAAATAAAATTTTGAAAATTTGTTTTGCAATTAGTTCGATTCTGAAATATTCGAAATAAATTTTCTTGATAATATTCATTACAGAATGAATAAAATGAATTTAATATCTAATATAACATTATAGTTATTTAATGTAAAATATTCATTAACCAATTAAATTTTGTTAGAATAAAAAAAATCGACTTTTTCGACTTTTTTTTGGAATATAAATCGACTTTTTTTGTGCCTTAAAGTCAATCCGAGGCCTGCGAATATTTGAATAGTTTTCTGTGCAAAAATTACAATACATGTGAAATTCTCAATTTTTAATTTTTTTTTTGTTCAAAACGACACTGAACTACTATTTTTTTGCAAGAGAAGTAAAAAAATATTGATTTTATTTTTGTCTTTACAAAATAAAAAAAAAAAAAAAGGAACGGTTTTTCTCTGGCTATTCTGGCCCTCCTTCAACAGTGCTTCTTTAAAAGGCGACGATCAGCAACGTGCTATAATAAATACATTATTATCACTTACTGCAAGCTGTGTAATTGCATTTGCTGTGTCTGCTCTTGTTTCAAAAGAAAACAAGTTTAACATGGTCCATGTTCAGAATTCCACATTGGCTGGTGGAGTTGCTATCGGTACAGCCGCTGGTATGAAACACTTTTTAAATGAATCGTAAACGAATTACGTTCAACAATTCGCATTTTATTTGCAGTAAACAAGCTTTATTCGTGGATTCAGGTATGATGTGTGAACCAATCGGCGCTCTCGTCATTGGCTGTGCTGCAGGTGTGCTTAGTGTTTTAGGCTACAAATATATCACGGTAATCATATTATATTATTATCGCATTTTTTTTTTTTTATTAATCGCACTAAAAAATATTTCAATAATTTCTCATAGGATATAGAAAAATTAATATATATATATATATATTCATAAGGAATTTTTCATTTTTCTTCAAAATAAAAAATATTTTTTCAATTCAAAGAACTTTATCAACTCGATGAAACAGAAATGAAACAAAAAGAAAAACTCAAAAATTTCTATAAAAACGGAAAAACAATTCTACTGTTATTTCAGTTAATCAAGATATAGCTTTTCAAAAATATTTATTTTAGCCCGGAAAAATTCGTTATTTGTTTCTCTTTTTCAATTAAAAAAAAAAAAAAAAAAAAAATTACAAAAGCAATCATTAAGAAGATAAATTATAAAAAGTGTAAATTGAAAAAAGCAATTTACAAGTTTAACAACTCCAAAATTGGATTAAATTTAAAAAAAATGTATAATTAATTAATTATAATTTGACATTATTTTTTTTTTCTATATTATACTACTTATAATAATAAGCATAATCTTGGTTGACACAAGTCAGGGAATTTAAAAAAAATATAACATCGTGCGATTATTAAAATTTTTGGGTCAAAATAAAACATCGATAAAGTTCACAACGTTTATCATCAACGATTGAGAAGAAAAAATATTTTTCTATGCAAATTATTATTATTATTATTTTTGATCTAAAAAATTTTTTTGCAACGTTTCATCAATAATTTTTTGAAAAAAAAATGTCTAGGCAAAAAATTAGTTATTATTTTTTTTTTTAGTTTTGGAGAAAAATATATTATTTCTTTTTTTCAAAAACTCGAATTATTTAATTTGTTTATCAAACTTTTGTATAAAAAAATAACTGAAAAATATAAGTTTAGGAGTAATTAATGTTTATATAATATTATGAAAATGTTAATTTCGAAATTTCAGCCTTTAATTCAAAAGAAGCTAAGGATTCACGACACATGCGGAGTACATAATCTTCATGGAATGCCTGGAGTGTTGGCAGGAATTTTTGGTGCTTTAATGTCAGGAATTGCCTCGGAAGATGCCTACAGTTACTCTCTCTATGAAGTAAATAATAATTAACTTATATGAAAAATAACGTTCTATATATACATATATATGCGGAAAAAATTACAATTATCTAAATTAATTTATTGCAGATTTTTCCAGCTCGTGCTCCCAGTGAGGGAGGAAAACTTGCTGAGATGAGAGACAATTACAATATATCTCCAGGGCTGAATAGAACAGCTGGTCAACAAGCAGCTTATCAATTATTAGCCCTTGTGATATCACTAGTGGTTGCCATTATATCGGGATTAATAACTGGTAATTCACATATTAACATATTATTGTCAATATTAATATCTATAATGAACATTACAAATTTTCATTTAATTAGCAACTTCAATATAAATTGAATGGAATTTATAAAAAAATTTTTTTTGATTTAACTAAATATATTTTAAGTAGAATTAAAAATAAATTTTTAAAAATTTTCAATTTACACAGGTTTACAGATTAAAAATTTTTTTTTTTTTTTTGACAATCGAACGAAACATTTTTTTTTTTTCGATTAAGAAAGAATGTGCCGTAAATTGAAGTCAAGCGAGCTTTTACAAAAAAGTATTTTAAAACAATTTTATAAAATCAGCAAACTAATTTTGAAGTCGTTAGTTTATTACGAGTCACAAATGCAAAAAATTTAGGATAAATATCGTAAAATTAATGAGACATTGTCAAAAGAAAATTGTTATACCGAGTGACTCACAAAAATTCATTTAAACTAAAATCATTATAAATTGTAATTATTTGAACGATTTTATGTGTATTAGCTATATCTGTGAAATACACTATCATTAAGAATAACTAAAAGTAAAAACTTTATCAAAATATATTAAGAATTAGATTCTATCCAAATTTGCAAAAAAACGATAACAATTTTGAAGAAACGTGACAATTATGCACTTAATTGAAATTTTTGAAAATAATTGAATTTCAAAAGATTGTATTAAATTTCATACAATAATTATAATAAGAGAAATTTTTAGTGATTTCTGTTGATGAAGAATTTATTAGAAATCACATAAAAAAAATTGAATTCCAAAAGTTTTTAATTAAAAAATGCTTTCAAATAATTGAATTTTCGAAGAATATTATAAAAATCATTGAAAATAATTGAAATTTTTTGCAAATAATTAAATTTAAAGTGATTTTGAATTGAAAATTTTTGATAATTTTTTTTAAATTGTAAACAATTGTTGAATTTCATAAAATTTTTAATTAAAAAATAATTTAAAATAATTGAATTTGTGAAGAATTTTATATAATTATTGAAAATAATTAATTTAGTGAAGAATCTTTGTTAATAATTTCAACAAATAGAAAGTTGAATTGAAATTTTGAATTTACAATCAAAAAAATTTTTATTAAAAAATAAAACAATTATTTTAGGTAACTAAAAATAAATTAAGGGGAGGGACCGCTGAAATTTTAACACATCAAAATTGAAGCTGTTTAAGGGTGGTCAATTTTTTTCTGACAATATTAATTATTTAAATGTATAATATATCATGAAAAATTGAAAAACTATAAATTTGTTAATAATTTTTAAAATCAAATTCAAAATTCTCGAAAATTTAAAATTTAAACTTCTCTCACAATTTTAATTATTTTTGACTGCCGATTTTTTTATACGCTTGTTTCATGATTCTAAACAATCAAGCGTATGGATTTTGAAAAATTTCAATTTTTTCAAAAAATGAAAATTTTGAAAAATAAAAATATTTGTAAAATTGTTAAAAATTACCATTTGTTGTTTTTCTCAGTAGAATAAGATTTTTGGTTGAAAAAAAATGTTGAAAAAAATTATTACCCCTAAACAAGATCAATTTTGATTGCTTTCAATTTTAGTGGTAATTTTGAAAAAATTCAACTACTTCCACAATTTTCATTATTTTTTATTGTCGAATTTTTTTTACGCTTTTTTCACGATTTTAAACAATCAATCGTATGGAATTTAAAGAAATTTAATTTTTCCAAAAAATAAATTTTCTAAAATGGCTAAAAAATTTTTTTTTTAAATTTTAATAATTTATAATAATTTTGGATCCTAAATTATGCCAGAAAAAAAATTGACACTCTTTAACAATAATAACTTCAGTAGGCTGAAATTTCACCGGTCCCTCCCCTTAAGCGGCATTATTTTTTTTTTTTTTTTTTTTTTTTTTTTTTAGTGGGAAAAACAAAAATGTTTGTAGAGAAATTATTAAAATATTGAAATTTTTGTTTCACTTAGGTTTAATTATTCGAATGTCATTTTGTGGAACGATAAAGGAAGATGAAAAATTCGACGACGCGGTGCACTGGGAATTGGAAGAAGAATCAATGAGTGAGGTTTCAAAACACTCCGATGGAATGCGAGATCAAATGCCAATGGGACACATTTGAAAATTAACTCGCATTTTCCCGTATTTCAAAATAATTTTCCACATTACTCGAGTTGTAATATTGAATTCCATTTTTTTTTTTTTTTTTTTTAAAGGAAAAAAAATGCAAAAACAAAATTTTTCATTTAGAAAAAAAAAACGTAAAATGTCTAAAGAGCATATTTTTAAATTAAAAATTATTTCATTTTAAATTCATAAGTTAGAAGTAGATTTAAAAAAAAAAATGAATCATAAATAATATTACTTATTGTTATAATTTAGTTTAAAAAAAAAAAAAAGAAACGATCAACGTGTATATCATTCTATGAATGTTTTTAATAAAATGTACATTGTATATTACTTTCATAAAAAGACAATTTATAACAACGTGTCGATAATATTATTAACAATCATTTTATTTCATTGGAAAAAAAAAGTAGCTCAGTCTAAAGAAAAACTAATTTCCCCCCCCCCCTCTTCGCAAATTGTAGACAAATTTACACATAATGAAAAAATATTTAATAAACTAGAAAGCATTAATTTCTAATTAAAAAGTTCAATGAGAAAATTATACACGGGTGAAGAACACAATGACAATATTGAAAAAGTAACAAGTGAATTTGAACTTTTTAATTTGACAAAAATTTTCTATTTATATTAAATATTAATTTTTTTTTTTATCAATCTATCTATACAATAAATAAAACATTGGTATATAAAATACAAAATAAACAAAAAAAAAATCTTACCCCAATATGAAGCAAATCTTCCTAATATATATATATAAATTCCCTCCACGTATAATAGAAGCAATAAAACTTTTTTTTTTTTATCTATAATTACTATATACTTAAACTTTCCGTAATTCTTAGCAAATAATGCGAATGTATTCAGTAATTTAAATAGTGGAACATGATTTACTTCATCAGAGCGTGTACCACAGCCTTTGCATTTAATGATTTAAGGTCTGTATAGGTTTGACCAGTTCCAACAAAAACGATTGGCTGGCCAGTGATATATGTCATCGAAATCGCTGCACCAACCTAAAAATAACAAAAAGAAATCATTTTCTACATGAAATTATCAATTGAAAATTTAAAAGAGGATTAACATTAAAAGTTAATGTTAAAATATTTTTTTAAATTTTGCCAATTTTTTTTAGGACAGAAAAGATATCTCAAAAAACATCTTTAACGTTTCGAAACCGGTGTGCCGGTTTCCTGATCAGAATTTATTAATCTATAATTAGGTTTCGAAATGTTAAAAATGTTTTTTGATATATCTTACCTGTCATAAAAAAATTGCCCAAAATTTTAAAAGAAATTATAATTTATTATTAAAGGGGACAAAACATCAATGAAGATTTAATATTAAAAATAATATTTGTATTGTTTATTTCTATTCTATTTTTTCATAATTATTTAGAATTTAATTATTTTAAAAAATTTTATTCGATATAATTATTTTTTAGAAGAATTTTCAAATTCGCAGTTAACAAGATTTCTTTTTTGAAATACAAAAATTTCCAATTCAATTTATGCGTCCCAATGGAAATTATGAAAATTTTGTCGCGAGAAGAAGGAAAAAAGAAAGAAATAAAATGATATCTCTCACTTACCTTATCATCAATAGTATCAAATTTAGTCAGTACGATACCATCGATAATATGAGGATCATTAGAACTGCTGTAATCAGCTAAGGCTTGATTGAATTTGACCAATTGATCAACAGCTTCATTGCCAACAAGTGCCTCACCAACAAAGAGAACAAGATCAGGATCATTAACTTTAATTAATTTAGTTAAAGCTCGCATCAATGGTTCGTTGTCTTGCATTCTTCCCGCGGTATCAACTAAAACAACATCGAATCGCGATTCTTTAGCAAAACGAATTGCTTCCATTGCAATGCCCGCTGCATCTTTTCCATATCCCTTCTCATAAAGTTGTACCATCGTTTGATTTCCATGCTTTTCCGCTGGATGCAATGCATTCAAATGACGCATATGCGTTCTCAGCTGTTCAACAGCTCCAGCTCTAAACAAAAAAAAAAAAAAATTAACATCAATTAATAAGTGAAAAACAAATTAATTTCTTTAAGGGTATGTGGGCAAAGGACTTTTTTTTGTAGTTTCAAACTTTCTTTGAAATAAAAAATTATTTCGGATGAAAATTTTGGAGAAATAATTTTGTTTGGTACAAGGGAAAAAAAAAGTAATAAAACTGAATAAAAATATATGCATTTTCACACACCTGAATGTATCGCAAGCAGCAATTAAAACACGAAAATTATTTTCAATCAGCCAAAAGCAAATTTTTGCTAAATTTGTCGATTTTCCCACACCATTAACACCGCAAAATGCCATAACATAGGGACGATTATTTTTTTTCGCTTCAAAAGCATCACGTAAAATATCGACTCTTCGTTTTGGCGATAAAATTTGTACCAATGCATCGGTGAGTGTTGCTTTCACTGTACTTGCAATACTTTCAAATGTACCAAGTACTTTGCCCTCAAGTTTTGTTGCAACAGAATCACATAATTTTCCCGCAATATCGGATGCAACATTTTTTGAAATAAGATGATCTTTAAATTTCTCAAGTACAGGAAGCATATCATCGTGTTTCAATGATTTATTTCCCACAAGACTTTTAAACATAGAAAACATTCCACTTGATTTCTTTTGTACTGTCGGTTTATTTACTTTCACTTTATCATTATTCTTATCATTATTATCAACATCATCATCATCATCATCATCATTCTCGTCAATTTCCATTTCCGAATCACTGTCCACTTCTAAATCTTTAATTCCACCCTTCATCATTCCTATTAGCTGGAAAATTTAAAGAAATATGAAAACAATTAAAAAAATTTTATAAAAATGTTTCACCTGTTTTTTGATTAAAATTTGAGAATAAAATTTAAATTTATGTATTAATTCATTTACAAACAAATTCACTTCTTTAAAAAATCAATTTAAAATTTAAATTCTTTTAAAATATTCAATTTTTTGATAAATTAATTATTTTTTAATTCGACTATATTTTTAAAAAACAATTATTAGGTACCTATATACTTAATTTAATTATCTTTAAATTTTAATGATTTTATAAATTCAATCATTTTTATTTATGGGTCAAACCATTATATTTCAACTAAAGTGGTCGCTGACTAATTTTTAAAAATTATAATACTTTGCAGGAATGATTTTGAAGTTATCAAGATCACGAAATGAAAAGAATTTTATTAAAAATTTAAATATTTATTGTAAAATATGAATTTAAAGTATATGAGGTGCTAAAAACTGTCAATTTTTTAGCCATTAGAAAATATGCAAAAAAACATAGAATTTACCATAAAATAAAAAAAAAATTATTGGAATTTACTAAGAATGAATAAATTTATCATTATCAATTGATATAATTATTTAAAGATGTGAAGTAATATATAAAATATGATTTCCAAGTGCACCTGTCAAATAACCTAATTTTGCGATTTTTATTCATTAATTATAAAAAATAGAAAACATTAAATTAAATAAAAACTTACCAAATATGAAGTTCTTGCCATAAACTTTTAGAATTTCTTTGCACTTTTCTTCTTTTCTATTCATAAGTATGAAAAATTTAAAAAATAAAATAGCTACTTTGTCTATTTTCACTATTTTTGAAAGTCAATAACTTTCTTGGAGAAAAATGAAAAAATATGGGGTTTCGAAAATTATTTAAATACACACTACATATACATTCACTGAAAATTTCGCATTGGTCCCGAAGCTATTTTCGAAGATAAAGTAAATTAAAAATTTCGTACTTTTTAGGCTATATTGACATGGGTTTTAAAGGTATTAAATCAATGTGAAGTTTGTCGTCACCACTGAACCACCTTCACATTGATTTAAAACCCATGTCAATATAGCCTAAAAAATACGAAATTTTTAATTTACTTTATCTTCGAAAATAGCTTCGGGACCAATGCGAAATTTTCAGTGAATGTATATGTAGTGTGTATTTAAATAATTTTCGAAACCCCATATTTTTTCATTTTTCTCCAAGAAAGTTATTGACTTTCAAAAATAGTGAAAATAGACAAAGTAGCTATTTTATTTTTTAAATTTTTCATACTTATGAATAGAAAAGAAGAAAAGTGCAAAGAAATTCTAAAAGTTTATGGCAAGAACTTCATATTTGGTAAGTTTTTATTTAATTTAATGTTTTCTATTTTTTATAATTAATGAATAAAAATCGCAAAATTAGGTTATTTGACAGGTGCACTTGGAAATCATATTTTATATATTACTTCACATCTTTAAATAATTATATCAATTGATAATGATAAATTTATTCATTCTTAGTAAATTCCAATAATTTTTTTTTTATTTTATGGTAAATTCTATGTTTTTTTGCATATTTTCTAATGGCTAAAAAATTGACAGTTTTTAGCACCTCATATACTTTAAATTCATATTTTACAATAAATATTTAAATTTTTAATAAAATTCTTTTCATTTCGTGATCTTGATAACTTCAAAATCATTCCTGCAAAGTATTATAATTTTTAAAAATTAGTCAGCGACCACTTTAGTTGAAATATAATGGTTTGACCCTTATTTCTTATTTTTACAATAAATTCAATTATTATATAAAATACAATTATTTTATAATTTAATTATATATTTTAAAAATTCAAACTTTTTAAATGTTAAATTATTCTTATACATATTTTATCAGTAATTTAAATTTAATTAATTCCTTGTATTTAGAATTTATTTTGAAAAATGCAGGCCTCTGATTAACTTTAAGGCGCAGAAAAAGTCATTTTATTCGATTTACATGCCAAAAAAAGTAAAAAAAAAAAGTCGATTTTTTTTTAAAATTAAATTTAATTAGTTAATAAATATCAGAATCGAACTAAAACAAATTTTCAAAATTTTAATTAAGTAGGACAAAATTTCAAAAATAAATTCTAAAAGTTCAATTTTTTAAAAATATTTTCAACTCTGATTTAAGAAATTTATTCAAATTTAAAATTTTGCCATAGTTTTTAGTTTTAATGGTCAAGAAAATTTCAGACAATAATTAAGTTTTACAGATTTTTAAATAATTGATTTGTAAACGATTTTAAATTTGAAATGAATTTTTTGCAAATTTAAACTGCTGTAGCTTTTTTAGGGTTTCGTGGCCCAGGGCCGAAAGCCTTATAGTTTCGCTTTGGCGTCCGTCTGTCCGTAGTACACTCGTATGGTTTCCATGGCAACCGTTACCAAGACAACTGTTTCCAGGGCAACCGTTTCCATAGCAACCGTTACCATGGCAACAGTTCCCATAGCAACCATTACCATGGCAACCGTTACCAAGACAACTGTTTCCATAGCAACCGTTTCCATAGCAACAGTTTCCATAACAACCGTTACCATGGCAACAGTTTCCATAACAACCGTTACCATGGCAACAGTTCCCATAGCAACCATTACCATGGCAACCGTTTCCATGACAACCATTACCATAGCAACCATAGCAATTAGCAAATAATGTAATTATAAATTATTTATTATGTACAAATAACTTCTGATCTGAATTTAAAAAGCCACGAAACCCTATATGTAGGTGCTTTGCGCCTGCTTCTTTTCCTGATTTTTTTAAATTTCTATCAACAATTCAATTTTAGAGTTTTTATTCAAAACTTTTTTAAATAATAAAATTTTTCAAGAAATATTAAAATTATTAAAAAGAATTTGATTTTTATCCGTTTTTATTAATAAATTTTTTACTAATTTCCATTGCAATTTTAAAAATAATTAAATTTTATAAGGTTTTAAATTGTTATTTTTTAAAATAGGGTAAATGCACTAATTACGGCGCGATTTGAGTCAAAATACCTTTGAAATAAAAAATTTGCCATTTCTATAGTATAAAGTTAATTTGTAAGTCTTATTAAACTAAAAGGTTATGTTATTTAGACAATAAAAAAATGGTTAAACTTTTTAAAAATCAATTATTTAAACAAATATAAGAAATTAAAACTAATACCTTAATTTTCTATTACAACGCGTTTGTATCAGTTACGATGTACCAATTATGGTGACAAAAATTACGTGTATTATGAAGATACTTTGCCCACCGTAATTGGAGCCAATGGAAATCTTAAAAATATTTCAATTACGGCGAGGGAAAAAGTTTGATCTCAAATAATTAAATTAATAATTGTTTAAATGTACATCTTCATTACTAATGGTATGAAAAAAAGATTTAAATCATTTTGCAACAGTTATATTAAATATAATAGTAATAATAGTTATTTTTTATGAACGCGCTGTAATTGATGCACTTACCCAAATTCAATTTTAAGTAATTTTAAATTGAAATTTTTTAAAATAATTGAATTCAAGTGATTTTGAATTGAAATTTATTGGTGATTTCTGTTGATGAAAAATTTATTAGAAATTATAGACAAAAATTGAGCTTTAAAATTTTTAATTAAAAAATGCCTTCAGATAATTGAATTTTTGAAGAATGATTATAAAAATCATTTAAAATAATTAAATTTCGAAAGAGTTAGAATTAAAATTATTAAATTTCAAAAAGTTTTAGATGAAATATTTTAAAAATATTAAGATTTTAAAAGGTTTTAAAAATAATTAATTTAGAAAAAAATTTTAGTTCTAAATTTGTTGAATAATTGAAATAAAGAAGATTTTAAGAAGATCTGCATTTTATACTAAAAAAGACGCATTTTGTTTAAAAATTTTGTAAAAAAAATAAGTCTAAAAAGTCGTATTTTTGAAAAAAAAATCAGAAAAAGTCGAATAATCTCAGGCCTGAAATAGTATAATAGAATTTGTGAAGAATTTCATTAAAATTATTGAAAATAATTAATTTAATGAGAATTTGAGTTAAAAATTTGTTAAATAATTGAAATAAAGAAGATCTGAAGAACATCTCCATTGTACACTAAAAAAAGACGTGTTTTGTTTAAAAATTTTGTAAAAAATGTAAAAAAAAAAGTCGGTAAAAGTCGTATAATCTGTGGCCGGAAAATGTGAATTATAAAAAAAAAATAAATAATAATAATAAAAAATACATTAATTTTTGGAAAAATTTTAAGTAAATTTTTTTGCACTATTTTTACTTTTTCCAAATTCTAACAGGAAAATATTAAGATTAAAAATTTGTTTTAGATTTTTAAAAAATGAAGATAATTAATTGAAAAATACTAATATTTGGAAAAAAAAATGTTACTTCGGACATTTTTGAGCTCACCTAATATTATCTAGTACAACTTTCAATTTTTTGCACATAAAAGAAAAATTGAAATATTTAAAAAAAATTAAATACTTATAAAAACAAAATCAAGGTAAATTCATAGTTTATAACAAAGCACAATTAAATAAACGTCATTTTGTATAGTTTTAAGATTGGTTGACTGCATCTTTAATATGAATATATAATTTTTAAAAATAAAAAAAAGTTTACCGTCTTATCAGCTGGCACATAATTATTTTCATCTTCCGGTTTATCTTTAGTACGTTCCAATGTCGCTAGATCCTTCGTTGTACCACCCAATTCCCAAACACGTGGTTTCTTACCTGCTTTTTCGGGTTTTGGACTTTTTCTAAAATTTGATATTTATTAAATAAAAATTTGTAATTTATTTAATATTTGAAAATATCAATGAAATAATTCTCTCTCACTGTTTATCAGCTTTCTTTTTTTGACCAGAAAACTTTTGAGCGAGCTTCATTCGATTCATTAACATAACATCCTCAGTGTCATCTTCATTTACTGTATTTTGTACTGGTTTCATCGATTCAATATGAGAAATTTCTGGTGTAATTACTGCAAAAAAAAATTATAATTAAATAACAAAAATTGTGCAAATATTTTTACAAAAATTTCATTTTGTACACAAAACAAAAGAACAATAATTTATAGGAAAATACTAAATCTACGAAATCAAAGCAGAGTAACTAGAAAAATTCACTAGAATACAAAAAACTTACTCAAATCATCTTCAGCAGCATTGGTCCCTTTCTTCTTTTTACCTACAAGCGTAAAACACCATTTTCCCTCTTCATTAGTAATTTTAATAGTTTACCAAAAAAAAAAACTTCCCAATTATTATTAAAAAGTAAATTCTAAATAATCGAAATTTTAAACAGAGTGTTAAAAAAACGAAACGAAAACAATTTTTTCGTAACGATTTTTCTGTTTAAAAATTAAGAAAAAAAAAGCGTCAGAGAAGAATAAGCCATATTTTCTATTTCTTTTTTTCAAAATATCAAAAAAAAAATACCTTGTTTTTTATTTTCCTTGTCATCTTTCCTTTCAATCATACTGGCTACAGTTTTTTTTGACTTGAAACTTTCGTCAAATGTTCGCATTTGTTTTGGAATTTTTGCCTGCGTTTTTCCCCAATTTTCCGCAGAAAGTAAAATATTGTCATAATTCTTTTTGAAATCATAATTAAGAAACCATTGAGAATTTTGTAATTCATTTTTGAAACGATCACGAAATTCCAAATGAATGTCATTCAAAAATTTATCAACATACGAAAGTTGAAGTATCTTTTGATACGCAACGACAAATATTAATTCGAATTCATTATCCAACTTATACTGAAGACGAAGCGATTCATGCTCGTAAGTGTGATTTCCTGTACGTTCCTAAAAAAAAACGTAGTATTTGCAAAAAAAATTTCTCTCAAAAACTTAATTCCAAATAATTTCGAATAAAAAAGTAATTACAGATTTAAAAAAAAAAAACTCCGATTTCATCAGAATTTAATTTAGATTTCAATATTTAAATTAAAATATGCTTTTAACATCACGTGTTTAAATAATAATAATAAAAATAAACATTATCCAAAAACGGAAAAAAATCGAAAAAATGAGATAAGAATTCTCGGTTTTTAAAAAAAAAACTTGCAAATTGAGCAATTCTTGTAGTTACATTAGACTTTAGTTGCATTTTTAATTTGCAATATTTAAATATAAATATTCACTATACCATACTGTTCAATTTCAAGGTAATCATATGGCTTACCTGTAAAATGACACTTCGAATAAGTGCATTAACGCTGGGTGTAAAAATTTGTGATGTACTCTGAAAACACCAGAGCACAATTCCACCTTTACTGAATATTGTAAAAAGATCGAGCATTGTTGCTAAACAAAAAATACAAGACACTTATTTATTATTTAAACGAATTAAGAAACCTAACCTACAGTACCACACACAGATTGTGACAGATTGAGTCTCGTGTTAAATTTTGTCTGTACACGTCAGATCATTACACACACAGCAATCGTCAAGCTTACCAATCTTCAAAACATAAAAGGCGGGCTTTTCAAATTTTTCTAAAAAAAAAAATTTTTTTCTAAAAAATTATGATTATTAAAAAAAAATTGTACTTACCGTAATCTTTAATTACTTATACTTATTACTTATTTAAATATTATTAACATAATATTTATAAAATTAAAAGTATTGTTTTTAAATTTTCATTATTTTTCTTAATAAAAATGAAAAGAATAAATTTTTATTAGTCCACTTTTTAAAAATTCTATTTTAGAATTCGAAAATTCTATTTCTATTCAAATATAATAAATTTTAAAATATGCGTAATTTATATAAAAAAAAATGTATATGTATATAATATACAATAACCTTGATGCGCCCCTGAAGGATAGTTGCGCACTCGCTATTATATCTTTAAAAATGAAGAAAATTACATTTTCGACCGTGAGAAAAAGTGAAAAGACAAAGATAAACTCGGGAAGCTATAAATGTTAAAAAAAGAAGGATAAAAAAAAGTATATAATATTCATGAAGGATATTACATTCCTTTGAAAAATGTCATTCATTTGTAACCTCATCTAACCTCAAATTGAAACGTCAATAACTAAATAAACGTAAATAATTCACAAAAAAAATAGATAAAAAATAAAAACTTATTTCTAAAAAGTTAGAAAAACAAATAAAAAATAGAAATAATAAATAATTAATACAAATTTAATTGAATAATAAAGGGGTCTTAAAACCCTATATAAAATAACATGAGACTTCAATCTGATGATAAATCCAGTTATTTCGAGAAGGAAGAGAGGGAGAGATGAAGGCAAAAGAAAGATAGTGACAGTTTTCTTGTATATGTGTGAGTGTATATGTGTGTGTGTGTATTTGTAGTAAGCTGTTTTGCTCCGCGATATTTTGTCAATTTTCAACTGTTTCCCATCTGCTAGAAAGCAGAAAAGTTTTTTAAAAATGTTAGGTATTAGTGAAGTGCGGTGATTATAGACGAAAATTGTGTGTGAAAAGAAGATTAATAGGTGTTTTATAAAGAAAAGGTCACATCTGCAAAAGTGTCGGACGCGTTGTAGATTGCCTTTGGGTTTAAATTGGGACCTTACGTCCGTCCGCTGTCAAGAATCACGGAATCAGACAGCAGGTGAGTTGATATTGTCCTCTTTCTTCTTTGTCCTTTCTCTTTTTTTTTCCCAAAAGATTTCTTTTTATAAATTTATATGATTCATATGTAGAAAAATAATGAGATATCGATGTGTCCGTAAAAAATGAAACTGGCACAGAAATGGAGGTTGTTGTTGTGAATATTGATTTCTATTCTAAACGAACGTAGTCGAACATCAGCCAGGCTGTTTTATTTTTTAAATTAATATAAATAACAAGCTGTATAGTTTGAAATATTCTTGAAAAATTGCATTATATATTTTGACATTTCACTTTTATTGGACGCAATCTGTTTTGATACGAACGTAAAAAAAAATGTATTTTCGATTAAATTGAACGTTTTTTTTTTCCATAAGAAAGTTGTATTGTTTTATGGTATTATTATTATTTTAAATGAGGTGTTTAAGTACAGTGTAATTAATTACGATTGTCATGGTAATTATCTTTTTGATACATAAAGAGTACTTGAACTTCTTCGAATCGTAAATGAGATTGTTTCATTTTATATAGGTGTTAGTGAGATAAGAACTTGACATCTATCAAGTTTTATCGATTAGTCATATTTATCCAAATATACGTTTTGCCTGGGGCTTTTTTAGTATGTGTATTTCGAAACATTAATTAATTATAATAGTCGGAAAGTGTTCTTTAAAAACAAAATAATTCGCAAGGATAATAGTTTTTCATTTTTGATTGCAACAGGTTTTACGTATCTATGAAAAAACTACTTTAAATTCTATAAAAGAAGTAATTTAAAGTGATAAGAAATTTAAATTCATTTTAAACATTATTATTTCATAAACAACTGTCTTTTATTTTTTCTACTAATTTATTTTTTTGTTTTTTCAATTTTTTTTAGTATTTATTTTCAAAAATTCGAAATATTTTTTAATTATTTTGTTTTTTTATTTTTATTAATTTTTTTTTTGTTGTGACTTAAGACACGTTTTTTAAATTTGCGATTTTTACATTAAGCAATGTTTTCTTTTAAATTGACTACCGGGTTACAAAATTTTATTTAAATTAACGCATTTTTATTGTGTTCATGTTTAATAAAGGAAAAAAAAAAGAATAACAGAATTGTTATAAAGAAACTTGATTTCCATATAGTGGTCACTCTTAACGAAGGTCAATTATTGTTGTTATTATTATTATTATGAGATATGCTCCACATTCATACATCATCAAACTGTTTATTATAAAACAAACATTTTAATAAAATAAAATTATGATTATAATTTTTTTAAAAAATAAGCCAAAAGTTTTGAACGTTGAAATGAACGAAATTTTTTTTGCATCTTCTTTAAGTAAGAATTTTATTACAAAATATTGTTTTAAATATCTAAAAAGAAGTTATTAATTTAATAATTGTTTAATTTACTGTTTTATTTTAAATTGCCATTATAATTTTTTAATAATATTTATAGATTTAAAAAAATATTTCGTTCATTTGAATGTTCAGAACTTTTGGTTCACTTTAAAAACTATATTTAATAAAATAAAATTATGAATATAAATTAAATCATATAAAATATACTAATAATAAAAATATTTTTTGATAAATTTTTTTTTTCTAAAATTTGCGTTTTTTTATTTTGAAAATTAATTACATTTTTTTTAAATATCATTATAAAAAAGAAATCTATTTACATAATTTGAATGAGGAATTTGAAAAATATTTAATTTGCAATAAACGAGTTAGTAACTCAAGAGAAATGTAACACGCGGAAGGAGGATGTGTTCTTAAATATCATTAATTTAAAACTTTCAAAACTTAAAGCACATATATGCATGTATATATATATATATATACATTAACCTATTACATATACAAAAAAATATATATATATTCAATACGTGTTACTTTCACTCTCTTTAACTTCTCATTGAAGTTGTATATTTGTTTCACTTGATCATAAAATGTATTGATTGGTCGTGCGTTTAGCTTATATATATAGGAAGGTCAGCGTCATAGGAAAGTGAAACACAAGGGAAAATGTTAAATAAAAGTTGACCCGCAAAAGGAAACAATGGTTCTAAACAAGTTTCTCACATTTGCTCTATTTGCTCGCATCTTTAAATTGCAATCTTTCACAGCGATGAGAGAGAGCAGAAAAGAAAAAAAAACATTGATCAGGATTTTTTTTTTATTTATAATTAAGAGAGAGAGGATAATTTTTTGAAATATTTCACATTTTTTAAAATTCTATTTCTTAAAAATTTTTTTATTTTCAATTTTGATTTTCAATTTTTATTTAAAGAAAGTAATTTTTGAAAAAATTTAATTATTATTATTTTTATTGAATTGATGAAGGAAAATTATAGAAAAAGATTTTTTTTAAATAAAATATTAATAGGTAATTTTTGCTGTAATTTATTTAAATAAATAAAATTACATTATAAACATCATATTTTATTAATAATTTAATACTTGTACAACTAAATTTACAATTTAATTTCAAAATCTCGAATAAATTAGGAAAAATTCCAATTAAAATTGAAAAAATATCTAAAATTAAAATAATAAATTAATATACAATTTAATAATAGTTAAATGATAATGTTCCATTATTTTTATATAATTATTATTAATTAAAACATTAAAAATAAATATTGTTAATAAAAATATTTTTCTCTATTTTTGTTTTAATTTTAAAACATTGGTGAACTTCACCAAAATTTATGATCAACTATTACTGAAAAAAAAAAATATATTTTCCATTTAGGAAAATAATAATTAATTTTTTTACCTAGAAATTTTTCTTTTAAAAATTGTTTATCAAGAAATGTTGTAAAAATTGATAATAAAAAAAAATGTTTAAATAAATAACAAAAAAATTATAATAATTTGTACAGAAATATATTTTTTTTTTCTAAATCGTTGATCATAAACGGTGTGTGAACTTCACCTGACGTAATTAAAAATTAATTTGAAAATAATATTAAAATGTTATAAATGAAATATTATTCAAATTTTTATTATTGACATTAATTAATTAATTTTTTAATCAAGAAGCATTGTTAAAAAAAATTTTTTTAATAACAATTTTCCTTATTTACATGATTATTATCGTAAATGTTAAAATATAACAAATTTTATAAAAATTATTATTATTTTTTTTTAGACAATCATGTCAACTAGTACTATACCAGGAGTTCCTTCAACCATGGCTTCTGCAGTTAATGCCACGACGGCAACATTGATAAATGCGATGAATGTTATGGTGGCAAAAAGCGATAATATCGAACCCACTCCTATATTTCTACAAACAAAAGCAGCCCAGGGCATCGCTGGAGCATTCGTAGCATTAGCACTTTTCCTAACATGTCAACAAGTACGTAAATACAATTTTTTTTTTTTTCTTCAATTACAATATAAATTATCATTTATAATAATATTTATTATTATCAGAGTTGCCACAAGTCAGGGAAATCAAGAAAATGTCAGGGATTTAAAAAAAAAAAGTATTGGAAAAATTTTGTAAACCTAGATTTGCTATTCTAAGGTACCTAACATGTTCATATGTTAAAAATCAAACTGTCCATCAAAAAAAAAAAACATTGAATTCTTCATGAATTTATTTTTTTTTTTATCTTGAAAATATTTAAATTTCTTTGAATTTTAAAACAAAACTACAAATTATTAAAATTTTATAAAATAATATTTATCGTTTAAAATACTATAAAAATTACAGTTTAAGATAAACGGCAAAAATTCAAAATTAAGAGGAAATATTCAAATCTAAAGAATTAAAAATGTAATTTAAAAAAATTGTTCATCGTCAAAATTCATTCAAATTCATACAACTGCCTTGTTAAATTTCTGTTTTCCAACATCATACAAATTTCAGACAATAATTAAATTGTAGAAAATTTTTAATTATAAATTTTTTTAAATAATTATATTTTTGAAAAACTATTAAAATTATTTAAAATTAATGATTTGGAGAATAATTTTAGATGAAAATTTATAAATACTTAAATTTTCGAATAGTTCCTATATTAAGATTTTTATAATTTATTAAATTTCAGAAGATTTGAAATTTTTTGTAAATTTGAATTGAAGATTTTTTTCTACAAATTTTTAACAACAATTGAGTTTTAGAAAATTAAAAAAAAAACTATCAAAATTATTTAAAAACATTAATTTGTCAAAGAATTTTAGATAAAAATTTATAATTACTTAAATTTTCGATTAGTTCCTTTTAAGATTTTTATAATTAATTAAATTTTAGACAATTTAATAATTGATTTAATAATTGGGTTTTAGGAAATTTAAAATTATTTTAAATAATTAAATTTTAGAAAAACTAATATTAATAAAAAATAATTATTTGGCGAAGAATTTTTCGTAAATTTGAATTGAAGATGATTTTTTTAAAATTATTAATAATAATTGAGTTTTAAAAATTAAAATTGCGTTAAAAGCAATAATTTTAATTTGGTAATTGCTTAAATAATTAAATTATTGATGAAGTTTATTGCATTTTTTAAAAATGATATTTGCAAAGATGTTTAGTTAACTTTTTTTTTATAAATAACAATTATATAGATTTAATAGAAATAAATCAATATTGAAAAATTTTGCAATTAAAAATTAAGACTTTTTTTATTTTTAAAAGATTTTAAACTAAAAATTGCAAAAATAATGCAATTATCGAAGAATTTATTCAAAATTATGAACGAATTAAGTTTTTTTTTGAAAATAATAATAATTTAAATTATATTTTGTAAGTAATTGAAATTTCATAAAATTTGATTGAAAACTTTGAAAATAATTGAATTTTTAAAAAGAATTTCATTAAAACTTTTTGAAAATATAAGTAATTGAATTTTTTTTAAAGAATTTGTGTTACACTTTATACACTGTGTTTGTTCAACATAATTTTCATTTTTGACAATTTATTTTAATAGAATTCACATTTGATAAAAAAAAAAAGAAGAACAAAATTCGAAAAATGTCAGGAAAAAACACAAAATATTGTCTGGAATCCACGAAAAAACTATAATGAAAATTTTGTGGCATCCCTGAATAATAATTATTATTATTATTATGTAGATATTTAATTTGAAGAATGAATAAGAATAAAAAATAAAAAAAATGTTTCTTCACAGATTTATCAGCACCTGAGGTGGTACACAAATCCAACGGAACAACGTTGGATAGTGAGAATTTTATTCATTGTACCAATTTATGGGACATATTCGTGGATTTCATTGATGTTCTTTAATAGCGAGAGTTATTATGTTTATTTCTTCACAGTAAGAGATTGCTATGAGGCATTTGTCATTTATAATTTCTTGACATTGTGCTACGAATATCTTGGCGGTGAAGGTAACATTATGTCTGAGATACGTGGCAAACCAATACGATCGAATTGCCTTTATGGAACATGTTTTTTAGTTGGAAAAACATATACAATTGGTTTTTTGAGATTTTGCAAACAAGCGACATTACAATTTTGTTTGGTTAAACCAGTTATGGCGTTTGTCATAATATTTCTCCAGGCATTTGGACATTATCGCGATGGTGATTGGTCACCTGACGGTGGTTACATTTATATTACAATCATCTACAATATCAGCGTTTCACTTGCCTTATATGGACTATTTCTCTTTTATTTTGCAACAAGAGATTTACTCACTCCATTTGATCCGGTTCTTAAATTTTGCACTGTCAAGAGTGTCATCTTCTTGTCCTTCTGGCAAGGTATTTTTCGATTTTTCACTTTCATTGTAAAATAATTTATGTATTCATTTTATTTGGGTATTAGTAAAAAAAAAAAAAAAAAATTCTTGAATTATTTTAAAATAACGGGGTTAGCCACAAGTCAGGGAAAAACTATCCGAATTTCAATTTACCAAAATTTTAATTTATCAAAAATTCAGTTTACCCAAATTTTAAACTTAGGGTTGCCACTGGTCAGGGAATTTTATAAAAAGTACTGGAAAAATATCAAATTTCTAAAAATGCTACTAAAATTATAATTTTCGAAATTTTCAATTTAAATTTTTTGCTTCTTAAAGTTATTGTCTTTGATTTTTATAATTGTAGGCCTAGGCTCGACTTTTGAAAGAAAAAATAAGTCATTTTAGTCGGTTTACATTACAAGAAAAGTCTAAAAAGTCAATTTTTTATTTTGAATAAATTTAATTAGCGTTGATAAATATTTTATTATTATTAATATAGAAATTAAATAAAATTTTTTAATTATTTTTCTTTTTAAATCACCGAATTAAACTCAGACAAATTTTCAAGATTTAAATTCAGTTTCAGAACAAATTTTGAAAAATAATTTAAAGTTTCATTAAAATGAAGAAAATTTTTCAAGTCTGATTTATGCACATTATTCGAATTCAGAATTTCGGAAAATGATTTAAATAATTAAATTTTCGAAGAATTTGATTGAAATATTATATTGAAAAAAAAGAAAAATTTTTAATAAAAATTTGTGAAATAATTGAATGTCAGAAGATTTTTAATTAAAATTTTTAAAATAATTGAGTTTTAAAGAATTTGAGTTAAAATTTTTTTGGAAGTAATTAAATTTCAGAAGATTATAAATTGAAACTTTCATTAATTTCATTTGATAAAATTTTTTTTACAAACTTTAAAGTATAATAGAATTTTAGAGTATTTTTAATTTAAAAAAAATTTTATTTCCCTGAATTGTTGAAAAACTGTATTAAAGTACCTAATTAAAAAAAAAATTAATTTATCGAAGAATTTTAAATAAAATTTTTAAAAATAATTGAATTATAGAGAATTTTTAATTGAAAAATGTTTTTAAAAATTGAATTTTCGATTTTTGAAAATTTCAATTAAAATTTTAATATAGGTACTTGAATTATTGAAATTTTTCAAAAATTACATAAATAAAATTTTAATTTTAAAGAATTAATCGTTAAAAAATATTTTATGTAATTGAATTTTTGAAAAACTTGATTAAAGTTATTAGAAATAATTAATTCAAAAAGAAATTGAAGTTAAAAATTTTTGTTTTGGAAGAATAATAGTTAAAATTTTTTGTAACTAATTGAATTTCAGAAGATTTTTAATTAAAATTTTCGTAAATTTGGAATTTCTGTAGATATTTCATAAGCTTTAAACAATAATTAAAGTAAAGAATTTTAGATAAAAAATTTATAAATAAATGTATTTTAGAAGAAGAGTTCCAGTTAAAATTTTTAGAAATAATAATTGAATTTCATGAGATTATTAATTGAAACGTTCATTTTGAAATAGTGAAATTTTTTTAAAAACTTTAGACAATAATTGAATTTTAATGAATTTTCAATTGAGAACTGTTTTAAATCATGGTAATTTTCGAATACTTTGTTTTAAGTTATTGAAAATGAATGATTTTGCAAACAATTCAAGTTAATAATTCAATTTAAAAAAATTTTAAAAAGTCGAAAAAGTTGTGCAATCTTAAAATTTTTTTATTAGGATCAGGGAAAAAATTTTTATTTTGACTAGAAATCAGGGAAAAACAAAATAATATTTTTGTGTCAACCCTGAAACTATTAAAAATTTAATTGATGAAAAATTCAAATTCTAAATATCGTTTTTTTAATCTCATATTATTATATTACATTATAATTCATTGAATTTAATTTTTTAAAAAACAAATTTTAATCTCAGAGAAATTGTAAATTTTATTCTTGTGGCAACCTTTTAATAATAATTTAAGAAAATTTTTTAAATTAATTGTCAATTAAAGAATTTTGCGATTCAAATATTGTAAAAAAAAAAAAAAATTTTATTTCAGGTGTGCTGTTGGCTATTTTTGAAAAGGCTCAGGTTATTTCGCCTGTTATTAACAGTTTAGAACAATCGACAAGTGCTGGTACTGTGTCAGCTGGCTATCAAAATTTTTTGATTTGCATTGAGATGCTCTTCGCCGCAATTGCCCTACGGTATGCTTTTCCATATCAAGTTTATGCAGCTGGTTGCGTCACTGACTCGAGGGGACGAAGTGTCACAATGCAAAGTATTAGCAGCAGCCTAAAGGTGTGCAAATTTTTTTTATCCCATTTACTTTAATTACAAAATTTTCCACTCAATTTGCAAAGAAAAAAAAAATATTTTATAAACAAATTGTATTTTTATCCACTTAAAGAAAAATTGTTTACATTTTTTTTTTAATGGAAATTTCGAAATTTTTTTATGAATGAAATCTGTTTTTTAATATAATTATATAAAGACAATTTTCTTTTATTATTTTATTAATTTAATTATTATTATTATTATTAGGAATAAATTTGTTTTTAATTTTTTAATAATTATTTTTTCTTTCTTTTCTTCTTTTTCTTACACAGGAGACGATGAATCCAAAAGATATTATGACTGATGCCATCCATAATTTTCATCCGCAGTATCAACAATATACTCAATACAGTTCTGGTAAGTATAAATGTGACAAATTTAATTGTTGTATAGATAAAATTTAAATTATTCAAGCATTAAAAATAGTTTTTTTGTACAAAGTTTTTTATTGTGGCATGCCAATAAAATAGCCAGATTCAGTGTAGCATGTGCAACGAATGAAAAAAAAAAAATACCATTCATTTTAATCATTTTTATATTGAATCTCATATTTTCAATATATTTTTTTATTTTTTATTTAATTTGCCTTGCTAAAAAAAAAAAAGTTGCCATATTAAATATTTTCATTTAAAAATAAAAAATCTATTTTCAAAATAAATTTTTAAAAAATAGAATTCAAAATTATGAATTTTTCATTTTTGTTCATAATCTAGAAAAATATTTTTTGAAATATACTTCACTAACAGCACAAAAGCATTATTCACAGCGCACTAATTAATCTAAAACAGTCAGCTAGAACTTGAAGAGCTTCAACATTCTTTTTTTTTTCATTATTTAAATTTATTTTTTTAAATTACCTTATTTTTTTTCATTATTGCCGCATTTGTAAATATATTTTGCAATTTTTATCCCTCGCTGACTGTTTTTTTTTTTTTTACTTTTTAATTTTTTAATAAAATTTTGCAATCAGATTATCACTGCAAATGATAATAATTGTCATCGGATTAACTCTGATTGGAGTTGTTGTTCAAAGGTGTACAAAATAAAATTGTATAACACACGCTTAAAACACTGCAAATTAGAAAAAAAAAAAAAAAATTTCACAGATAATTTAAAAAATAATAATTTCACGAGGAAAAAACAGTTTTTTTTTTTGGCACTCAACGGCTTGAAAAAAAAGGAATGAAAAGATTAATTACAAAAAAAAAGGGGTGTCCACAGCACATTGAAGGGATTTGTTTGCTGTTTTTCAGACGTCAATACCAACTTGTCCTACGAAAAGCTGTAAGTGCCCCCAAGGCATCTCAATTTTTTATTTCAAGAAAACATTGGACTACGGACTTTTACTCGTCCTTTGCAGAGAACCAAAATGATCTAAAAAAAAAAGTCACCAAAAAAAAAAAAACAGAAAAAAAAAGTTATTTTATCGATTAATCTCTTTGTACGCGATTTAACAACGCAGACGTTCATTTGATTTTCTGCGAAAAAAAAAATCAGTTTCCTTTGTGAGTTAAAATGGAAATACTGACAATAACCGTCCAAGGTATCTCCGTTAGGACTTAACCAGCCTTATTGTATAAAAAAAAATAGTACTTAAGCGTATAACGTTTGCTTATAAAGTAAATAAATAATTTAAATAGAAAAAAAAGAGGGTAAACGGAACGGTATAATTTTTGTGACGCTTGCTTTTCAATATTTTTTAAATATATATATATTAAATAATGACGATAAATAACAGCCGACAAATGTCTCCTTCTACAATTAACTTGGAAAAAAAAAGAAGAAATACATTCACTCGGGCAATTTTTTAATTCACTTTCTAAAAAAAATCCATTATTGCTTTTTTTATATATATTAAATATATAAACAAATCACGCCTAAATTAAATTTCTTTGCGAATGAACAAAAGAATATATATATTTTTTTTCATTTTTCATCTCCTAATTATTATCTATTCTCGCACGTTAGCCCAAGCTTTTATGTCTTGTTCCCCTTTCCTTATTTTCCTTTGGATACTGCATGATGCATTTTTTGGTAACCTGAGATTTTTCAATGCTAAACAAACACATATCATCTTGCGTCGCTGGTAATTATACTGATGTAATCTATAGTTTTATGTTGGAATGTAAGAGAATTATAATAATAATAATAATAATAATAATAATAATAATTTTAATAATAATAATAGTCAGTTCTTACTGTATTGTACCAAGTTTATAACTACCGGACTATCATAAAGCATGACAAAAAGTCTTACAATATCAAAAGAAACAAATAATGTCTTACTTTTGTGACAAGATTTTTTAAAATTAAAAATTAAAATTCGATGATTTTTAATTTGACGCCACGAAAATTCCGACAGGTTTAATGTTGAGAATATTTGTGTTCCGATATTTTAAGAGCTTTTTTTTTATTAATTATTTCAAAAATTCAAAAAAATGTTTAAAATTACATTTTTTTTCTAATTAGTGAAGGATTTTATTTTATTTTTATAGGTAAATTTTCATTTTTCGAGTTAAAATTTGACGAATTTTTGAGTCATTTCATTATATTTCGACTAAAGTCGTTGCCGACTAATTTTAAAAAATTATAATACTTTGAAGGAATGATTTAAATGGAATCAAGATCATAAAATGAAAAGAATTTTTATTAAAATTATTATTTTTTTTGTAAAATAATGGTTTTAAAGTATATGAGGTGCTGGAAACTGACACATTTTAATTTAATAGAAAATATTAAAAATTATGAAAATCAGCAAAGTGCTCATTTTTATTGTTGGAATTTTTTTATTTTTATTAAGAAGAAAGAAAAAAAGAAGTGTTAAGAAAAATTAAAAATTAATTACAAGTACTTTATATTTGGTAAGTTTTTATTTTATTTAATGATTTCCCTTTCTTACAATATTAATGGATAAAAATCGCAAAATTAGATTATTTTACAGGTGAATTTTAAAATCATGTATTTTATTTATTATTTCTTATCTTTTTCTATTAAATAAAAAAGTATCAGTTTTCATCACTTCATTTACTTTAAATCTATATTTTACAAAAAAAAAAAAATAAAAAAAATTATAAAAAATTTTTAGATATCGAATATTTATTTTACATAATTTATCTTTAGCCAACTTTTTATTTAAAACATTCTAATTTAACCGAATATTAATTTAGCAGAATTTTATTCTGCTTATTCTGATTCGAATTTAAAAATTTAAAAATTTCCAATTATTATTCATCTAATATTTATTTGTCCGAATTTTTATTTATACAAATTGTTATTTGATAGAATTCTTAAAATGTCGAATTTCCATTTTTTGTGCCAAAATGAAGATTCGTTGAATTGAAATAATTCTGGCATTTAAAAATTCGAATCACTTCAAATTTTGTTGAATAAGAATTCTGCTAAATTAGAATTTTTTCAATAAAAAGTTGAGTAAAAAGAAATTTCGTAAAATAAAAATTATTTTCAAACAAAAATATCTGTTTATGTAAAAATTCGTTTAAAAATAAATTCAGTCAAATTTTTAATTTGACAAATAATTATATCTAATAAAATTCTTTAAAATGAAAATTTTAACCAATGATTTTTATTGAAAATTCTCTATATTAAAGTATTTTTTAGTTTTGAGCTTATGTCCTTGAAAATTAAATTCAAATTAAATTTAAAAATACAAAAACTGAATTAAATTCTAAAAAGTCCAATGGGATGATATTAAATTTAGAAAAATTTGTTTCTTTTGAATTGTCGGGCGTTTAAATTTGTACAGTGTTTTTTTTTTTTTGTCAGAAATTGAACAGTACTTATTATAATACTAATATTTGCGTGAAATGATGGAAAATTAATGTTAGGAGGTACGAAAGGTCAACGAGGTATGCGAGTTTCCAGCTATGATCCAGATGATCCACAGAATATGCCAGTTCCACCACCTCAAAGACGCAATACATCGCATCAACGTGTCGCAACTATTTCACAAAATTATAATGAAAAAACAATGTTACTCAGCAGTGATGAGGAATTTCAGTAAAAAAAAAAAAAGAAAAAAAAATTAAAATAACTAAATAAAAGAAACATTTTAATTGTCAAATTCGAAGACATTGTCTTCTCACTGTGCGCGCAGTCTGAATGATTTTTATCTTATACAACTAAAAAAGCAAATAAACCTCAAATTATACTCAAAACTCGGGTTATAACTAAAGAAACAAAAAAAAAATCATCTTCTAATTGCAAAAGTAAAAATTTTACAAGAGAAATTTTTTTTTTTTGAAAATATTTTAGAAATTTAAACACGTATTTATAAATCCACTAAATACTTGTTAAAAAATTATTTGTCAATTTTTTAATTATTTTTTCTAAATTAAATTTTCGAACAAAATTTTCTATCTGTAAAATTAATAATTTTGCAATTGAACAGCAGAAGCTTTCGAAATACTATTTGTAAACTCACATTTATCTCATGTACATACATCGATTGTTATTTTTGAATTTTTTTTTTTCTCAATTGCAATATTTGTCATAATGAAAAAATAATATATTATATATATATAAAAAAAAAAGAAAATTTAAAAAACAAAACTGAAACAGATTCGAATCATGAATCGTATTATAATCCATAATGTTATATTCATGTTAAAAAAAAAATCGTTAAATAACGCAACGTGAAATAGTATAGAAAATATTTATTTTAATACGCTCATACGTTCGAAGCAGTGTTAATCGTTCTGGGTGTGGTGCCACAAGATTATAGTTTTAACACGTCGGCTGCCTCGTATTTATAATATTGTTATGCCTAAAATTTTCTTAAATAGGCAACGCTTCTATAATGCAGTGCATTTGGTTTTTTTTTTCCTTTATTACTTTGCAGCTGCAATTAATGTTCATTTTATTTTCATTTTTAAACGATTCAAAAAATAAATGACAAATTCTAAATTAAAAATAATTTTGCACAATTTGAATTCTAATTTTGAATTTTTAATTTAGAATTAAAATTTTAAAATACATAAAAAATATTATTCTTAAATTAGAATAAATATTGGTACAATGTTTTTTTTTTAAATTCAGAATGTGCAAAATTTCAAATTCATCGAGAAAATTTTTTTTTTCTGTAATTCTAATGCGATTCTATTTTATATTTTTTTTTTTTTTATGAATGGCATACAAACTCATGAACAGTAAAATTGTTTGCTTTTCTTTTATTTGGAAAAATATTGTCTAGTTTTTGAAATAACTGACAAAAAACATTTCACATTTTATTGTTAAATCTGTCCATATTTGCTATGAATGATAATATATAGACTTAATATGTTCGTATATTAAGAAATTAAAATGAAAAATCCCATTAAGGAAGTTTAATTGCCACAGTTGATGCGAAAAATTGAAAAAAGAAAATTAATTTTATTTCATTGCAAAAAAAAATCTCGTTCGTTGAAATTTCGAAAAAAAAAATTCAAGAAAATAAAATTTTCTGTAAATATTAACAAAATAACAAATATTGAAATAAAGTAAATTTTAATAAAAAATAAATAAACGTAAAATTTTTGATGTTTAATAAAAAGGAAAATTATATTTTCTTTCCCATTAAAAGTAGAAATTAAAAAACAAATAATAAAAGAAAAAAATTTTTCTTGAAATTTTTTCAATTTTCAACATTTTTTTTTTTTTTGTTGTATCTTATTGTTGCAGGTAAACTACCTTAAGATAATAGCAATTAAAAGAATTTTCAAAAAATTTTCATTTTATAAGCATTAACTCGAATAAAGCATAATGATCACTTTTTACACAAATAATACTCATATTTGAAGGAAGAAAAAAAAAACCTTTTTTTTTTTATTATCGAAGCGTGGTTTTTTCATGTCATAATAACAACTTCCGAATTACGCTTAGTCGAGGCATTTAAATTTTTTGCAATGTATTTTGAAAACTATATTATCAAAAGCCTAATAATACTTTTATAAAAGTTTTTCTCTTTACTCTAATATTATAAGGGCTAAAGCATTTAAAAAAAAAAAAAACGAATTCTTGGTGTTGCAAAAAATCTTGATGTTGACAGCCAATGTGTTAATTGTAACAAAAAAAAAATATTATTTTCTGTTCACGACGAATCACTGACAATTTTCACGCTTCGGGACTTGGACATCGTCTCAGTACTTATTTACTTTTGAAATAGTGACAATTTTATTATACCGTAGAATTTATAATAAGTTATTTTTTTATATAAATGTGTTCTATATATGTACAAGTTTAAGATTATTATATTGTTTTCATATGCGTTCATTACGAAATTTTTTTTGGTTTCGAAAAAATTATTTTTTATATTTTGATCTGAGAGCCTTTTCTGTCAACAAACTTTCTCATTATACCAGAAAAAAAAAATGTGATTCGAAAGATGCAGTAAACTACATTCGCGTCCTAGATTGAAAAAATAAAATATTAAATGTATATACTATATATATATATATATAAATATCGTTATTATAGATTGTATTTAATAACAAACTAAGAAAAAATGGATACTAAAAATTTTTTTTTTTTGTTTATAATAATTTTGATCTATGAAAAACATGAATGGAATTTAAGAGGGAGTGAGTGATGAACGGATTAAAAAAAAATGTATCAGATATAAATAAACTATCGATACCTGATAATATTAATGTATCATTTTTCTTATGTTAATTTATTCTTAATTATAATTTTGTCTTTTTTTTAAATATTATATTAATAAAAAAAAAAAAATATTGACTTATTTCTAAATTAATTTATTAAATTAACAGTCTAGCGCTTTTGCTAAATAAAATTTCAGAACTTTTCCAGGTATTTACTATTTTAATCAATTTTAATGACAAAAATATATTAAATGTACAAGATTAAATTTTTTAAATCTTTTTTTTTATTATAAACCAGTACTGAATACATTTAATTTTTGGCAATTTTCAGGCCTCGGATTTTTTAAAATTACAAATAATTATTAAATTTTATAAACATTTGAATTGAAAAATAGTTTCAGATAATTTAATTTGTAAAGAATTTCATTAAAATTATTACAAATAATTAATTTATCGAAGAATTTTAGTTAAAAATTTATTAAATAATTGAAATAAAGAAGATCTGAAGATCTGCATTGTATATTAAAAAAACGTATTTTAATTATAAATTTTGTAAAAAACTGTAAAAAAAAAAAGTCGAAAAAGTCGTATTTTATTAAAGTAAGTCGGAAAAATATTTCAGAATTGAACTGAGACAAATTTTCACGAATTCAATTCAGTATTCAGGACAATATTTAAAAAATAATTTAAAATTACTTTAAAAAAAAAAAAATGTTCGAAATATAATTTAAGCAAAATATTCAAATTCGGAAGTTTAGAAAATGTTAATAAATAAATATTTAAATTTTCGAAGAACTTTATTAAAATATTGAAAAAAATTTATTTAGGTAAATTTTTTAGAAATAATTGAATTTCAGGAAATTTGAAATTGAAACTCATAAATTTTAATTGATGAATTTTTTTTTACACATAGGTATTTTAGATAATTAAATTTAAAAGGACTTTTAGTTGAAAAATATTTTAAATAATGGAATTTTTAAAGAACTTGATTAAAATTATTAAATATAATTAATTTTGCAAAGAATTCCAGTTAATATTCTTTTAAATAATTCAATTTTTAAAGATGTAAATTTTATTCTAAAAAAATCTCGTATTTTCTTAAAAAAAAAATCGAAAAAGTCACATTTTATTGAAATAAGTTAAAAATAGTCTCATACATTGAAAAAAAAATCGAAAAAATTGTGCAATCCGAGGCCCATGCCAAGAACTTTTCTATGTTTTTCAGATAAAAAAAAAAAAAAATTCAAGGACTTTTCCATATTTCCAAGGAATTCCAGGTATAGAAAGAAAGCAAAAAAAAATTATATATGTACATCTATTTATTGATATATTTAAAATGCAATGATTTGAACAATTGCATATATTATTAAAAAAATACAATAAAGATTTAAGCCGTACAAAATTTATAAGCGTGACACTGTAAACTTTTAAAAATCATTAACGATGGTACATAAATGAATTTTCAAATAAAACTAATACATATCTCGTCACGCAAGCCTTAATATACAATTATATACACAGATTACTATAATAACTAATCACAGAGATCACTTTAAATAAAAAAAAATTTTAATTCTAATAAATTAAACCCAGATTTTTCAAAAAGCCTCTTACTTTTTTTTAATAACATTAATGTCCTCTGATATAAGACTTATCAATGAACGTCTATATTTTAAAATAATTTTTTATTCTTCCTTTAGAAAAAAAAAAAAAAAATTCAAACTCCCCAAAAAAAAAAAACTAGTTTTACTAAAAATTTCTTAAAAATTAAATTTCTATCTTCTCATTAAAATTTATATGAACACCTTATTGGAAATAAAAAAAAAATATTAATACTTTGTCAAATCTTAAATCATTTACAATGTAATAAACAAGTATAAATTATTAATGAGGAGGTAGAAAATGTTTAAATGTTATTACATTTTCTTAAATGTCATATACACTTCTACTATTTATTTTATAAAAACCAAACGTCTAGATATTTTCTACAATGTACATAGAATTTTCAAATTAAACGAATTATTAAGAAGAGAAAAAAAAACAAACTAATCTAATTTTCTTAATATAAAAAAAAATAACAACTATTATCATTCTATGTTAAAAGTCGAGCATTTTGTCATAATTTTATTATCAACATTAATATTTTCCAAAAAAAAAAAAGAATCAGCGCACATTTAATTAATGTTCTTAAAGAGACAAGTTTTATACTTTTTTATTTTTTAAAGACAATTTTCTCCATTGATCTAATAGTGTCACGATTTTAATGAACAATTTTAATGAATGCAATTATTATAAATAAATTGTGATTCGAATTTTGATTATATTTCAAAAATTCGATTTAGAAGAAATTTTTCTTTTATAGAATTTCAGTTAAATAAACTTTTCGTCTTTAGACAAACACAACCAATAGTGTTCTTAATTTATAAAATTTCCAACACTTAATTTTTTTTTGTCAAAGGCTGAAACACTTAAGAATTTAAAAAAAAAATCATTGATCAATAAATTAACATATAACTCGAAAATATTCGTCTGCTCTAAAAAGCGGTTAAAATTAAAAATCTTCGACTTTTAATATATATATATATATATATATCATGAAAAGAGAAAAATAAAAAAAATTTTAATCTTAAAAAAGAGAAATCAAATCTTTGGGGGGAATGACCAGCACTCAAATTAAAAAATGAATTTTTTCCCAACAAACTAAAGAAAAACGATGAAATTTCACCAACCAATCCATTGATCCCCATTTTTAGAAGAGATTTTTTTCCAACCATGCCAAGGTTTATCAAAATTTTCTTCTTCCTCCTCATCCTCCTCATCTTCTTCTTCTTCTTCATTTTCGAAAAATCGATTATTATCGCCATTGGGAAAATAATCTTTTCTTTTGCTTACATCGCTACTTGTATCTTCATTTTCAATATCCTCATAATGAAGATCATCATCCATATAACCAACGTCACTTGTACTATCATTAGTATATTTATTATATTCCTCGTCTGCTTCTTTTGTAATTGAATCAGAATTTTCCTCATTATTGCTAATTCTACTAAAATTATTATCTTCATTAAATTCACGTTCATCTTCCATTTGTATTGGTCTAAATCCAATTGATCTTAGTCTCGCTATTTTTAAACTACTCGACGAATTAACAGGTACAAATGCTGATTCACGATGAATCAAAGGATAAATATTATATACAGATTCAAGCTCTTGATCAACAGTTAATCTTTCACTAGTTTTTGAATTTGAAAATGTCTCCTCATTTTCAAATCCATTTAAATACTCGTGACTATCAACTGAATTGTTGTCGTCGTCATCATCGTCGTCATTGTCATTAACTTCATCGTCTTCATCATCATCATTTTCATTGTCATCAGAAAATACCGCGGCTTCCTCTGATTTAATATCATCTAAATAAACCTCTTCTACTTTTGTAACTGATAAACGTTCATTATTGCAAACTAAATCTGATGAATGATCAAGTTCTATATTCATTTGTGAACAAGAATTAATTGTTGGTTCAGTTATTAATGAACATTGCGATACTGCGTCAACCATTCTTGATTTTTTCGTTAAATGATCCACTGATTCCACATTGATCCTCTGAAAAATGGTAAATTTTTTTTTTTTTATTCTACATTTATGATAATTATGAAACATTATTCAAAATTAGAAAATTATTTTTATTGCTTGATTAATTACATTATTTTATTATTTTTCATCGTCAATTTTTTGGATTATTATTATTTATTATGTTAAATGAAAATTCAAGTAAATAAAAATTCGAACAAATCAAAAATTCTATGAAGTGAATTTTCGGTTATATAAAAATTCTGTAATATAGAAAATCGGCTTGATGAAAATTCTGCAAAATATTAATTCAAATAAATAAAAATTCGGCTCTTAAAATCAAATTTCTTCCGCAGGGTTGCCACAAAATTTTCATATTATAATTTTCCCTAACATTTTCCCTGATTTTCAGAAAATATTTTGTATTTTTTTCGAATTTTAAATGATAATTAATTAATAATAATTAATTAAATAATAATTTAAATTAATTTTTAGATAAAATTTAATTTTAAAATATATTCTTATATTTAAATTAATTTTTAATTTCTTAAATTCAAGTTTCTTCAGGTAAATCCAATATTCCTCAAATTTTCCTAAAACTCTTAATTTTTATAAAAGTCAACATTTTCTGTCAAACTTTGACAAGCTATATTTTTTCAGAAGAGGGATCAATGAAATTTTCTTTGTTTTAAGGTGCCAATTTATTTATCGACATTATTAGAGAGTATAAAATTATGCTACGTCATTTAAATTTAAGAAAAAAACAAATTTTGTTAAAAAATAACTTAAAATTCTGGATAAATTGAAATTTGTAACTTCTTTTACAATTTTCATTATTTTTCATCGACAATTTTTTAAAAATACTTTTTCCATAATTTTGACCAATCGAGCTTATGGGTTTTATATAAATTTTAATTTTTTTAAAAAAAAACAGAATTTCTAAAAAAAAATTTTAAAAACTTTAAAACCAAAAATTATTTTTTTCTTCAATTTTTCATTATGAAATATAATTCTAGGTTCAAAAGAAGATTTAAAAAAAAGTGACCACTCTGCATTACGTAAATTTTAATAAATTAAAGTTTCACTGATAATACATTTATTCATGTAGTAAAATTTTTTAGCGTTTATTCTATATTTAAAAAAAATTAAGTAACTTTGTAAAAAAAATTTATAAATATAAATGATAAAATGATTTCATCTTCGTTAACTGTTTCGCAAATCTCTCGAACACGATTTCTATTATAATTTATTAACTTTCTGTAATTTCTTTTTTTAATTCTTTTAAATTTTTACAAAAATAGATTCAGAAACTACTATGTTTTAAGTATATAACAGAAATATAAACTAAACTTTCTCTAATTTTCAAATTATTTTGAAATATATAAAAAATATATTTCACACATAATTAATTAAATTTACATCTTAATAATAATAATAATAAATTTTTAGATTTATCACTCGATAAAGGTTTTAAAGGAAATGAAAAATAGAGTGATTGATAAAAATTTTCTGTTTCTTTTAATAATAATAATAATAATAATAATAATAATAATAATAATAATAATAATAATAATAATTTTTCGATATTTTTTTGAAAAAAAAAAACTTTTAAATAGAAACAAGTAACGAAACTGAAGTATGCAACGTTTATGATAAATGATTTTTAAAGAAAAAATTTTTTAAAATGAAAAATTCTTTAATTTTTTTGTCTAAAAAATATTTTTTTTATAATTTGTTGATCAATGAAAACTACAAGAAATATTTTTTAAGCAAAAAATTATAGAATTTTTTATTTTAAAAAATTATTTCATTAAAAATTGTTTATCATAAACGTTTTATACTTCAGCTTCGTACAAGTATGTAAATATTTGTAAAATAATTTTGAATTGCAAAGAAATAAAATATAATTAAAATAAATTTAAAAATGTATGAAAAACATTAAATTAAATAAAAATGTAAAAAAATAAAAATTTCTTACGAGAAACTTCCAAATTAAAAACATTTAAAATTTGTCCTTTTTAAAAAAAAATATTTAACAGAAAAAAACAACATTTTTTTCTTCTTAGTCTCATTTTTTTTTAGAAAATTTGTTTTGTTATTTAGTTTTTATTATCATTATTATTATTAAATATCAAAGAGCTATAAGCCCTTAAATAAATAATAAAATAAATAATTTTCACAAATACCTGTACATCTGTGTTTCTCGTTAGAATATCCTGAAAATTTCTTGTATTTTCTAAAGATTTTCTCTGCTTTCCTCTTGATAAATTCAAATTAATATTTCCTGTTTGCAATTTCCATGATTTATTAATTCCCGCTTTCATTCGTTTTCTTCGTTTCGATAATTCCGAGCGTTTCGCTGGTTTATTAAGAATTCCTCTTCTTTTTTGAAAACCGGTATTACTTATAAATCCATCAGAATCTTTACCAATTATTTTACGACATCTTAAACGTCTATTTCTTGGTCCTCTAATAATAGGACCAACATTTGCATCAATAACAAGATTAGCAATTTCTCGTCTTTGTTTTTTGCAAGCCGATGATTTTTTTGTTATTTTCGATGAATTCTCTGTAATTTTTGACTGTGTTCTTTTCATTGATTTTGAATAACCAATAACACCTCCAGGATCATCATTAAATTTAGAATTTGCTCCATTATTAATAATTTGTCCATTATCATTATTACAGCCTCTATTTCTCTTTGATAATTTTGAATAATTCTTTCGATTTTCATCATTTCTATTGTGTCTCAATATACGTTTTGATATCATTTTAAAATTTGACGATGCTTTCAGTCTATTATTATTATCACCATTTGAATTATCAATATGTTCACTATTATTACTCTCTTTATTTTCTTTTGATATTAATGCATTGTATGCCTTTATAACTGATGATTCCTCAATTGACAAACCAATAACATTTCCAATTAATAATTTTGCCATTGGATTACGTTTTTCTTTGACAACTAAATTTAAAATTTTATCTGGCGTCAATGCTTCCAATGAATTTGATGAATTTGAACTTATTGAATTACGTTTTTCGGGACAATTTTTTGTTTCTTTATTATTTATTATTGGAAAATTATTTTCTTCTGTTTTATCATTTAATGGACAACCAACAATTTGATAAATTGATTCACGTGACATTGTTTTTTCAATAATATTTTCTCTTTGTGATATTAAACAATTATTTTTTAATGTTTTTTCATTAATCTCCAATAATTGAGTTTCATCAATTTTTTCTATTTGATGATTTGATTTATAAACACGTGAAAATGTTGATGTTTTTTTAATATCCTGTTGTACATTATGAAAGGAATCATATAAATCAGTGCGAACAGCAATATTTGTATTTAATAATTTTGATTGTCCAACTTGTTTATAGGTGAATGAATTTTGTGATAAATTTTCTTTTATTAATGAACGTGAAACAGGTGGTGTTGTCGATGCAGCTGTTGGTTTTTTAAAAACTTGACGCGTTAATATTGCAATTCCATTTTGTGATATTGATGGTGATTCACTTAATTTTTTATTATTTTTTTCACAATTATTATATTTCTCATTATTCACAATTGAAGAAATAGTTTGGCTATTTATTTTTTTGGAAGATCGCTTACGAAGTGTGCACGACAATTTCTTTGGTAATTGTTTCACATTTGTTGTTGTTGTTGTTGTTGTTGTTGATTTTGTTGACATTGAATTATTATTGTTATTAAGCCATGATGGTGATTCTTGATGTTGAAGACGAGAGAGGGCAAATTTATGTTTTTTTGAATTTTCCGACTCGCCAATCCAATGTGCAATAACAATGTAAAGACCATCGTAACGATAGCCAGTTTTTGGTGAATAAACATTTGAGAGACTGTAACTACGTACCAAACGTAAAGGCACACAACGTTGAAAATTTAAAATTAATGATTCATTGCTTGCATCTAATTCTGAGTATTCTCGGCCAGTTATTGTTAGAATTTCACCTAAATCAACATCCTTTGATTCGGAATTTTGAGGAGTACAAATTGAAATTGCTCCAAATGGACCATCGTGAATATCTAAATTAAATGGCTTATGAACTCCCTGTCTTGAACAATCAACACGAATTCCCCACCATGTGCCTGATGGACAATCAGCGATTGGTCCATAATTTCCAGTTGCCTGAAAATAAGAAAAATAAATTTTTTAACTTTTCTATTTTCTAATTTTCTAATATAAATAATAATTTATTAATAATAATATAAATAAATAATAAATATTAATCTTAGAGGCCTCGGATCGAATTGAAGGCGAAAAAAAGTCGTTTTTAGTCGATTTACATTCTAAAAAAAGTCGATTTTTTTTTTAAGGTATTACTCACACGACTGGTAACATTCAAAAGTTTTTTCTAGTCACTGTACTTATGAAACAGTAAAACATGCGAGTTTCAAATAAAACTTTTGCGCAGGTACAGTTTCACACATTAGGCATCTCAGTTCATATACACAGACACACACATATCACGGTCTAGAAAAGCGATCATGGCAACGTCGCAAGTTTTTGATTGCAAATGGCGTCTTCTGTTAAAAGATTCTTTCGCAGTGAAAGATAAAAGTTTTTGTTTTAAAGTGCGTGTAGATGTAATATTAAAATTTAAAAGATGGAAAAACAATTGAGACACAAAGGCAAATTTATTAAACAAAGCGTTCTTACCAAGAAGACGAGTTTTCTTGCCCAAATGACTCGGGGAAAACAACTTTGCGATGAATTAAATAATGTCAAAGACGTAGACGTAAATAAAGTGACAGAAATTTGTCCTGGTCGACGAATTGTTGAATTGGACGTCATAGCAAAAAATTTAAAGTGTATAAAGTGCAAGGAAGCAATTTTCCTGAATGATATTCAAAGTGAAAAGTGTTTTGGACTAAACTCAGTTCTAACCATCCGCTGTCAAAAATGTTTGACAGAAACATCAGTTCCAACTGGAAAATTCCACAAAACCCTGGAATCACACTCTCACTCTGACGTGAATACAAAAGCAGTTTTAGGTAAGATTTGCTGGTTTGTGAATTACTTTATCATCTTAATCTTAACCTAACCTCACTTTTTAAATATGCAGGAGCTGTACATTCAGGAATCGGAAACACGGCGCTAAATAAGGTGCTAGCGTGTTTAAATATTCCTTCAATATCAACAAACTTGTATAAAAGATATGAAAGGGAAGTTGGGCCTGCACTGGAAAAAATTGCAAAAGACAGTTGTAAACAAGCCGCTACGGAAGAACGCCAATTGGTAATAAACAATGTCGACCAGCTGTGTGAGGATCTGTAAGGTTTTTTTTAGTTCTTAAGTTTATTATTTAATTTAAAACAAAATATAATTTACTAGTATATTATAAACATATAATACACTTATAAAATATTAAATAGAATTGAATGCTTTTATAATTCTTCATTTGATCTACAATATGTATATTTATATATTACGAATTAATTTATGTTATCATTTCTACAATATTGAATTGTATAAAATCAAAATTTTTTAAGTATACACATATTTATACATATAATATACGCATATTTCTAAGTGTCCAAATGATATTAAATGTTTTCAGAATATTTTATAAGATCTGACATAAGCCAAAAGTTTTGAACGTTCCTATGAACGAAATTTTTTTTGCAACTTCTTCAAGTACGAATTTTAATACAAAATATTGTTCAAAATATCTAAAAAGAAGTTATTAATTTAATAATTATTTAATTTACTGTTTTATTTTACATGGTCATCATAATTTTTAATAATTTATAGTTTGAAAAAAATATTTGTTCATATGAACGTTCAAAACTTTCGGCTAATGATCTGACTGCATATTCATATACCATAAATTGATTTAAGTATTGATTTATACTAAATTTAATTGTATAAAATTTAAGAAATTTTAGCTTGAAATGTGTAACACGTTTATAAAATTCCGTAATCTTATAAAATTAAATAATGTAACATTATTTAAATGTTGATGTCCATATTTTAAGGCATTTACATTTAAGATAAAATGTAACAAACAATAAACAATTTGAATTAAATTTTTAAATCTTTTCATTTTCTTTCTTAATATATAAAATTTATATTTGAATTTTTTTTCAGTCCACTTGATATTGCGAAAGATATTTATCCGTTCAAAGAGATTTTGAAAAACACACCAGAAGAATTTGACTCGGCTTTGGGAAATATTGTCAATATCATAATATCATATGATATGGGATGGAGTAAACGCGGAAACGGAAGAAGTTATAATAGTTTAAATGGATACGGTTGTATAATAGGATTTTTAAGCGGGAAAATACTAGATTTCGGGACGAGAAATCGCAAATGTAAGCTTTGCGCAATAGGACGACAGAAAGAGGATCACGATTGCCGTCAAAATTTCGACGGGAGTGCCAAGGCGATGGAATCTGATTTGGGAGCTGAGTTAGTAAACAATAGTTCAATTTTAAAAGAAACTGGTGTTAAAGTCAGAGTTGTGATTGGTGACGAGGACAGCTCAACAATTGCGAACATTCGTAAAGGGAATGAGGAAACGATTTACAAACTCGCTGATCAAAATCATTTACGCAAAAATGTTGGTAAAGAGTTATACGCATTACAAACCGATTTTAAGGAGTTGAGAAAAAAAGGTGTTATCCAACACATTAAAAAGTGCTTTTGTTACGCAGTTGCACAAAACGAAGGAGATCCTGATGGAGTGTCAGCAGCGTTACTCGGAATACCAGAGCATTTGTTTGGAAATCACGGAAACTGTGGAAATTGGTGTAGCAGAAAATTAAATAATGCTACAAAATCACAGACAGTTTTATTGACTGATAAAACTCTCAAGAAAGAATTGAAACAACTTTTCAAAAAATATGCGGATAGTGCAGAAAAATTTTCCATTGCTGCTTCAAGTCAAGCAAATGAAAGTGTTAATAATATTATGGCCCATAAAGCTGCGAAAAATCAATGTCATAGTCTAAGTGAATCTGCGGATTATCGTTTTGCGAGTACTGTATGCTCCAAAAATATTGGAGAAACACATTTGTTGAATGTGCAAGAAACATTAAATCTTTCTCCTGGTAAGCATACGAAAGCGTTTGCAGAAAAAAAAGATAGAATTCGATTGGCAAGGAGGATCAGACAAAAATTACCAGAAACAAAAGCAAAAAGAAATTTATTAATCAAAGAAAAAGAAAATCAACGACAACAAAAAGAAAGAAACGAAGGAATCAAATATAAATCGAATTGTGGCTTTGACATTCCAGCGGTTGCTGACAAAAAAGCTATTCTACAGTCTTTAAAGAGTTTAACAGGAATTGTTTCTAGAACAATTATTCAAAAAATAGCTAATGCAGGTCTAGATTTTGAAAAACTTGAAACAACATATAAAAATGCAGGAAGTGTAGGTTTGGTACAATTGTTGACTGCATTGAATGACCAAAAGAAGGCATTGGTCACTAAACACAAAAATATTCTTGAAAAAATTACAGATTTTTTCAAAAATCATTGCAAATGAAAGCCAATGTTAATTTTATTATGTAAGTTGTTTGCAAAAATGAAAAACATTCAATAAAACTTGAATACAAAATTATATAATTTATTTTTGTTGAAAATGTTCAAATTCTATGAACAAAACAGTATTTTTATATATTATAACCAAATTAAAGATGTGCAAATGTGTAAGAATAATATATATAATATATTATTGTTTCCGTTGAAAGTGTTTATAAACAATTTAATATGTAAAGTGTAAAATTATTAATTTAAGAATAAATAAAAATGAATTATATTTTAAAATATTTGTAATTTTTATCATTTATAATTATCCTCATAGTTTTATTTATTTTTAAATCTTTTTTTTTAGATAATTTATAAGTTAAATCTTAAAAACCAATTTTATTTGTTAAATAATAAGTTTATGAAATTTTTATATAAAAAATAATTCAAAGTTTAGGCCATTTAATCAAAGATAGGAAAAACATTTTTTTAAAAACTTTTCTATTTTAATTTTCATCATCATTTTCAAGAGATTAAAAAATCTATAAACCATTTTATTACATTTTGTAAAAAAAAGCAACTTCCAATTGTATTGAAAAATTATACATAAACGTGCGAATGTATAATATTAATAACAAAATATATAAACATGAAAATACCATCGAGATGTTGAGATAAAAAATAGAAAATTGATTTTGTTTTTTTTAAACATTAGAATATATGGCTTAAACAACAAAAATTTTTATAATAACTTTTGTTTATGATATTTTATATTATTATATATTTAATAAGAAGTTGTGACTATTGAAAAGTAAGACAAAGAACCAGGATTTAATTCAAATTTCGCGCCTAAATCAGCAGATCACATGTATCGTTCAACAAGCGCTGTTGCCACATATACTCATTCATCCTTCAAAGACAGCAAATATTTTATTAATTTTTTATCTTTGAAATTAAATATTTTTTGAACAAAACGGTAAAAAATTTTCATTTTTTTTATATAAGTTCATTTTTCCACCATAAATATTGTGTTAGTTTTTTTTCTAAATCTGTCGAGTAGTAATGATGCAAAAAATTGAAATCTGTAATGAATACATGGTTTTCGTATCCCGTACATGTAAAAGATTGAAACTTTGATTTCATTTTTTGGGACTTAGAAACGGTCAATTTTATTTTTTTTTGTATTACTTTGTAGATAAATACCTAAGGAATAACCAGGCACACTTTTAAAAAAATCTGTCGAAAAAAAATCTACGTGAGTAATACCTTAAATTAAATTTAATTAGTTTATAGAAAATATTTTACTTTAAATAAGTAAATAATGTTATTAGATATTAAATATTCATTTTATTAATTATTTAATAAAAAAAACAATTCTAAAAGAAAATTATCAATAAAATGTATTTGGAATATTTCAGAATTGAACTAAGGCAAATTTTCAAAATTTTAATTAAGTACGACAAATTTCAAAGAAAATTCTTAAAGTTCTATTTTCTTAATTTTTTTGAAGTCTAATTTAAGCAATTTAGTATAATTTAAAATTTTTTCCATACTTTTTAGTTTTAATAGACAAAAAAATTCCGAACAATTATTAAGTTTTTATATAGATTTTTAAATTAAAATATTTTTTTAATAATTGAATTGTACAAGATTTTAAATTTGAAATACATTTTCTGCAAATTTAAACTGTTGCAATTTATTTTAAATTTTTGTCTCAATGAAAAATTTAATAGAAATTAAAGACAAAAATTGAATTTCAAAAGTTTTTAATTAAAAAATGCTTTCAGATGATTAAATTTTTTGAAAAATATTATACAAACCATTAAAAATAATTGAATTTTGGAGGAGTTACAGTTGAATTTTTTAAAAATAATTGAATTACAAAAGATTTTATTAAATTTCAGACAATAATTAAATTTTACAGAATTTGAAAATAATTTATCAAATAATTTTAGATAACATTTTTTAAAAATAATTCAATGTTCAAAGATTTATCATTCAGATTTTTGAAATTAATTAAATTTCAAGTGATTTTTAATTGGAATATTTTTTTAATTTCTGTGAATCAAGAATTTAATTCAAAGTACAGACAAAAACTGAATTTTAAAAGTTTTTAATTAAAAAATGCTTTCAGATGATTAAATTTTTTGAAAAATATTATACAAACCATTAGAAATAATTGAATTTTGAAGGAGTTACAGTTGAATTTTTTTTAAATATAATTGAATTACAAAAGATTTTATTAAATTTTAGACAATAATTCGATTTTACAGAATTGAAAATAATTTATCAAATAATTTAAGATAACCTTTTTTAAAAGTAATTGAATTTTCGAAAATTTGTAATTCAGATTTTTTAAATTAATTGAAATTCAAGTGATTTTTAACTGAAATTTTTGGTGATGAAGAATTTCTTAGAAATTATAGACAAAAATTGAACTTTAAAAGTTTTTTAATTAAAAAATGCTTTCGTTTCATTGAATTTTTGAAAAATATTATAAAAATCATTAAAAATAATTGAATTTCAAAAGAGGTATAGTTGAATTTATTAAATTTCAAAAAATTTTAGTTTGAAATTTTTTGAAAATAATTGAATTTTAGAAGGTTTTAAATTGAAATTTTTTAAAATAATTGAATTTCAAGTGATTTTGAATTGAAATTTTTTGATAATTTTATTTGATAATTTTTAAAAAATTTTAAGCAATTATTAAAAATTTTATAAAATTTTTAATTGAAAAATAGTTAAAGATAATTGAATTTTGGAAGAGTTACAGTTGAATTTTTAAAAATAATTGAATTACAAAAGATTTTATTAAATTTCAGACAATAATTAAATTTTACAGAATTTGAAAATAATTTATCAAATAATTTTAGATAACATTTTTTAAAAATAATTCAATGTTCAAAGATTTATCATTCAGATTTTTGAAATTAATTAAATTTCAAGTGATTTTTAATTGGAATATTTTTTTAATTTCTGTGAATCAAGAATTTAATTCAAAGTACAGACAAAAACTGAATTTTAAAAGTTTTTAATTAAAAAATGCTTTCAGATGATTAAATTTTTTGAAAAATATTATACAAACCATTAGAAAAAATTGAATTTTGAAGGAGTTACAGTTGAATTTTTTTTTAAATATAATTGAATTACAAAAGATTTTATTAAATATCAGACAATAATTCGATTTTACAGAATTGAAAATAATTTATCAAATAATTTAAGATAACCTTTTTTAAAAGTAATTGAATTTTCGAAAATTTGTAATTCAGATTTTTTAAATTAATTGAAATTCAAGTGATTTTTAACTGAAATTTTTGGTGATGAAGAATTTATTAGAAATTATAGACAACAATTGAACTTTAAAAGTTTTTTAATTAAAAAATGCTTTCGTTTCATTGAATTTTTGAAAAATATTATAAAAATCATTAAAAATAATTGAATTTCAAAAGAGGTTTAGTTGAATTTATTAAATTTCAAAAAATTTTAGTTTGAAATTTTTTGAAAATAATTGAATTTTAGAAGGTTTTAAATTGAAATTTTTTAAAATAATTGAATTTCAAGTGAATTTGAATTGAAATTTTTTGTAATTTTATTTGATAATTTTTAAAAAATTTTAAGCAATTATTAAAAATTTTTTTAAATTTTTAATTGAAAAATAGTTAAAGATAATTGAATTTGTGAAGAATTTCATTAAAATTATTGACAATAATTTATTTGGAGAAGAATTTAAGTTAAAAATTGGTTAAATAATTGAAATAACAAAGATCTTAAGAAGATTTACATTGTATACTGTAGATGTATTTTGTTTAAAAATTTTTGTAAAAAAGTCAAAAAAGTCGTATAATCCGAGGTCTGATTCTTAAATTACCATTTGAATGTATAATTATTTGTTTATTTATCTATTCGTGTTAAAACTACTAAAAATAATAATATACATAAACATCTATTTATATCTATTGATATTGCTTACAAATCTTACAAATACTTTATATAATATAACGTATAAAGTTAGATATTTATATTAAATATGTTTAGAATACCAAATGATTTTCACTAAATAAAATTATGTACCGTTTATCTTTTTTTTTTCTTTTAATTGTAATTACATTAATAGTATATACATGAAAAACATTACTTTATATACATATACAAAACTAATATTATGAACAACTCTAATTTCATAAACTTTATTATTATCGTATAATAATCAAATGAAACTTTTGTATTCATTATATATTAAATGTGTCATCAAAATAAAAACACACCAAAAATGATGCCCTCAATTGTGTACATATTATATTATTTTGAAATGACAGACATTTATAGGTTATAATTTGGAGAAAAAAAAACAATTACATTTCTCAGACAAATAAATAGTAAAAATAATTTACCTCGTGAGTATTTGAGAAAGCAGCAAATTTATCATCATCTCTTCCATTTTTTGATATATTATTTGTGTTTAAATTGTTAAAAAGTTCTTTAAGATCCTTTGGACTTCTTTCGTCGACCTGTAACAATCACAAATTTTAACACACACAACACACACTTGTTAACATATATTTCAAGTGTAAAACTAATTTCAATTGGTAAAAGAAATTTTGAAAATTAATATTAACCTGTTTTTGCATTTGCAATTCACGTAAAATTGATTCATTTTGATCAATTGAATCGGAGTAAATTTTTAATCCGACCTTCTTTCTCGCCATTTTATTTGACTTTTGTCTGCGCGGCTTACTGCGCACACCAACTGCGCATACAATGCGGGAAAATTCAAATCTTTTCAAACCTTGTATTATATTCGATTTAAGATTTAAAATTATTAATATTTAATTGTTATTTATATAATATTAATTAAATAACTCGAATTATTTAAAAATTCATTGATACTTAATAAGTAAATGTAAATTAATTGTAAAAAGACAATTTTGAAAACAAAAATCAAATTTTTTTTTTTTTTGTAAAACAATTTTAAATACAATGTGGTAGATCAGTAATTTGTTATATCATTTATTGGGATATTTGAAAAAAATATTGAATAAAAAACACATCTGTTATTTACGCATGCTCAGAATGGAGCATTGTCCATTCAGCTGATTCGCCGCATCACGTGTTTCTGCAAATTTGACCAATGACATATTACATACAAATTCTTTAAACAGAATTGTTTCAGTAGCATTTCAGTACATTCAGTAGTTAATTAACTATCTCGGGGAGTAGACATTGATTTCAATTTTCTCTTCAGGAAAAATTAGTTTCTATTTTCTTTTTTTTTTTTTGTTCACCGAAGCCTAATATTTAATTTTCATAGTTTCCGAATCCGGTAAGTAAAAGAAAAAAATGTAAAAATAACAGAATATATATAATTCAAGTCTTTTAAAAATATTTTAATTAATTAAATTAATTGTTATCAACTATCATGATATTTTGACAATCACAAAAAATTACTAAAATCTATTATATTTGCTAATAAAATTTATCTTAGCAAAAATTTAAGGTTAAGTTCTATTTAATAAACAGGATGTGGATTTCGATTTAAAAATTTAGTTTTTGACTTAAAAACCATGTGTTAACTTTTTAAATAAATTTTGAAAATGGGAACGATTTTTTTTTTTTTTAAATGAAAATTATGTATGGAAAGTTTGAATTTTTTTTTCTTTTTTTTTTCTTTTAGGTGATTTTGACATTACTGTCTTACATAAGACAAATCTTTTGGGTTCAAGTATTAACCTTGAGAAACAAAATATACTGATTCATTTTTAAATTCTGGCACGTCTTTGACAATGAAAATGCAATTTGTAATCTTTATTGTAATCTAGTAAATAGTAGCAAAACTTATCTTATCAAATTATACAATCGAGTATTAATTTAAACAAAATAGAATGTTTATTATAATGTAAAAGTAATAACAAATAAGTTTGATAAGATTATATTAATTATATATTACGCATTGTAAATTTAATTTTAAAATATTTTAATTAATATTTATTAATAAAAATAACATTTTAACAAAAAACTGATTTAAAATTAAAATTTACACTATACCTAGATAATTAATTTAATTTATTTCTATAAACAAAAAATAATAGTTATTCGTATTTTTTTTTTAATTGTAAATGGTATTAAAAAATTTGATTTTTTAACTTTTAGCCAAAAATTTTCTTTGATATTTCAATCAAGAGAACTTCAAAAAAAAATTTCTATACAAATTAGTAATTATCGTACCAATTAGTATATTGACAGTAGTAAATAAGCAAATAAAGATAATTATGACACAAAGGCGCGAGAAAAAATATTTGTGATTCATTTCCTATGGTATACGCAAAAGTTAATTTTTTTTTTCCACTTTTAAAAAAACAAAAATATTTTTCTTGTGAAAAAAAAATTTTCTCATAAAATCTTGAACTTCACATGAACCGGTTAAACTGTGTTTCTTTGATTAATTTAACTTTTTGTTAGTTTAATGATAAAAACACAGATGGTGAAAATAAAAAACGTGAACGATTGCTAAATAATTTGCAATTCATTTATTGCTTATCTCATATATATATATATATATATAATATGAAAATTACGCCCTACAGTTGTTAAAAAAATAATCAATAATTGACATTTCAGGCACAAAAATTATTAAAAAAAAAAAAAAAAACATTTTCTGTATTTAGCATACTCAAAAATAACGTAACTATTATTATTTTTTTTTTTTGAAAGAAAGAAAATTTCTTCCATACATAGTAATTAAAAAAAAAAACTATCAAATTGAAAAGTTTAAAAATTTGTCATGTTTTTTTTTCTAATTTTTAGCAAAAAATTTTCAATAATTCATTGAAATTTCAAAATTTGATTTGAAAAAAAAATATATATATTTAATTTGTACAATAACAGAAAAAAAGAGAAAACGATTGACGAATGCGTAATATAAAGTGGAGGAAAGAAAAAAAACAAAATTCGTAATTTTTCCTGCAAACTTTTAACAACAGTAGATTTTATTTTTTAGAATTCGCCGATGGCTTATCTTGTATTCTTTGTAAAGTTGGACTACCAGATCTCTTATCATTGTTATTATCTTGATTCTCGATCAATATGGTTAAGCGACAAAATAGATTTGTCATTCGACCTTAATAATAAATTAGAAAATGCACATAAAGCTAAATTCAAAATATCTGCTGATTGATTCATTATAAGGAATAGAAATAATTATTTTGTTATAAAAGATTTTTAAAATGGCAATTAAATTTTATATAATTGACAATAATTGAGATTTTATTTTTGTATTTTTTTTTTTTTTTGTTTAAAAAGAAAAAAAAACGATTTCCTGTTTCAATTAGTACTGTAAAAAATATCTCATGAAACAAAATTAAATCAGACTTTTAGTATGCTAGCGAATAATTTATCAAGAAATTAATTTTAATTAAGAAAAATTAATTTCTTTAATTATTATTTAATTAATAATGGAAAACATTGGAGGTTCTCTTGCTAGCTTACGCGGACGATTTAGTCTTGTTATCGGATACTCCTACTGAGTTGTCCAGAAAATTAGAAGCTTTGTATTTGTATTGTCAGCAAAATTTGTTAAGTGTTAACGTCAAAAAAACAAAGATTGTTATAAACAAATAATATTAATTTTTTTTTATTAATTATATAAATTAAATATAATAAGTATTCTTTAAAAATATAACTAGCGAAAATTTAAGAAAATTGAATAAAAATAGGTAAACAAAAAAATGAATAAAAAATATTTTTACAATAAATAATTAATAATAGAAATAATAAAAAAATAATTAACAAAAAAATTAATTATTAAAATAATATATTAATTAAATATAGAATATTAAATTATTAAAAAAACAATTTTAAAAATAAAATTCCATAGATTGCTATTGACAATTTAGTATTATTAATAAAAATAAAAAAAAAAAAAAATAAAAGGTCTTCGATTTCTCGGGAACATTCGCAATGTAATTGAAAAGAAAGAGAAGATGATTCAGCACAATCATCATTCGCAAAACAAATTTCTTATTTGTAATTTTTTTTTCCATTGACTCTATTTCAAAATAGAAAATTTTCTTTTATTATTTTTTTTTAATTTTCACTTCACTGTAAGTAATATTGAAGACATATATATATTTAACTATTTAGATTACAAGTCGAGTACATTAAAAAAAAAAGAAGCTCACGAACTATTAATTAAAATTCAATCAATCATGAATTGTCGTTAAATTTTACAATCTATTAATAATACACTAATTATTATTGATTTCTCCTGGAAAAAAAAAAAATTGCATTCTATCAGCTGTTGAAAATATATCGAAAAATATATAGTTCATATTTGAATTAACAATGAATCATATTTCCGCGTGAATATTTAGAGAGAGAGAGAGAGAGAGAGAGATATCTTTTATATCAATACAATAATTATAATTAATTACTTTTCCTGATTATAAAATTAAAATAGTAAAAGATTTTGAAATTTTTAAACTTTCGTGATGTTACGAATAAAAATTATCAGTGAATCCCTAAATTAGATTAAATATAAACAAGGTTGAAATTTCTTTCTTTCAAAATAAATATAATTTTTACGCAAAAAAAAAAAAAAAAAAAATTATTTTTTTTTCTATAATGGAAGATATTTTTAATTTTGAAATTCCTTTAGTTTTTTTTTCGTAAAAATAAATAAAATTGTTCATACTTTCATTGAAACAATTTTTAATTATAAATTATTATTATTATTATTAATTTTTTTCATATTATTTGCAAAAAGGTTGATTTGAACAAAAAAACAAATTTTGATGTAAAAAATAAAATTGTTTCTTAATTTTTTTTTTTTTTGATTGTATCAAATAATTAGAGACTCTCAGTGAATTTCAAAATGTCATCTGCTTACTTTTTCCAAAAATAAATAAAAAAAAACAGACATGAAATCTGTGTCACTGATAGCAGTACTATATAAACAAAAGTAAATTTTTTTTTTTTTTTTTTTTTTTGACTTGTCAGAAATAAATGAACGTCAAAAAATTAAGACGCATTTTGTACATTTTTTTTTTCATTCTCGGAAAATTATACAGATTACATTTTGAAAATCACAGAATCTCTAATAGAAGTAAGTAACACTGTGTACCAATATACAAAAAAAATAAAAATAATAATAATTGAATTTTTTCAAAAATTGAAAATTATTTTTTATAATTTTTTTTTAATTTATCACACTTTGGTAAAGATTTTTAAGGAAATAGAAAATTTTTATCAAAAACACTCTGAGTCAAATATAACAAAATTTGAATCGGAGTGAATGATAAAATTTTACCATTTTCTTTAAAAATTTATTTTTATTTTATAAACAGAATTTCGCATAAATTTTGATTCAACAATATTTTTCAAATAAAAATTTTATTTTTTTTTATGACCAATAAATAAATTATTACAAAAAAATTCAAATTTGAATATATTTTCTATTAAAAACAAAAAAATATATTTAAAGAAAGAAAAAAAAAAAAATTACAATTTGTTTTATCTCAAGTTTCATTATCATTTATTTTATTCAATAATGAAAATTGTTTTTGTTTCTTCGCTAATCAATATTTTTTTTCTCAGGTTTTCTCTATGAAAGTAAAGAAGGCAGAAAATTTTAGACGAGGTTGTTGATGATTAAAAAAAATCATGGATGGAAAAATATATACCGAGAAAGTAAAAAATCCAAGAGAGAAGGCAAATCCTCTCAGCGTTCTCACATTCTCGTAAGTTTGTATTTTTAATAATCCAAAGATTAAAGTTCATATTCCAATATTTTTTTTTTTTTTTTTCTTTTTGAAAATTAAAATTCTCTTTTTATTTTAACTAAACAAAAGTATATTGTTTCTGTAAATAATTATTCTAAGCTCAATCTAATTAGAATTACATTATTTTTTATTATGATAGGTGAGCAATTTTTAGTTATCTGTTAATGACCATGATTTAGCAAAAAAAAAAAATTTCTTGTGCGAATCGTTATGTATAAGTTGCGTCTGTCGATATAAATTCTACTGGGTTAATTGTACATTTTAGTCACCTTGTTGATTGAACTATTTTTTTTTCCTTTTTAATTGTGAAGGAGAAATGCCAATTGATCTGATAAAATAGAAAACACTTTATCTAATACCTCGGATGTTGATTGAAATTAATTGAGTAATAGAGGTAGAGCGCGTTTCATTGTGATGAAATCGGAGTTTACAACCTTGAAAATAAAGGAAATCAATAACCGGTTGTTTGCGAATTTCTGCAAAAACTTTTTATTTTCTATTTTTCTAAAAAAAAAAATTCCTCCTTTTTATTTTTATCAATAATTGAAATTTATTCAATTTTTATTCTGAAAATAGCATACGAATTTTCTCATTTTTCTTCCACATAATTATACACTAGATAATGTAAACAAAAAATAAATGAAAAATTCACATTGAAAAATGTAAATGAATTCGTAATTTTGTAAAAAAAAAAAAAAAAAATACTTCGTGAACTAGTTTATGTGAATACAATATATTTTAACATAATAAATTCTAGATACATTTTTTGCAAGATGAGTTGTAAATATTGACATAAAATTTTTCATTGTTGAATATTATTGACATAATTTTAGTTTTTTTTTTTTTTCATACAAGATAATTCTTTGTGCGGTAATAAAAGAAAATCTTCAAGATATATAATAAAAAAAAATTTAACGATCCTATGAATCTTTGTATTTTGTAAAAATTAAAAATAATTAAAAATATTTGATTTGTGAGTTATAACCTTCTGTTCAGGAAAATTAACGTTTTTCTCCCTCAATGAAAGATGTATAGTTATCTTTTGCGATAATATCATAATATCAATTTTTAATTAGAATCCAAGGTGGAAAAAAATAATTTTTTTTATTTAAATTGAAGAGAAATTGTTTTAAAATAAAAAAAAAATTATTTGAAAAGAACTAACTATATTGCGATCTATTATTCAATAATTCTGAAGGGTTCTTGAAAAGTTATTTTAAGCCCTGTTGGTCTTATCTTACTTCCGTAATTCGACTAGTAATCAAGATTTAATTTGGGGGTTTTTTTTATCAGTTTTGTATTGAGACTTGACCGAGTTATGTAATCAAAAACAAGTTAATTGTCATATTGTATAGTTTTCTTTTTTATGTTTTTTTTTGTTTTTAATTTAAAAAACATTTTTTTTTTGTTTTGTTTTTTTTTTTTTTTGACAAAATTGCCTTATAATGTAACACTTGTTGCAAAGTTCTACTCAATTAAAGAAAACGAAGAAGACTATAAAGTTACATAAGAATATTGAGAATCCTCATAACAATATATTTACAGAAAAGACAATTCTTAATTAATATTTGAATACTTTGATAATGAATTCAATAGAATAGAAGCAAAATATTTTACTCTTTATCTAAAACTTAATCTCAACTTTCATTATTCTCGAATTAATTTATTTTTCTTTTTATTTTTTAAACCAGATTTCAGTTCAAATATTTAAAATTTCGAACAAATTTCAATTTTCAATTAATAGATAATAAATTATTTATTTTTGAATTACATTTAATTAAAAATATAATTTTTAAAATAGATTACAAAAATAGTACAAACAAAAAAGTTTGTTTAAAAAATTTCATAATTTAATTCCTAACTTTGTAATCTCTCCTACAACAGGCAAACGTATTGTAAATAGTTTAAAAATTACATTAACTCAAAAATTTTTTTCTACTAATAGTGTATTTTACTTTTTTAAAATTTCTTATGATTTAATAAATGATAATTATTACATTATAATTAGGTCAATAAAGATAATATATTTTTTTTTCTTTTGGTATTTGAAAGATAAACAAACGAAAAAGAATCATTTCAAAAATTCAAAAAATTCGTCACTTATGAAAGAATAATTATTAAAATCCTATGTTATATTGACGATGCTGAAGTTTATAAGGGGGAATTCATTAATTACGTAAGGACGATTTTGGCTAATTTTGTCCCCCCCCCCACCCTACGCCAATGTAAGGATACATTAGATTTTTCGGACCCCCTCTCCCCCTTCTTACGTAAGTTTAAACAATATTATGTAATTAAAAAATTAATTACAACAACACAAATTGAAAATACTTGGCAAAATCTTACGTAAGATTAGCTTCTACCCCCCGATGTAAGACCATGTAGAGATTTTATAACCCCTCCCCCCTAAGGACCCTTACGTAATTAATGAATGGCCCCTAACGTTTATGTGATCAAAAATTTTTAACAAGATATTTTATTAAATAAAATAAAAATTTCTATGAATTTTTGTTTCAAAAATACTCTTTTTACAATGTTTATTGATGAAGAAATTAAAAAAAAAAAAAAAAATTTGGTAAGATTACTTTTTTTTATAATTTTCCATTTTAAAACAAATTTGTTTTCTAATCGTTTATCATAAACGTTATGGACTTCATTATCATTTATACATTGACTTTTTATTGTATTGACACTTTTTTTAATGTTACATTTTAAAAGAATTTTTTTCTTTCTTAGTACATATCTAATAAACTTTGTAATAAACTTTTAGGTGAATTGAAAAACATGATTTCCAAACATCAATAAACAAAAGAGATAAAAAAATATTTTTTTCTTTTTAAAAATATTACTAAACAATTTAAAAAAAAAAAATTATTTTCTAATTACGAAATTTCTGTTTGAAAATTTTTAATTCACTTTGATAATTTTATGTTGGCCAACAAAATTTAAATATTATCGAATAATGTAATAAAATTTCTTTTATTTTTTTCATTTTTCGTTTCAGATAACGTTTATTTGATTTATAGATAATATTCAAAATAACGTATCTACGACTTACCATATATTATTATTATTATTATAAACAAAATTATTATAATTTACAGATCTCGCATTATACGACTTTTTCGACTTTTTTCAACTTTTTATCGAAATAAGACTTTTTTCGACTTATTTTAATAAGATGCAACTTTTTTGATTTTTTTTTACATTTTTTACATAATTTTTAAAAATACCTCTTTTTTAATATACAATGCATATCATTATTTAAATTATTTAACAAATTTTTAACTAAAATTTCTTCTCTAAATTAATTATTTTCAATAATATTTTAATGAAATTCTTTACAAATTCAATTATTTTAAAATATTTTTCAATTCAAAATTTTATGAAATTTAATCATTGAATAAAATTAAAAAAAGAATCAGCAAATAAAATTACTCAAAAATTTTAATTTAAAACCTACTAAAATTTAATTATTATTTCTAAAATTTTCCACCTAAAACTTTCTGAATTTTAATAATTTCAATTGTAAATCAATTGAAATTCAAAAAATTTTTATAATGTTCTTTGAAAACTCAATTATTTAAAAAGCATTTTAAATTAAAAACTTTTCAAGTTCAATTTTTTTCTATAATTTCTAATAAATTCTTTAGCAACATAAATCATGGAAAATTCCATAAAAAAATTACTTAAAGTTCAATTATTTTGAAAAATCTGAATTGTAAATCTTCAAAAATTCAATTACTTGAAAAAAATGTTATATAAAATTATTTTATAAATTATTTTCAATTTTGTAAAATTTAATTATTGTTAAAAATATAACAAAAACATTTGTAATTCAATTATTTATAAAAATTTCAACTCTACCAAAATTCAATTATCTGAAAGTATTTTTTAATTAAAAAATTTTGAAATTCAATTTTTGTCTGTAATTTCTATGAAATTCTTCATTGACAGAAATTACAAAAAATTCCAATTAAAAATCACTTGGAAATTCAATTATTTTCAAAAATCTGAATTGTAAATCTTTGAAAATTTAATTACTTTAAAAAAAAATTTATTTAAAATTATGTAATAAATTATTTTCAATTCTGTAAAATCTAATTATTGTCTGAAATTTAATAAAATCTTTTGAAATTCAAATATTTATAAAAATTTTAACTGTAACTCTTCCAAAATTCAATTATTTTTAAGAAATTTTAATATTTCTTTGAAAATTCAATTATTTAAAATAGTTTCAAATAAAAATTCTAAAATTAAATTGGCAGAAATTAAAAAAAAAACTACCTATAGCAGTTTAAATTTGCAGAGAATGTATTTCAAATTTAAAATCTTCTGCAATTCAATTATTTAAAAAAAAAATTAATTTAAAAATCTGTAAAACTTAATTATTGCCCGAAATTTTTTTTTTTTTGCGATTAAAACTAAAAAGTATGCTATAATTTTAAATTCAAATAAATTGCGTAAATCAGATTTCAATAAATTTTTAAAATGAAACTGATAGAATTTTTTTTTTTTTTTTGTCCTACTTAATTTAAATTTCGATAATTTCGCTTAGTTCGATTCTGAAATATTCGAAATAAATTTTCTTGATAATATATTCATATTTAGAATTATTACTATTAAGAAATTAATAAAATGAATTGAACATCTAATAAGTTATTTAAAGTAAAATATTTATTAACGAATTAAATTTAATTGAAATAAAAAAAAAAATTGTCCTGAATTTATAAAATATAATATCAAATTTTTTTTTCCAACAGATGGATTTTACGAACATTTTGGTTGGGATATAAAAGAGATTTGGAAGTGAGTGATCTATATAAACCCCTTAAGGAGCACACAAGCAGTATTCTAGGTGAAAAAATCACATCAATATGGCAAGCAGAATTTAAACGTTTAAATAAAATCGATTTATCAGACACACAAAGCCATGACTATATGAAAGATAAAGGAGATGAGACCAAATTTAAAGAACCAAGCTTACTACGAGTTTTAATAAAATGTTTTGGTGCTAAAGTAATGATGTATGGAATATTGTTGGCAGTTATGGAAATTGTACTAAGGTGAGAAGATAAATCTTTCTTTTTTTTTTTTTTTATTAAAATTCACATATATTTATTTTAACCATTAGGTATATTATTTTCATTATACATTTAAAACAAAAAAAATTATTTAAAAAAAATTAATATTTTAAAAATTTTATATTTTTTCCCCGAAAATTGATTTTTAATATTTGGCTAAGACAAAAGAAAAAAAAATGTTGAAAGAATTTCTTTTAATTCAATTTTATTATGAAAACTATTATGAGGTAAAAAAGTAATGAATTAAAAAAAAAAAGATGACGTACAATATCGCAAAGAGTTAATCAATTTGACCTATGTTTTGGTATTATAAATAGTGTGAATAGAATAAAATTAAGTTCTTTTATTTTACGTGCAGATTGATGCAACCATTATTTCTTAGTTTTCTCATTCGTTATTATCTTCCTATAAAAAAACCTTATGTGCCAATTGAAAATGCGCGAACCAAGTTTGATCTTCAAGAGGAATCTGCTAAACCGTTAAGTCCCGGAAAATTTCTTTTTTAATTACTAAAATTTTGATTTTATTTAAAGAATAGTAGATTTTCTATTCCGTGTGTTTAGTACTAATTTTTTTTTTTTTTTTTAATTAACAAGACATTTTTCACATTTAGTTCATATAATAATTTTTTCCTATAATCTTAGAACGATAGAAAAGAAAAAGAATTAACTGAAAAATATATTTTTCCCGCTCTATTCCCTATTCATTTGAATTCAAATTTAATTAAGTAACATTTTATGATAGTTTTATTTATTTTCGTAGAATTTTTGTTGTAATATTTCTAATTACTTGAAATTTAATTCTTAAAAATGTATACTTTTCATCATCATCATTTTTTTTTAATGAGACCACACCTCTTAATTGTAACTCATTATCATTGGTAAATATTTTCTAAACAAAATTGATAAATTTTTATCTAATATTGTAACAAGAAAAAATTAACGACCTTGTTTTTGTGAATGAATGTATTCTTATGGAAAAATTATAACTATTTTTTTTTTAAATTCATTAGGGTAATGCAGCCTCTGTTTCTATTTCGTTTTCTACGTTATTATCGCACTGATAATACAATATCATATTCAGAGGCCTATCTCTATGCATTTGGAATAATTATGTGCTCGGCAATTAATATATTTGTTGTTCATCCATACATGATGGCAATTTTACATATGGGAATGAAAATGCGAGTGGCCTGTTGTACTTTAATTTATAGAAAAGCATTGAGATTATCAAAAACAGCTCTTGGAGAAACAACAATTGGTCAAGCTGTTAATCTTCTTTCAAATGATGTTAATCGTTTTGATTTGGCAATTATTTTTGTACATTATTTATGGATTGGACCATTGGAAACAATTATTATAACATATTTTATGTATCAGGAAGTTGGTGTTGCCGCTATTATTGGAGTTGCGACACTTCTTATGTTCATTCCATTGCAAGGTAAAAAAAAATTAGAAAAAGGTGCATTAGTACACTGAAAAAAAAAAATTATTCGATTAAAAATATAATCGGTTACTTGAGTATTATAAAATAAATATTTATTTGTACAGGCCTCGGATTATACGACTTTTTCTTACTTTTTTCGACTTATATAAATAAAATGCGACTTTTTCGACTCTTTTTTTTTTACATTTTTTTACAATATTTTTAAACAAAATACGTCTTTTTTAGTATACAATCCAAATTCTCTTCAGACCTTCTTTATTTCAATTATTTTTATAAATTTTTAACTAAAATTTCTTCTCTAAATTAATTATTTTCAAAAATTTTAAGGAAATTCTTCACAAATTCAATTATCTTTAATAAATTTTAATTTTTTAATAAAATTAACCAAAAATTTCAATTGTAAACCTACTAAAATTTAATTATTTTCAAAATTTTTCCACCTGAAACTTTCTGAATTTTAATAAATTCAATTATACCTCTTTCAAAATTCAATTATTTTGAATGATTTGTACAAATAATATTCTTTGAAAATTCAGTTATCTGAAAGAATTTTTCTATTAAAAAATTTTTAAATTCAATTTTCGTCTTTAATTTTTAATAAATTCTTCAGCAAAACGTTCTAAAATTTAATTATTTCTGAAAATCTCAATATTGTAACTCTACCAAAGTTTAATAAATTTAAATGATTTTTTATAATATTTTTCAAAAATTCAATTCATTTGAAAGCATTTTTCAATTAATAACTTTTGAAATTCAATTTTTGTCTGTAATTTCTAATAAATTCAGCACCAAAAATTTTAATTAAAAATAAGTTGAAGTTCAATTATTTTGAAAAATCTGAATAATTGTAAATTTTTGAAAATTCGATTACTTTTAAAAAAAATGTTATCTAAAATTATTTGATAAATTATTTTCAATTCTGTTAAATTTAATTATTGTCTGAAATTTAACAAAAACTTTTGAAATTAAATTATTTTTTAAATTTTCAACTGTAACTTATCAATAATTCAATTATTTTAAATCATTTTAATATTTTTTCGAAAATTCATTTATTAAAAATAGTTTCAAATAAAAACACTAAAATTGAATTGTCAGAATTTTTTTTTAGAAATTTATCCTACTTACTTAATTAAAATTTTTTAAATTTACGTCTTCGATTGAAAAATATTCGAAATAAATTTTCTTGATAATATTCCTGTAGAATTATTCTTATTAAAGAATTAATAAACTGAATTTAATATCTAATAACATTAATTATTTAAAGTAAAATACTTATAAACTACTAATTAAATTTAATTGAAATAAAAAAATCGACTTTTTTTAAAATGTAAATCGACTAAATCGACTTTTTTTGCGTATTAAAGTCGATCCGAGGCCTGTAATTAATATTTGAGATTAATTAAATGGTATTTGTTTCAAATACAAACCTATAATTTTTTTTCAGTGCACACAAAAAAATACAAAAAAAAAAACCAAATGTGAAATAAAGTGGAATTTCATAATAATATTTTCAATTAATAATAAATGAATATCATAATTGTATTAAATTTAAGATTTATGTTAATATTTTATAATTTTTTTTGCAGGATTTTTGGGTAAAAAGTCCTCTGTATTAAGATTGCGAACTGCAATAAGAACTGACGAAAGAGTACGTTTAACAAATGAAATAATAACGGGCATTCAGGCAATAAAAATGTATACATGGGAAAAACCATTTAGCGCTCTTATTGAAAAGGCGAGAAAGTAAATATAAATTTATTTTTTTTATTTAATAATAAAAAAATTTATCCCCTTCATAAATAAATTATTCATATTAATTCATAAATTCATTTTTAAATGAATTTGACATTATTGTTTTCTATATATTTTTTTAATTTCACTATTTAAATAATTAATTTCATTTTTTTTTTTTTTTTTTGAAATGTTTACATAATTTTTTTGTTTTCTTTATTTTTCAGGAAAGAAATTAATGTTATAAGAGCAACCTCATATATTAGGGGTGTTATTATGTCATTTATTATGTTCTCAACTAGATTATCTCTCTTTATCACAGTTTTAGCTTATGTTCTTTATGGTAATCGTATCACTGCCGAAATTGTTTTCATGTTGACTGCATATTATAATATTCTTCGACAAACAATGACTGTCTTCTTCCCTCAAGGTAATGTATTAAGTAAAATAATATTAATTTAAATTATATCATTCATATAATATTTTATAGTTATTATAGTATGATAATAATTTTTTTTTTTTTGAATGCCGTCGTTGTCTCAGTTTCCGTCCATTTTTACAAATATCTCGTATAATAATTTAAATTACTTTTCAACAATATTTTATTCTATTTGTCATTCAATGGACTTATTAGTTTAATTAAAGCATTAAACAAATGAAAGGAAATAATTTTTTTTTATAAATGTTATCATCAAAAATTAAATTGGATGGAAACTAGAACAATCACGATATTCCAAAAATGAAATTTTTATTTAATTTTCTATGAAATTCGTATTTATTAAAAATACATTAATTTTTAATATTCAATTAATAAAAATTTCAATAAAATAATTTAAATGAAAATTTAGTTGTAAAAATTAATTTAAATAATGAAATTTAAATCAAAAGGAAAAATTTAGGTATTTGAAAAATTCATTTTTTACTCTTTTATTTGCTATAATAATGTTCCTAACATGTTCATGTGTAAAAAATCAAAATCCTTTTTCAAAAATTTCCTATTAAGATTTTTAGAATTAATTGAATTTAAGAAGATTTGAAATTTTTTGTAAATTTAAATTGGTGAAGTTTTTTTTTTTTTTACAAATTAACAATAATTCAGTTTTAGATAATTTTTAATTGAAATTTCGAAGAAGTTTTTTAAAAATGTTTTTAATTAATTAAATTTTTGAAGTTTAGCAGTTAAATTGTTTTGTTAATGATTAAATTTTAAAAGACTTTCAATTGAAAACTCGGAAAAAATATTTAAAAGTATGAAAAACTTTATATAGATAGAAATTTTTTTTATAAAAATTTGATAAAAAAAAAAGTAGAAAATTCGAAAATGTCGGGGTAAAACACACAAAATATTCTCTGTAAGTCAGAGAAAATTATAATAAAAATTTGAAATTTAAAAATTTTTTTGAAAATTTTGTGGCAATCCACTGTCATATTGAAAACATTAAAAAATCTCTTTTATTTTTAGGAATAACACAGATAGCAGAAGCTATTGTTTCTATTAAACGTCTACAAAAATTTATGCGTTATGATGAAATTTCTGAGAGAAAAATACAAAAATTTGAGAAGAAAATTTCAAAAATCGACGAATTAAATAATGATACAATTTTTGAAAAAACAGAAGAACATGAGGGTTCAGTATTAGTAAAAAATGGCTGTGCTAGATGGTTAGAAAGTGATAAAGAAGATACTTTACATGGTATTAATTTACACGTAAAACCAAATCAATTAGTTGCCATTGTTGGACAAGTTGGTTCAGGAAAATCAAGTTTATTGAATGTCATTTTAAAAGAATTACCACTTAATGAAGGATATGTTCAGGTATGTCTTATTAAAAATATTCTTATTCTTATTCTTTTTTCTTTTCTACAACAACAATAATTAATTTATAATTAGTTTTAATGATTTTTATGAATATAATGAATTAATTAAATTAATTTTATGAACTAGATTATATAAAATGTAAAATTAATTTACTTTTTTTATAAAACATTTTGTCTTATAAAAAGTTATTAATAAAAATATTAATTATTTTCAACCTATAAAACAAAAAAAAAACAAAAAAATCAACAGGTCGCTAAAAACAGTTGAAACAAATTGACTGATAAGATTATAATCTTTAAAAATTTATATAATTTGATCAATAATTTCAATATTTATAAAAATAATAAAATACTAATAGACGGTTTTTACTTTTTATTGAATTGAAATAAGTTGATCGTATGCTCTTGAATTATCAAAAAGTTAAATTGTGTGTTTTTTTTTAAATTTTTCAATTAAAATAAATTTTTAATTAAATTTTAAATAAATGGACGTAATAACTGAAAATTGTACTTTTTTTTATTTAATTTAAATTTAATTAATTATTTTTTATTTGTTAGATAATAATTAAAATTAAAATAGAAATATTAATTTTTCTTCTACATTAGGTAAAAGGTAGTATTGCCTACGCAAGCCAAGAGCCATGGTTATTTGCAGGATCAGTTAGACAAAATATTTTATTTGGCAGAAAATACGATCAATTTCGCTATGACAAAGTAATAAAAGAATGTCAATTGAAACGCGATTTTCATTTATTGCCTTACGGAGATAGAACTGTTGTTGGTGAAAGAGGAATCAGTCTTTCTGGTGGGCAACGAGCCAGGTATAAACTATTCAATTTAAATAAAATTTTGTAAATTATTAAAATTCTCTATTTTTCCCTCAATTTCTATGCCTTTTTGTTTTCTTAAATTTTTGATTTCCATTCAATTAAAAAAAATTTTTTTGAATTCCGAATTTTAAAACTGTAATTTAATGTTTTATTAAAAATTAAAGACTGAATGTCAATGTAAAACTAAATTTTTTTCTACTTTTTATTTACTATAACTAATGAGTGCGAAGTCTGTTTATATAAAAATAATATTTTAGGATAAATCTTGCACGAGCGGTTTATGCAGAAGCTGATATTTATTTATTAGACGATCCATTAAGCGCAGTTGATGCTCACGTTGGTAAACGTATGTTTGAAGATTGCATCGATAGATACTTAAGAGGAAAAACGAGAATTCTCGTTACTCATCAATTACAGTATTTGAAAAATGTGGATCATATTATTGTATTAAAAGATGGAATAATTCAAGCAGAAGGGTAAAATTTAAATTTCTATCAATAAATTTTTAAACTTTATTTATTATTTTATGTTTGTTATATTATAAAATAATTTTAATTTTATTTTTCCATTTGCAGAACATTCCAAGAATTAATTGCATTAGGCATTGATTTTGGTCAACTTTTGGAATCACAATCACACGATGATACCGCTAATTCATCTGTCTCAGAGAATAAATCTATTTCTCGACAAGGAAGTATTAGTTCCATTAGCTCTTGTAATCCAAATGACTCTGGAAAGCCAATGGATCCTGAGGAGGTAATGTCATTTTTTTTTCAAATTCAAAATTATTAATTTTTTTTTTCACTTTATGCGAAAATTTTTAATTCAATTCTGAAATATTAGAATAAATAGAAATTCGATAAAGAAGAACACAATTCTGATAAATAAAAATTCTTTTTTTTTTACGTAAAGTTTGCTGAATATAAATTTTGCTAAATAAAAATTCGATAATTTTTAATTTGACGCCACAAAAATCCCGACAGGTCTAATTTAGGGAATATTAATATATTAATATTAATAATATAATTTTTATTAATTTATTTTACATCTAGGTGGAGGAAACACGAACAAAAGGCAATGTTGGCGGATGGGTTTATGGCGGTTATTTTAGAGCTGGAGGAAATTGGTGTGTGATATTTTTCACATGTATGCTCTTTATTTTAGCACAACTCGCAGCCAGTGGCGGAGATTATTTCATTGCCTTTTGGGTTAATGTAGAAGAAAAAGTAAGTAATTTAAAGTAATTAAAGCAAAAAAATATATATTAGAAATAATTATTTTTCGTTATTACATTTCTCATCATGAGATGATTTTTTTTACATTAGCTTCGGTAAATTTCATCTAATTAAATATATTATCAATTATTAATATTATTAATAATAATAATAAAATTCTAATAAATGACAAATTTGTGTATAATATATCTTTTATTCTAATTCCAAAAATTTACTATTTCATAGAATTTTATTATTAAATTATTAAAATGAAAAAAAGAAAAAGGCTTAATTATTATAATTATTATTGTTATTTGTTTACAGTCGGACATAATTGGTAAAGAGGTGATAAAATGGAATGGTCCATTTTCACGTGATATTTGCATCTACATTTTTTCAGTACTCACTATTTTGACAGTTACAGTAACATTAATGCGTTCATTTTCATTTTTTGTTATGTGTATGAGGGCATCAAAAAAATTACACGATACAATGTTTCGTTGTATAAGTAGAGCGACAATGAGATTTTTTAATACCAATTCATCAGGTCGTGTACTTAATCGTTTTTCAAAGGATATGGGCGCTATTGATGAAATATTACCAAGTGCATTAATTGATTGTGTTCAAATTGGCCTCTCTCTTTTGGGAATAATTGTCGTTGTCGCTATTTCAAATTATTTACTCTTAATACCAACTGTGATTATTGGAATTATTTTTTACTATTTGAGAGTTTTCTATCTTGCAACAAGTCGCAGTGTTAAACGTCTCGAAGGTGTCAGTAAGTATTTGCAAAAAAAAAAAAAAAATTCAATTTCAATATTTTTTTGATTCAATTTTATTTCTTATTATTATAAATGAAATTCACTTTTTTTATTAGCACGATCGCCAGTATTTGGTCATTTGAATGCGACACTTCAGGGAATGACGACAATACGCGCATTTCAAGCGGAAGAAATTCTCACAAAAGAATTTGATCATCATCAGGATTTACATTCGTCAGCGTGGTTTATTTTCATTGCTTCTTCAAGGGCCTTTGGTTTTTGGTTGGATATTTTTTGCCTTCTCTATATTGCTCTGGTTACATTGAGTTTTCTTGTTCTTGGAGGTGAGGACACAACCGATGGGGGAAGTGTTGGTTTGGCAATTACTCAAAGTATTGGACTCACTGGAATGTTCCAATGGGGAATGCGACAAAGTGCAGAATTGGAAAATCAAATGACATCCGTTGAACGAGTATTGGAGTACAGGTTGGTATTTTTTTTTTTTTTTTTTTTGCAATTATTCCCATTTTTTAAATTCTTCTTTGAAAAATAAAAAAAAGTATTTAAAAAATAATTTTATTTGGTAACAAATTCAGAATTTTCTTTTTTTTCTTTTTATTTTTTAAAACGATTTTTTTTTCTCAAATTTTCTTTTATTTTGAATTTATTAAATTTAATGTATTTATTTACTTTTAGAAATTGTACAAAAATTATCAATTCTTTCGGAAATTCTTATTTTAATTTGAGAATTTTTAAAATTTCCAATTTTTCCCGCAACATTTGCTTTTAATTTTGAGAATTTTCAATTTTTTTTTGTACTTCCTAAAATTCTCTACTTTTTCTTCAATTTTTTGATTTCCTTTCGTTTTTTTTTTTTTTAATTTCATTTTTGAAACCATTTTTTCTCTCATATTCCCATTTTTTTGGAATTGTTATTTATTTATCTAGAAATAAATTTATTACATACTAGTCAAAAATTTACAATAATTTCTTCTGTAAATTATTTTTGTTTTGAAAATTTCTAAAATTCTTCATTTTTCTTTCAAATTTTCTCTTCAACAATTTATTTCTATAAATTTTCTATTTTCTTTTAATATTTTAAAAATTCTCATGTTTTTATTTTTTTTTTTTCAAATTTTTCCTAAAATTCTCTTTTTTTCTTTCTCGATTAATTCAATTATTAGAAAAGCATTATTGATAATTTTATAATGTAACACCTGTAAGCTTTGAAATTATTTTTTAATATTTTTGATTTTTTGAAAGTAAATTTCAATTCTTTTTTCTCCTATTTTTTTTATCCTGGAAGCTACTTTTTGATACTTTTTTATGCAAATTGTATAAATTTAAATTGAAACTGTTTTTTTTTAAATATTAATTTAAATTTAATAATTAATTATTCATTATTTTCGATGAAATTGTATTTTAAAAAAAATGACATATTTCAGCAAAATTGAAAGCGAACCAGCTCTGGAGAGTAAACCAGATAAGAAACCAAAAGAAGAATGGCCAGAAGCAGGAAAAATTGAATTCAAACAAGTTTATTTACGCTACGCACCAGAGGAACCGCCAGTTTTGAAAAATCTCAATTTTATCATCAATTCACGGGAAAAAATTGGTATTGTCGGCCGTACTGGCGCGGGAAAATCGTCATTAATATCGGCATTATTTCGACTTGCAAATATTGAGGGTCGCGTGGAAATCGATGGAATTGAAACGGGAGAAATTGGTCTTCATGATTTACGCTCTAAAATCAGTATAATTCCACAGGAACCATTTTTATTTGCAGGATCAATGCGTAAAAATCTTGATCCTTTTGATACATATCCAGATAATGTTCTATGGCAGGCACTTGAAGAAGTTGAACTCAAAGAAATTGGCCTTGAAACACATATTAATGAAGGTGGAAGTAATTTAAGTGTTGGCCAAAGACAATTGGTTTGTTTGGCAAGGGCAATTGCAAGAAATAATCCCATATTGATTCTCGACGAAGCAACGGCAAATGTTGATTTACGAACAGATGAATTAATTCAAAAGACTATTAGAACGAAATTTGAAAAATGCACGGTACTTACAATTGCTCATAGATTGAATACTGTTATGGATAGCGATCGAATTTTGGTAATGGATGCTGGAATTGTTGTTGTGAGTAAAATTTTATATATTATATATAATTCAAGTGATGCAAAATATTTTTTATTTGATATTTTGAATAGAAAAAAGGATGAATTTCATACGAAGCTGAAGTACGCAACGTTTATGATAAACGATTTTTGAAGAAATAATTAAAAAAAATTTTTTTTTTTACTGAACTTTCATTTGTCCGCAAAATTTATCTGGCAGAAAAACTTGGGCGCTATTTTCAAAAATTAGTCATAATTTCGTTGACAATTTCTATAATTGATTAATTTTAATATTTGCGTCCTAATTTTTCTGCCTAATATTTATTCGGACAAATGAAAATTCTTTTAAATGACTATTTATATTTATTCTTTATTTATTTATTTATTCTCTAATAATTTTGAGAAAATCAAATTTGATGAAATAAAAATTAATTTAAGTATCAATTTTGTAATAGTAATTCGGTTAAATGGAAATTTTTGTTAAATAATACTTCGAGAATATTAAAAAAAAATCATCCAAATTTCGGCTAAAAATAATTTCTAGGTAATGAAATATTGTCAAATGAAAATTCTAACAAATAAATTTTAGAGCTTATTCATATAGTTATGCTTTAAAAAAATTATAAATTTATTTTAATTTTGTTTTTCTTAATTTTTCAATTATTTATAAAATAAATCTTTCATTTTCAAAAATGACATTTAGACTAGTTCCAAAATTTTTTAAATCAGTTCCATAATTTTTTTTCGTAATGTTTATAGTAAAATTTCGATTTTTTCATACAGAAATAAATGTAATTGAAATGAAAAATATTTAAATTACCAAAAAAATGTTGAATTTTTTTTTTAAACAATTGAAATTTTAATATAATTAAAATTTAAAATCCGAGGATTTTATTTTTTCTACATTAATTAGTGTGAATAATTTTAAAATTTAGATTTTGAAAAATTAAAAGTTGTGCTAAATAATTTTGTCAAATATTTTTCCAAAAATTTAGTACAATTTACATTTTTAGAAAATTCGCAATTTTTTATTCAGTTCCATAATTTTCTTTCTTAATGTTTATAGTAAAATTTCGATTTAAAAAAAAAAAAAAAAAAATGTAATTAAAATGAATAATAATTAAATTATCTAAAAGATTAATTTTTTTTTCAAAACAATTGAAATTTGAATATAATTAAAATTTTAAATCAGAGAATTTTATTTTTAGTAAATTAATAGTGTAAATAATTTTAAAATTAAGATTTTGAAAAATTAAAAATTATATGATAAATAATTTTATCAAATAATATTTTTTTCAAAAATTTAGTACAATTTATATATTTTTAGAAAATTTGCATTTTTTAAATCAGTTCCATAATTTTTTTTCTTAATGTTTAGTCAAATTTCAAATTAAAAAAAAATGTAATTGAAGTGAAAAACTATTAAAATACCAAAAAAAAAAAAAATTGAATTTTAATAGTGTGAATAATTTTAAAATTAAAAAAAAAATTTATTGAATTTCTTAAGAAAATGGTAAAGTTTTTAAAAATCATAATGTTTTTTTTTAAATATATTTAGAAGAAAATATTGTTTGAAAAAAAAACAATTTTTTTTTTCAAAATTAATTAAAAATTTTCATTTACAGGAATTTGATCATCCGCATATGTTATTGCAAAAACCGAACAGTGTCTTAAAAAGTATGGTCTATGAAACAGGAAATTCAATGGCAGAAGCTTTGAAGGCAGTAGCAAAAAAAAGTTTCGATCTTCAACATATATCAACACCACTTTGAAGATTTGATGCTCTAGAAGTTTTTTTTAAATACAAATAATTCGCATGTGACTTAAAATTTACAGCGAAATAGGATATCATTCATAAATTAATTTAAAATACATATATATACATTTTTTTTACAGATGTTATAAAATGTTATCTGATCCAACGTAAAGGACAATAACATGCGATCAATTATTTGAAAAATATTTTTTTTTCTTGCATGTTTCAATGCAAAAGAGAAAATTAGGAAAATTAATATTATTATATTGTTTCAAATAGCAAAAAAAAAAAAAGAGGATTACATTGGTCGCAAAAGTAAAGAGACGCGGGCACAGACTCAGTATTATTATAATATCTTTTGTGTATTTTATTTGTCGCAGGAATACTTTCAAGTGTACTTAAATGTCACTTTTGTATTGTTACGTATTTTTTTTATTTATTATTATTATTATAATTTTTTTTTTGTAATTAAAATAACAGCAAACTTTTTATTTTATGTGATTTTTTTGAATAATTAACGAACGAGTCTAGAATTATGTGATTTTTATTCATGCATGTGTTTGATTTGAATGAATTTATAAGAGAGGAAGAAGAAGTGTATGTGTGTTTTAATAGACTGAAACAAATTGTTCTTAATTTGAATTTTAATCGACTTCCATTGATTGACAGAAAAAAAAGATCAGATTTCTCAACTGGATTATTTTATAATGTATTTCCCATTATTTTCGTAATTTATATTTATTTTTTCAGTTATATACTTTTTGTTAAATTAAAATATGTGTTTTATGTTTGAAATCAATATAAGATGGACCAAAAAAAAAAAAGGTTTCATATAGTACTTAATATTGATTTGTGAAATTACAAATTTTATATGAATATTTCTGATAATGCATTACATATATACATATACATTGTAAAATTTTTAACAAATTTTAGAAGAATTAAAGTATGTCTAAAAATTTGTAAGTTATACTTTGTATTTTAATAAATGTTCCAATGTTTTTTACTTGTCCACAAAACTATATTTAAAAATAATACATTTGTAAATAAGTGAAAACATTTGTAAAACTAAAGAAATCAAATCGTGGCTGTTTTCTATACTTGTAATTATCATGTATAGTATTTTGTTATGTATAACTTTGTAAATGAATAATTTTAAGTAAAAGTGCCTGTAAAAGAATAATGAAACAAATGTAATTATTATTATTATTATTATTTAAATCAAAATTAAAAAAAAAAATGGAATTATTTCATTTGCCTTGAAACATAATAATTCATCAACGAGATAAATATTATAATTGAAATTTTTTTTTTATAATAATACTTGATAAAAAAATTTTTTAATAAAAATAATATTTCTCACATAAAGTAAAATTTTAAATACCATATAATGCCTCACATATATAAATTTTTAATAACAAAAATATTTTCTTGATTAGAGTTTAAGATGAATTTTTTTTTATTTTAAAATTTAATTTTTTACTACAAAAAAGAATATATATATGACACCTTATCAAAAACAATTTGATAAAAAAGTTTTTTGAGTACTGTATTTAAAAAGAATTTTTTGTACTTTATTTAAAAAGAACTTTTCGTATTTTTATAATGAGTACTTTTGGCATATTACAAAATGCTTTTAGTACTTTATATAAAGTATTTTTAGTAATTTAATTAAAATTTCTCTTTAGTAATTTATATATAAGCTTTTAGTACCTTTGTAGAGTACTTTTAGTGTATTCATAAAGTACTTGGTAGTAGTACATTTTATAAAACACTTAAATAATATTTTATAAAGTATTTTAGTACTTTTTATAATTTTTTAGTACTTTATGCAAAGTTGGTTTTTTTTAGTGTTTTATATGTTAAAAATATTCTATTTTTTAAAATAACAAAAATATTTTATTAATTAGTGTTTGAGATGAATTTTTTTTTATTATCAAATTAAACTATTTAATTTTATTACTTGAAATTTGTTATAAATAAATTAATTAACGATAATTTTTATTTATATTAAAAAGAGAGAAATTGACAAACGTCAAGAAACGAACGTGGTGGGGGAATGGTCGAAATTCGAATTTTCGCGCCGAAATGAAAGTTTCGAAAAATTTCCGCTAGGGGCGCATGTCAAACTTTTTTTCACCTTTCTCGCAGTTATTGTGCTACATTTTGGGTATATAAGGGGACGAAAAACATAGCAAATTATCGCTTCTCGGCCCTATGGCTAAGATCAAAGTGTAGTATCTGTTCTTATCAGCTTGATATCTGATACGCTCTTCATTGAAGAGCCAGAATATCGAACTGATTTTTGGAAATCGGCGGAATGTCTGGGGCTTGCTCCGATTCTGCCACGGGTTGTCTCTGCATTGCAGTACCGCAGTGAACGGCCCACTTAATAGAATTAAAACAAAATTTTTACCTTTTAAAAAAGGATAAAAGCACTTTTGGTACTAATATTTAAAAAGTACTTTTGGTACTTTATGTAAAAAGTACTTTTGGCACTTTGTGTAAAAAGTACTTTTGGTACTTTATGTAAAAAGTACTTTTGACAATTTATGTAAAAGTGCTTTCAGTACTTTATGCAAAAGTACTTTTATCACTTTATATAAAAGTACTTTTAGTACTTTTGGTACTTTATGTAAAAGTACTTTTAGTACTTTTGGTACTTTATGTAAGAAAGTACTTTTAATTTTATGCAAAGTACTTTTATCACTTTATGTAAAAGTACTTTTATCACTTTATGTAAAAGTACTTTTAGTACTTTTGGTACTTTATGTAAAAAGTACTTTTAATACTTCATATGAAGTTTTTTAGATACTTTATGTAAAGTACTTTTGTTAGCTTATGTAAAAATTACTTTTGGTACTTTTGTAAAATATTCTAGGTACTTTATTTACACTAAGTATTTGAAGCTCTTTTTGCAAAAAGTTCAAAGTCCCTTCTCCAAACAAATCACTAAAAGTTATTTTACACAAAGTACCCAAACTACTTTTTGCAAAACATTAAAGTACTTTGCACCAATCATTTGAAGTACTTTTTGCAAAACATTTAAAGTCGTTTTAAACAAAGTACTCAAAGTATTTTTTGCAAAATATTTAAGTTACTTTTTCACTAAGTATGGAAGGAACTTTTTGAAAATATTCATAGTTATTTCACTGAAAGTACTAACAAAAACTGTCCTAATTGTAGCAGCTATTTTTTTAATCCATTACAAATAATTATTTTTTAAAATTAAGGAAAAAATTTATTTAATTTTTATGAGAAACTAAAATTATAATAAACAATTGCGTAAGACAATTATATATGTATATAGTTCTTTCTGCATTGAAGTTTATTTTTACTTGATTTATTTTTCAATAAAAATTGATTCAAATAATTTTTTATTTTAGAACAGTAACGAACAAATTTTTATTTTGTTCACATTCATATATATGAAAAAATTATATTTTAAATTTTCAACAAAAACTAAATAAGTAAAATAATTATAATGACTTAATACTTATAAAAAAAATAATTAAAATTTGTGAGTGCTTTAATAATTTTTTATTTTGAATTTTAAATTTAAGAAAAATAATTGAAGATCAACATTAACAATTTCTTATCACAAAAAGAATATTTGCAGATTAATATAAACATTATTATTTTAGAAACTTTATAATTTTTTAAATTCTTTTATAATTTATCATCTCAAAAAGAATAATTTGAGATCAATATTGATAATAATTGAAAAGTTTTTCAATAATTTTTTCTTGAACAAAGAAAGTCGTACGACTAGGCCCTTTCTTAGCCATATGACCGAGAAGCGATGAGAAGTTGGGTTTCAAAAAATTTGTTCTATTTTAAACAATTATAATTTCTAACTGCTTTAATAATAATTTATTATCTTTTAAAGAATAATTAAAAATCCATATTAAGAATAATCAAAAAAGTTTTTTCATATTTTTTTTATTTAAAAAAAATTCTTCGACTATCCCTTCATAGCCATATGGCCGAGAAGCGATGAGAAGTTGAATATATAAAATTATTTAAATTATTTTAATGTTTAAAATTTTTTAATTATTTATTAATTTATTGTTTAAAAAAGAACAATTGAAAATTTATAATATAAGAATAATTAAAAAGGTTATCAATATTTTTTTGTAAAATAAAATGTTTTCCACAATATATCTTTTTCTTAGCCATATGGCCGAGAAGCGATGAGAAGTTGGATTAATAAAAAAATTCTTTTTATTAAAACACTTATAATATTTAACTGTTTTAATAATTTATTATCTCAAAAAGAATAATTGGAAATGAATTATAACAATAATCAAAAAGTTTTTGCATATTTTTTTTATTTAAAAAAAATTCTTCGACTCCCTTCATAGCCATATGACCGAGAAGCGATGATAAGTATAGCATTTTCAAATTCTTTATTCAATTAACCCCTTAACTGTGAGATACATCTATACATAACCAAAAATTTCAGTATTATACCATAGTTACTGGCAAACCAGTACTGAGCCGATATTGAGCCAGTACTGGCTCAAATAGATTTTCTTTTTGATTAATACTAGTTTATAAAAAGTTCTAGAGTGAACCTGATGAATCTTTTTGTTTAAATATTTTGTTTATAAAAATTTTTTCACTTTGATTTTATTTTTGAAAATTAAAAGGTATATATTTTGCTTTTTTGTGGGTAAAATTATTTAAACAAAAAGTTTCCTGAGACTAATTCCAAAACATTTTGCAAGTTTTTTTTATTGTTTTCAGATATGCAATAAACCAAAAAAAATTTTAAACGAGGGTAAAGCTTCCTGAAGTGTACCTACAATATTTGAAGAGTATTCCAATTTTATTCATAATTTTTATTTTAGTAGTAAACAATGATGGAAACAACACCTATAAATATTTTTGAAAAAAAATTGTTGTATCAAAAGTTATTAACAATTTAACTTTTTAACACCTTTTTAGAAAAAAATTAATTACTTAAAAACTAATTGACAGAATTGAATAAAAATTGGTACACATGTTTAAAAATAAATATTTTTTAAAAATATAAATTTTTTTTTAAAATTATCATACAATTTGTTTAAATAATTGCACATTTTTATAAACAAATGAAAATTAAAGTATGTTCTCAATTAGATAATTAAGTTTTCTTTACAGCATCTTATTCTACATGATATTTGAAACAATTTTCAAAAAAAAAAATTTTGGGCACGTATTTTAATAACAAAATATAGCGTTTTTTGTTGCGCGCTGCAGAGAGGTTATGGCGCGCTGTACCGCGGCGAGTATTTAGTGATACTCTAGGCGCCTCAGATATGCTTCAAATCAGATAACTCATTGGAAATAAAGGTTTATTTCAATTATAATTTTAATTCTTTGTTATTTAAATATTTTGTTTATTGTTTAGAAACATTTTATTTAGATACATTGTTGAATATTTTTCTTAAGCGTAAATATTCTTCAAATCGAAGTCTTTATCTCCAGAAAATTTTTTACACCTAATTTGTTTATTTTCTGTGGGAACAAAGCAATGATATTGTCGCGTATCTTGAATTGTTTTTACATTGCGAAAACGTACTTTCAACGATTTTTCATGTGCATCGTGTTCTTGATTTGTACAAAAATCGAAACTTATTTTTTTAAAAAAACCATTTGCCCACTCAAAAAGACTTCGTGGTGAAATTATATGATTTTCATAAACGCGATGTAAACTGGCTTTTTTAGCATTTCTCTTCACCGACCCACCAATCCCATCCGAAGGACCTTTGCCGTGGGAGGTAGCAAAAAAGTGCCATTCCGCTTTAACTTTGAATTCTTTTTCGTGATGCAATAAGTTAACGAAATTAAATTTATTTTTGTATTGCGATCCAGCCCCGTCTGAAAAGTAAATTATTTTTTTGACATTTTCAGTACCATGAAATCGTTTTAAGAAGTCAATAAGTTTGGTATTAAATAAATGGACCGCTACATTATTGTGTTGCAAACATTCAGATATAATGACATAATTGTAAACATCTTGTAAACATCTTGTAAACATTTACTGGTATGTCATGTACAATAATTATTTCATATTTAGAACTAAAGTTAATAGAAAACCAACACGATTTTTCGAAGAAATTTCCTAATATTCACTTACCCAGAACTTATTATTAACATAAATATTCATTCATTTTACATAAAAATAATTAAATTATTATGCATACATTTGACAAGACCATTGAATAAACATAACAACTTAAAGCGTATGTTTAAAGCGCCTATAGCGTAACACACGTGTAACAGTGCGAATACTCGCCGCGGTACAGCGCGCCATAACCTCTCTGCAGCGCGCAACAAAAAACGCTATATTTTGTTATTAAAATACGTGCCCAAAAATTTTTTTTTGAAAATTGTTTCAAATATCATGTAGAATAAGATGCTGTAAAGAAAACTTAATTATCTAATTGAGAACATACTTTAATTTTCATTTGTTTATAAAAATGTGCAATTATTTAAACAAATTGTATGATAATTTTGAAAAAAAATTTATATTTTTAAAAAATATTTATTTTTAAACATGTGTACCAATTTTTATTCAATTCTGTCAATTAGTTTTTAAGTAATTAATTTTTTTCTAAAAAGGTGTTAAAAAGTTAAATTGTTAATAACTTTTGATACAACAATTTTTTTTCAAAAATATTTATAGGTGTTGTTTCCATCATTGTTTACTACTAAAATAAAAATTATGAATAAAATTGGAATACTCTTCAAATATTGTAGGTACACTTCAGGAAGCTTTACCCACGATCAAACTAAAAATAAATAAATTTGTTTATAAAAAATTTATTTTTTTTTAAATAAAAATTTAAACAAATTTTCTTGACAACACTTGTTAAAAATTAAGAAACAACTTTTATTTTCTTAAAAAAGTTTTTCAAAAATTTATTTTGATGCAAATAAATAAGTGAATAATAAAATAATTAAATAGCTATACTCATTACTTTTTTATTTAATATACAGTTTCATTTTGTAAATTTCTTTTTTTCTATATTTTTATTTTAAATCTTCTTTAAATTAATTATTTTACAAGTAATTTTTCAAAACTACTTTAAAAGCTATAAACAAATTTGGCGTAAGTTTTTTTTTTTATATTAAAAGAAAATATATTTTTTTTATTCAAATTAAAAGAAAATAAATTAGTTAAGTTGTGTAATATTTTATTAATCAGTAAAGGTTTTTCAAATTGTCTTAATTTTTAGTATAATACTGTAATTATACTGTTTTATGTACTGTAATTTATTAAGAATAAATTACCAATAATTTCTTTAATATTAACTTGTTTAAAAAATATTTTATTTTGATTTAATCAAAATCTTTTTTTTAAATTAAAATAGAATGTAACAAAAATCAGTATATATACTATGTATATAACATTGTTTATGACAATTAAGTCATAAATAATTTTTTTAAAAAAAATATATACAACAAAATGTAATATATATAAAAAAAAATTATAAAACTGACCTATTATTATTCATTCACCGGTTTTACAAAGTATCTATCAATGTAGTGGAGAATTTCAAAACCAACTTCTACCATAATAAGAATTATTATCATCCATTCTAATCGAACATGATGTTTATCACTTAAATGGGATGACAAAAGTTCCACGAGTTCCACACAGTGATTTATTTTTTCATTCATTACCTGTAAAATTAATTATTTTAACTTTTTTGGAAAATTTTTCACAAAAAGATAAATTTTAATTTAAATTTTAACCCACTTAAATTTAAATTATTAAATGAGGTTATTTTTTTTTTTGCATCATTTGAGTCCTAAAAATATACACGATGGTAAAAAAAAAAAATTAATTTTTGCCCATTTTAAAAATTAAAGTCTTAAAAAAATTAATATTTTACATATATCTATGTTCTTTCATCAATTTTAACTATTTTTCACGCTTTTTTAATGGAATCTCTCGCATGGATATTCAAAAATTATTAATTTTTTTAAAAAAAATAAAAATTCTAAAATGGTCAAAAATTAAAATTTTCTTTTTTTGATCACTTTATATGTTTTTAGGATCCAAATGATTCAAGGAAAAAAATAAAACCTCGTTTAATAATTTAAATTTGAGTGGGTCAAAATTGGAGGTGGTGCCTCCCCTTAAATAATAATTGCAGGCCTCGGATTATACATACGACTTTTTCTGACTTTTTTTCGACTTATTTAAATAAGATGCGACTTTTTCGACTTTTTTTTACATTTTTTTACAAAAATTTTTAAACAAAATTCGTTTTTTTTATTATTTAATACAGATCTTCAGATCTTCTTTATTTCAATTATTTAACAAATTTTTAACTAAAATTCTTCACTAAATTAATTATTTTTAATAATTTTAATGAAATTCTTCAAAAATTTAATAATCTTAAATTATTTTTCAATTAAAAATTTTATAAAATTCAATAATTGTTTATAATTTAAAAAAAAAATCAAATAAAATTAACAAAAATTTCAATTTAAAACCTTTTAAATTTTAATTATTTTTATAATTTTCCATTTAAAATTTTCTGAAATTTAATAATTTTAATTGCAACTCTTACGAATTTTCAATTATTTTAAATGATTTTTTTTAATTCTTCGAAAATTCAATTATCTGAAAAAGCATTTTTTAATTACAAAATTTTAAAGTTCAATTTTTAATAAATTTCTTTAACAACAGAAATCAGCAAAAAAATTTCACTTTAAAATCACTTGAATTCAATTATTTTCAAAAATTTCAATTTAAAACCTTCTAAAATTTAATTATTTTTAAAAAGTGTTAACTATAATTTTTCCAAAATTAAATGATTTTAAATGATTTTTGTAATATTATTCAAAAATTCAATTATTTGAAAGCATTTTTTCAATGAAAAACTTTTTCACTAAAAATTTTAATTAAAAATCACTTGAAGTTTAATTAATTTCAAAAATCTGAATTGTAAATCTTTGAAAATTCAATTACTTAAAAAAAAATTGTTATCTAAAATTATTTAATAAATTATTTTTAGTTCTGTAAAATTTAATTAGTGTCTAAAAATTAAAAAAATCTTTTGAAAATTAATTATTTCTAAAAATTTCAACTATATAACTCTTTCAAAGATCAATTATTTTTAATAATTTTAAAATTTCTTTAAAAATTCAAATATTTACAAAAGTTTCACATGGAAACTCTAAAATTGAATTGTTGTCAGAATTTTTTTTTCCGAAATTTGTCCTACTCAATTAAAAATTAAAAAAATTTACAACTTCGATTCTGAAATATTCGAAATAAATTTTCTTGATATATTCCTATAGAATTATTTTTATTAAGGAATTAATAAAATGTATTTGATATCCAATAACATTATTTACTTATTTAAAGTAAAATAATTATGAAATTAAGTAAATTTAATTAAAATTAATAATCAACTATTTTGGGAATGTAAATCGACTAAAACGACTTTTTTTACCTTTTAAGTCAATCCGAAGTCTGTAATAGTAATAATAATAGTAATGATAAATTAAAAAAAAAATAAATAAAAATTGATTTACTTACCCTTGTGCGCTTTGTAATATTAAAATTAGAACAAGTTTGATGATATAATGTTTCGAGATCATCACGTTCCCAATAAAAATCAGGAGTATCGAGTAAATCAGAACTCAAATTAATTAAATGTCTTAATGCAAATAGTTCTCCCTGTTTTCTCAGTACTTCTTCTCGTGTCATTTTAATAGTTCTACCTGCTTTTAAATCTTCAGTGACAAATTCTATTGAATTAACATAAAGATTTAATGACGCTTCCCATATTCCCAATTTTACTGATTGTGCTACTGCATTTGAGAATGTATATTTATCATATTCATTTGTATCGGGAGCCAAAACTATATCTCCATCTTTTAAATGACTTCTTTTGCTGAAAAAAAAATAAACAATGACAATAATTTTTGTTCTTATTTTATTTTCTACTATTCATGTTATAAATATTTAATAAAAAAAATTTTAAATATATTACCCTTTTTCAGCGTATGTATAAGACATTACTTCACCTTCAGCGTGAATTAAATCATTCTTATAACTGTTGTCTTCATAATTTTTCAAAAATTGTAACACATTACCTAATTCTAATTCTGGAATATTCCACAAGACAACTGTTCCTTCTCTAAAGAAATAAATTTCACGTGGTTCTTGACCAACTTCATATTTTGGAATTGCTTGAATTACATCTGGTTCAGCTGTAAATACATGTAACTGTGAGAATAATTATTATTTATAGAAAGTCCAATAATTTTTTTTATTATATTTACTTTCAGTCTTTAATTTATAATAAAACATTAAATTACAGTTTTTAAAATATGGGATTATTTTTAAAAATAACTGTTTAATGTTGTTAAAATGCTTTATTTCGCAATAAACAATAAAATATTATATTTGTGAAAAAATAATTCCATAAATAACAGAATAATAATAATTAAATGACAATTATTTTCATTTGTATGTTTAATGTTATATAAGCAAAAAAAAAACAACTGGAACTTTTTAAACCTTCTTTAAACAAATTATTATCTTTATTTATCAAGAAACTTTGTAATGAACTTTCAAAACACCCAAAATATTAATAGAAAATTTTTATTTTAATTTTGAATTATGTATGTTGCTTTATATTACCTTTTTTTATTCACAATTAGTTTTATTTTTAAGTTTGCGGAAAAGAAAATTGTAAAACTTTGTAAAAGTACACAGTGGAGAAATAAATAATAATAAATTAATTAAAAATATTTTAATTTATAAATAATAGAGGGTAAAAAATGGTTTTCAGCTTTTTTTTTAATGGAATATATTCGATTATTAAAAATTGTAAATAACTCGAAAAATACGTATAAACATAAATAAATTCTAATACAAAACTTTAAAGCTTACAGGTGTTAAATTAGAACATTATTAATAGGTAATGATTTTCTTATAACTGAATTAATAACAAATATTCTCGTAGTTATATAAAATAAAAGTTATTTTTTAAAAAGTTTAAGAATTAAATAATTAACTGATAAATAAAATTTTTTTAAGAATTTCTCAAATAAAGGGAAAATTTAAAGGAAAAACATTTAAACATTAATATAGAAGAGATTAAGAGAAAAAAATGAGAAAATTTTATTAAAAATTGGAAAAGAATTAAAATAATACGAGAATCTTTAAAAAAAAATTAAAAGAAAATAGAAAATTTAAATGAAATGCAATGTTGAAGAGAAAATTTAAAACAAAAATTAAAAATTTAAGAAAGTTTTAGAAAAAAAACATAATTTACGGGAAAAATTGAAAATGATTTAAAAAACGAAATTAAAAAAAAAAGAAATCAATTAAAATGTTTAACGTCCGAGAATTATATTAAGGGGGTAGAGTCTGGTGTTTCGATGCCTTTTTGGGAGCTTATTTCAGGATTTTTTTTAATTATAAAATAAAATATAATCACACCAAATCTTTTTACTTCGTTTTATTCTAATCATGAAGTGTTGAAAAAAATTATAATCGATTATTTTTTACTAGATTTTGTTATTTATATTTAATATTAATGTTTATAACAAAAAAATGCTGGCGCAGATGATTTACAAAAACCTATCCGACCGATTGCTCCAATTTTTTTACAGCTTATTCTACACAAGCATGGCTTTGGCCCGTACTAGAATAAAACATTTTTGTTAATAAATAACAAAATAGCGGACTATATAAGCAAAAAGATTCAAAAATTGTCTCTTTTTTATTGACAAAAAGTTAAAAATAAAAAAAAGTTATCATTAAAATTGCGTAATTCTAGTACGGGCCACAGCCATACTTGTGTAAAATAAGCTAAAAAAATTGGAGCAATCGGTCGAACAGATTTTTGTAAATCACCTGCGCCAGCATTTTTTTGATATAAACATTAATATTAAATATAAATAACAATGTCTAGTAAAAAATAATCGATTATAATTTTTTTCAACACCTCAAAAGAAGAATAAAACGATGTAAAAAGATTTGGAGTGATTATATTTTATTTTATAATAAAAATAAATTCTGAAATAAGCTCCTAAAAAAAGGCCTAAACACCAGACTACCCCCTTAATTAGAAGGTTTCGTATGAATAAAAACTTTTATTAAACAACAATGATCCGAATGTTATCGTTTTTATTCATATACGAAACCTTCTAATTAGTAAGAAAACAAAAAGTTGAAGAAATTAAAAGAAAAATATATAGAATTTTAGGAATTTCAAAAAAAAAAAAAATTAGAAATTCTCAAAAAAAATTTTTGGGAAAAATCGAGAATTTTAGAAATCGTCAAATTAAAAAGGAGAATTTGCAAATAAAAGTGATAATTTGCAAAAAAAAAGTGATAATTTTGATTTGTAAAAGTAAATAAATAAATATTGTTTCTCTTTGTAAAAATAAATAAATTATAGTTGTCTATAAAAAAGTTTTTTTTTTATTGACAATAAATTCCAGAAAATTAAGTAAATTCCCTGACTCCTCTGATCGTTAAGACACTCTGTAAATTTTAATTGTTAAATTTAAACAATTATATAATAAAAATTATTAAATGAAATTAATTTAAATAAATTTCTAGAATTAAATTTCTAAAATTAAAATTATGATTATGTTATTAAAATGTTTTTTTTTAAATTTATTTAAACTTATATTGTCATTAATAAATTCAATTTAAAGATTTACAAAATAATTTAAGTATATTTAAATACTATAAAATAGAAGTTATTTTTTTAATTTAAATTAAAATCAATAATAATTGAAATGTTTAATTTTTGAATTTATTAAAATCAATAATAAATTTAAATTATATTAAATTAAAGAAATGTAAATGTAAATAAATTTTGAAAAAATTTCTTTAAATTTTTTTAAAAAAAAAGATATATATTTTGGTAGCAAATGGTTTAAAGCAAAATAGATTAAAGTTAAAAATTTACAAAAATTGTATGATACTACAAAATATGTTAAAAAATTATTTTACGTACGTTTAGAAGATGTACGAAATTTTTGAGGAATATATAAATCTTGTCGTTTAAGTCCTTCCATGAGAGCTTCCAAATTATATTCCTCAGCAGTGGCTAACGCCTTAACTTTCCAAAACTATAGAAAATATTTAATTTTTTTTTTTTTTTTTTTTTTAATTATAAAATAAAATATTAATTATTAAAGTAATAGAAAAAAAGAAACTTACCCCAGGAACTGGAATATCTTCTTCATCGTTGTAAGATTTTTTTTTCTTCAATGGTCTTTTTTTAATTTGTAAAGGTGAAATAATTTCCTTAACTGGTTTTAAATGTGAATCTTTCTTTTGTGTACAATATTTTGCATTATTAAAAAAAATACTTTGTTTTTCTAATTTGGAATTAGTGAAAAATTGCGATGTGACAGTGATGAAATTTCTTTGAGTTTGTAGTAATGTAATTCCTACATTATAAAAACTATTTAAATTTATTGGTTTAATTGCTTGTAAAATTGATCGTTGAATTGTTATTACAATCATTTTTTTTTTTTATTAATTATTATAGAAGGAAAATAATGACACAAATGATAAATTAAGTTACATCAACTGAAAGGTTGAAGTTCAATTTTTTGGTTAAAAGCACGTGCTTTTTAATTTGTCGCATTTATATTTTAATAACACTGTCATAGAATTTCTTTTTATTAATTAAACTCAAATTTTTATTTAGTTTTACAATTGACGTTTAAAATAGTACAATTATTAATAAATTGTACATTAAAATAAAGAAATATTTATTACTGGTATTGTGCATTGCCTGCTCAGTGTTTATTAATTGTAATTCATAACGTGAAATTTAGAATTTTTAAAGGTATATCCATATGCGCAAGCTGACAATGGTTTCACATTTTGGATCTTTTACTGTATCTTGAAACAACGGAGACTAACTGCGTTTACAGTTACACGAGATACGTAAAAACCTTTTTTTTGCATTACGTAGTTACCCAACTCTGAAAAACAGATTGTCAGTGTGTGTTGCCTTCATCACAATTGTCAATATTTAATGTGATTATTAATTGCAATTTATTATATGTATTAAATATTTACATAATTGTATTTTAATTGAGAAAAAAGGCAAAAAAAGAACGCTTCAAGATGATGATGGACTATTTTGTTACGAATAATTCCCTGGCACCAGCTCCAATGGGAATACAAAGTACAGCTGGAGCAGTTCCTGTTAAAAATGACAAAGGTACACTATATAATATATTTCCAAAACAAATAAGTGGATCAGCTTTCAAATTATTTATTTCTTTTGAAAATTTAATTCTTTTAAATTTTCTCAAATACATTTACTTTTCTGATATGTAATTAAAAATTATGTCAGTAGAAAATCAACAAAATAATTATTTTCGTACATTAATTTTTAAAAATAGATTTGAGTTACTCTTTTTCTATAAGTTTTTCTTTTTATTTGATAAAAATTAAAGTCCATTATTACTAGAATTTTCAAAGGGCAATAAGATTAAAATAATAAGGAAATTAAAAATACATGAAAAATATAAAAAAAAAAAAAAAAAGATGTAGGTATATACATAGTTAAATATATTTGACTGACCAATATTCCATTAATTGCTCTTTGACAATTTTTATTTCGACTTTTTTTTAAAAACATTTTTTAAACAAAATACGATTTTTTAGTATAAAATTTACATCTTCCAAAACTGAATTATTAAATGAATATTAACTAGAATTTTTCGCAAAATTAATTATATTCAATAATTTTAATCAAGTTCTCTAAAAATTCTATTATTTAAAATATTTTTCAAATGAAAATTCTTTTAAATTCAATTATTGTTTAAATTTTGTAAAAAAAAATTCAATTAAAATTTATGAAAGTTTCGATTTTAAATCTACTAAAATTCAATTATTTCTAAAAAAATTTAACTTTAAATTTTCAAAAATTTAATTATTTCTAAAATTCTTCGGAAAATTAATTATTTTTAATAAATTTAATCAACATTTTCAAAAATTTAATTTCTTTTAAACATTTCTCAATTTAAAATTTTCTAAAATTCAATTATTATACAATACAGATCTTCTTCAGATCTTCTTTATTACAATTATTTAACAAATTTTTTAATAAAAATTCTTCACTAAATTAATTATTTTTAATAATTTTAATGAAATTCTTCATAAATTCAATTATCTTAAACTATTTCTCAATTAAAATTTTTATGAAAATTTAATATTTGTTTATAGTTTTAAAAAAATAAGCAAATAAAATTACCAAAAAATTTTAATGCAAAATTTAATTATTTGCAAAAAATTTCAATTATTTTTATAATTTTTATAATATTCTTCGAAAATTTTGGAATTCAATTTTTTCTATGTGATTTCTAATAAATTCTTCATCAACAGAAATCACTAAATATTTCTCTTATCACAATTATTGTCTGAAATTTAACATAATCTTTTGAAATTCAATTATTTTCAAAAATTTCAATTTAAAAGCTTCTAAAATTTAATTATTTCTAAAATTTTCCATCTAAAATTTTTTAAAATTTAATAATTTCAATTATAACTCTCCTGAAATTCAATTATTTTTAATGATTTTTATAATATTCTTCGAAAATTCAACTATCTGAAACCATTTTTCACTTAAAAAGTTTTCAAATTATTGTATTTTTATTTTTTTTGCAATTTCTAATAAATTTTTTAGTAACAGAAAGCATCAAAAATTTTTAATAAAAAATCATTTGAAGTTCAATTAATTTCAAAAATCTAAATATTGTAAAGTTTTTAAAATTTCAATTAGTTTTAAAAAATGTTCTCTAAAATTTTTGATAATTTATTTTTAGTTTTGTAAAATTTAATTATTGTCTGAAAATTAACAAAATCTTTTGAAATTCAATTATTTCTAAAAAATTTTAACTTTAACTCTTCCAAAATTATTATTAAAAAAAAAAATTTATTTAAAAATCTGTAAAACTTGATTAAGAATTGTCTGAAAAATTTTTTTAACCATCAAAACAAAAAACTATGACAAAATTTTTAATTCGAATAAATTGCTTAAATCAGACTTCAAGAAAGTTATAAAAATGGAACTTTAATAATTTTTTATAGAATTATTCTCATTATAAAATTAATAAAATGAATTTAATATCCAATAACATTAGTTATTCAAAAGAAAAATATTTATTAACCAATTAAATGTTGTTAAAATAAAAAAAATGGACTTTTTCGATTTTTTTTATGCCTTAAAGTCGATTTGAGATCTGTAATAATAAAATATTTATTATATACCGTGGATGTCCCAGTTACCGTCCACCTAAGACCTAGTTTCCGTCCAGTTTAATTTTCAAAATAACATTTATAAAAAAATTATTTTCTTTTATTTGTTTACTTAAACTAATAAGTCGATTGTGTGACAAAAGGAATAAATTATTGTTAAAAAATAATTTAAATTACTATACGAGATATTTGTAAAATGGACGGAAACTGGGACATGGACAGTAACTGGTACATCCACGGTAATTGTATTTTTAAAAAATAAGAAATCAACTTTTTCGACTTTTCTTGTAATGGAAATCGACTAAAACGTCTTTTTTCTTCCCCTAAATTTGATCCGAGACCTAAAAATACAAAAAATTAAATGTAGTCATTAATAGTTTATAGTGAAAAAAGTTTTAAAATAATTTAATCTTGTACATGTAATGTATTTTTGTCAAAATAAAATTTATTAAAATAGTACTTGGAAAAAAAATTTTATCTTGTAAAAGTTTTGGAATTTTATTTAGAAAAATGTTCTAGACACCTTGATAATGAAAATTTTGTGTCAACCCTGCAATTTAATTTTTTTCATCATATACAATTTTCTTTTTGATTGCAGGAGAATTGTCTATGAAAAAAGTAAAAGTACATCGATATGTATCTGGTAAACGTCCTGATTATGCTCCAGCAGCAAGTTCCGATGAAGAATCAGAGGAAGATGATTTTCTTGAGAAACGTGTCTATAAATCATACGACGATACAGAGACAAATACAGAAATTGTTGAACCATCGCGAAGTAAAATTGGCGACGAGGACGATCCTCGATTACGTCGTTTGACACGTTTAAATAAACAAAAAGAATCGGAAACAGAAATACGCGTCGAAAGACATCGACATGTTTATGAGCCCGAAATACTTGAAACAGTACCCGATAGATTACGTGAAAGAATAAAACTTGAGAGTTCAGATTCATCGGAAGATGAAGATTTATCAGATACAGAAATTGAGAAACGACGTGAGGAATTAAAAAAACGTGTTATGTCAAAAAAAGATGCCGACGAGGATTTAATACAAGATGAAGATGAAGAAAAATCAGGTGAAAGTTCAGAGGAAACATCAGAATATGAGGAATATACTGATTCAGAGGAGGAAACGGGACCAAGATTAAAACCAATTTTTGTCAGTAAAAAAGATCGTATCACAGTAATGGAAAAGGAGAAGGAAATATTTAAACAAAAACAAGCTGAAGCTGAAGCAAAAAAAATGGCTGAAGAAAGACGTAAGCAAACATTGAGAATTGTTGAGGATATTGTACGTAAAGATACACAAGTTAATAAAGTGACAAATGATATTGATAGTAAACTTGAGGATGTTTGTACGGACGATGAAAATGATGAGGCCGAATATGAGGCATGGAAATTGCGTGAATTAAAAAGAATTAAACGCGATCGTGAGGAACGTGAACAAATGGAAAAGGAACGTTTAGAAGTTGAACAACTACGTACAATGACGGAGGAGGAACGTCGTCAAGAGGCGCGTCTTAATCCAAGAACAATAACAAATAAAGCGGCAAAGGGAAAATATAAATTTTTACAAAAATACTATCATCGCGGTGCATTTTATCTTGATAAGGATGATACAATATTTAAACGTGACTTTTCTGGTGCAACATTGGAGGATCATTTTGATAAGACAGTTTTGCCAAAAGTTATGCAAGTCAAGAACTTTGGTCGTAGTGGTCGAACAAAATATACACATCTTGTCGATCAAGATACAACACAATTTGATTCGCCTTGGATTTCGGAAACTGCACAAAATTTGAAATTCCACAATTATCAAGCAGCTGGAATGAAACAAGTTTTTGATCGTCCTTCATTGAAAAAAAGGAAAAATGAATGAAAAAAATAAAGGGGTAATTTTTTTTTTTTTTTTATTAATTTACATTGATTATTGAACTTAGTTTAAATTAAATGATAGATATAAATTATAAATTAAAAGAGTTACAGCAATAAAAATAAAAATCTTGAATTAGAATTTTGTGCATTTTTGTTTCAGAATTTGGAAAATAAAAAATCATATTTACCCTAAAAATATTTTTCGTTTAATAATTAGAAATTATTATTTAAAAATTTGACATAATTTTTAAATTAAATTTTTGTTGTCAATAATTTTATTCAAGTTCAAAACTAATTTAATAATGTGCTACCTTTTTCAACTTTCTCATTATTCGATTAATTTACGAAAGTAATATTAAAAAAAAATTCAATTTACAATGTAAAATTTAGAGAATACAAAATAACGTATATATCATATTTTCATATAATATTATTATCATCAATTGAATGTGTGTAATTTTTTTCAAATTTAGCAAATTTTAATTGATTTAAATTTCAAATTATCCGAATTTCAATTTATTCAAATTTTAACTTATTTAAATTTCAATTTCAACAAATTTTAATAAATTTCAATTTCAAATTATCCGAACTTTAATTTTAGCCAAATTTTAATTGATTTAAACTGAAATTTATCCGAACTTTAATTTTAGACAAATTTTAATTGATTTAAACTGAAATTTATCCGAATTTCAATTTTATCCAAATTTTCATTGATTTAAACTGAAATTTATCCGAATTTCAATTTCAGACAAATTTTAATTGATTTAAACTGAAATTTATCCGAATTTCAATTTCAGCCAAATTTTAATTGATTTAAACTGAAATTTATCCGAATTTCAATTTTATCCAAATTTTCATTGATTTAAACTGAAATTTATCCGAATTTCAATTTTACCCAAATTTTAATTGTTTAAAACTTTATAGATTGAGTTAGAATAAGTTAACAAAAATACCAATGTAGCTGGGGAAAAAAATAATATATTTAATTTTTTTTGTTTGTATCAAATATTGTTAATTTTAACGAAGCTGAAGTACGCAACGTTTATATAAACGATTTTTAAAGAAATAATTTTTTAAAATGAAAAATTCTATAATTTTTTGTCTAAAAAATATTTCTTGTAATTTTTATTAATCAACAAATTATAAAAAAATAATTTTTAGACAAAAAATTATAGAATTTTTTATTTTAAAAAATTATTTCTTTAAAAATCGTTTATATAAACGTTGCCTACTTCAGCTTCGTTAATTTTAAAATTCTCACAAATTTACTTATATGTCCGTTAAAAAAAAAACCAATTCGCTATTCAATTATTGTGTTAAATTATCCAAAATTTAATTTACCTAAATTTTAAACTATTAATTAATGCTTTAATCATTGATGAGAAATTTCAATTTTTAAAAATTTGAATTAGATACAAATTAGTTATTTTGCACATTAATTTTTTTTTAACTTGCTCCTTAGATAAAAATTAATTATATAATTTTACTTATTTAATAATTAATCAATATTTTTCTAGTATTAAATACTAAATAGTATTTAATAAAATTTGATGAAAATTGCAGTATTAATTTATTCAAAATTTTATTATCTCAGAAATTAGTTTATATCGACATTTTAAAAATTATTATTTTAGACGCGTCGCAAACAAAAGGACCTTAGAAGCAAACGAATTATAGTTTATGTTTACTTTTATAAACTTAAAATCAGTTTTTGTTAAAATATTTTAACTGTAATGAAAACTTAAATATCAATATAATTTGTATTGAGAATTGATCCTCTTTGATTATAATTTCAGTTAAAAATTTCAAAACATAACCTATAATTTTTTACTCCTAAGGTCCCTTTCTTCAGAGCTATAGAAATAGGAAGAAATGAAAATAAAAACTATTTTTATATTAAAATTCATTATAATTTAATAGTTCTCTTTTCTTTTTTGTAAAAAATAAACTGCCAAACTTGAACACATTTTATTGGTATAATCACTGATTGGGACAAACTTAAAAAAAAAAAAAAGCAACAACGAATAGTTTGTCTCTTAAATGCAAATAGCACCGCATATTTGTTCCGGTTTATTCGCTGACGAATTATTCGCAGTCATTGAATCGTTACGTTTTCTTTGGCAACAAAATCTTTCGAAAAATTCACCTAATTCACTGTTCTCTGAATATTCATTATATGTATTTATTAATATATCATTATCTTGCATTGCAATAAAAGTTTGTAAATCATTCTTTGGAAAACCATCGCGATAATAGAGTTTAATTGTTTCATATGCGTCCATAATAACTGAAATAAATAAACTCAAAACAACGTAAATATATAACGATGTAAATGTATATAAATAAATTCGCGAAAACCACCAAAGCATTGGCGATTTAACTGATGTCATTGAAAATGTTGCAAACATATCGTCACCATTGATTAAAGCAAATAAACATTCGGATGTTGATGCAAGTGTTTGAAATTTCATATGATACGGTCCCAATATTAACCAACCGCAAAATGTAAATCCCGCATAAATTAAAATAGCGCACAATAAAAATCTTGCAACTTCAGGCGCTGCTTTTTTCAATGTTAATATCACAACATTATAAGTTTTAAAAAATCCCAAATATCTCAATACACCAAACCAAACCAATAAATTACCAGTGCCCAAAAAAATACTACAAATATTCCAATGATCATTACCAAAATGTTTTCTTTCAATTTGCTCCTTTATTCCCGAGCCAATAATTATTAATAAATCATTAATAATAATCATAATGTACCATAAATTTAAAAATTCCAATCTCCCCTGTAAACTTAATGGTACATTAAAAGTTCTTTTAAAAAATCCCATTGTTTCATATTTTAATAATTGTGCTCTATAAATTGCTCGCGAACATAATATCAATGAAAATGTACAAATAAGAATGACAAATAAATTTAATAGAGTTCTTAATGCCGATTCAAGTTGACTATTTGGATAATAATGCGTCAATCCTTTACATAATAAACGTCTTGGTTCAGTGTCCAATGAAAGTAACATTTGTCCATCAAAATCTTTGTTGTCAAAAATAATTTTAATTTTAAATGTATAACAATCGGGCGGTGTTATTGGACCAGCTGCTTTTAAATTAACAGTTTTAATTGCAAATTTTAATTCTGCTTTAATCAATGATGAGAAATTAATTTTTACATTTTCATCCATTAAAACTTTGCCTATTGAAAATTTATCATTATATTTGTGCGTTATATTTACGCATAATTCTTCAATTTCATTATCAAATATATAACTTTCATTAAAACCAAAAATAATTCCTTTCTTGTAATGTTGTAAACACAATATTACTGGTCCACGTGAATTATCCTCTGAATCATAAGAATAGGATCCAATTGAATTATTTAAATTATAATAACCGTCTAATGCAAAATTTACTGTTTCATAAAAATCATCTTGTTTATAAATTGCAAACGGTCCTGAAGCTGGTGGATATGCTGGAACCTGAAATATATATTTTTTCTTTTCTTTTGAAATTTATTTATGCGATTACATTTTTGTATTATTAATGAATGAATAAATTATAAATAAATTGTTTAGACCATTATATTTTGACCATTGCAGCATATTTTTAGAAAAATATTATAATTCGATATAATCATTTTTTTACATCCGTACAATTCAAATATGTAATTGAATTTTTAAAGAAATATTACAATTATTCAAAATAATTGAACTTTGGAAGAGTTATAGTTGAAATTTTCAGAAATAATTAAATTTTACAGAATTGTAAATAATTTATCAAATAATTTTAGATAAGATTTTTTAAAAGTAATTGAATTTTCAAAGATTTACAATTTAGATTTTTGAAATTAATTGAACTTCAAGTGATTTTTAATTGAAACTTTTGGTGATGAAGAATTTATTAGAAATTACAAACAAAAATTAATTTTCAAAAGTTTTTAATTGAAAAATGCTTTCAGATAATTGAATTTTCGAAGAATATTATAAAAATCATTAAAAATTATTGAATTTCGGAAAAGTTTTGATTGAAATTATTAAATTTTAAAAAATTTTAGAAATAATTAAATTTTAGAAGCTTTTAAATTGAAATTTTTGAAAATAATTGAATTTCAAAAGATTATGTTAAATTTCAGACAATAATTATGATAAGAGAAATTTTTAGTGATTTCTGTTGATGAAGAATTTATTAGAAAACACAAAGAAAAAATTGAATTCCAAAATTTTCGAAGAATATTATAAAAATCATAAAAATAATTGAAATTTTTTGTAAATAATTAAATTTCATGTGATTTTGCATTAAAATTTTTTGGTAATTTTATTTGCTTATTTTTTTAAAACTATAAACAAATATTAAATTTCATAAAAATTTTAATTGAAAAATAGTTTAAGATAATTGAATTTATGAAGAATTTCATTAAAATTATTAAAAATAATTAATTTAGTGAAGAATTTTTATTAAAAAAATTTGTTAAATAATTGTAATAAAGAAGATCTGAAGAAGATCTGCATTGTATACTGAAAAAACGTATTTTGTTTAAAAATTTTGTAAAAAAAATGTAAAAAAAAAGTCGTATAATTCGAGACCTGTTATTATCAAACAATTGTTATTAGAAATTAAATAAGTTTTATTAATTCTCTAATCAGATTTATACAAATTATTTGAATTCAGAAGTTTAGAAAATGTTTTAAATAATTTTTAATTTTTTAAATAAATTTTTTGTAAATTTGAATTGCTGAAGATTTTTTTATAAGCTTTTAATAATAATAATTGAATTTTAGAAAATTTTAAATTGAAAAATGTTTAAAAGAAATTAAATTTTTGAAAATGTTGATTAAATTTATTAAAAATAATTAATTTTCCGAAGAATTTTAGAAATAATTAATTAATTAATTGTTAAATAATTCAAAAATAATTAAATAATTTAATTTGTTAAATAATTGAAATAAAAAAGATCTGCATTGTATACTAAAAAAATGTATTCTGTTTAAAAAATTTTGTAAAAAAATGTCGAAAAAGTTGTATTTTATTCAAATAAGTCGCAAAAAGTGGTATTTTCGAAAAAAAAGTCAGAAAAATTTGTAGAATCTGAGGACTGTAATTACATAAAATTTCGATAATTTAAATCTGAAAACAATTAAATTTTGGACAAAATAATATTCGGATAATTTGAAACATAAATTGGCGAATTTTTAGACAGATTGAAATTTTGTTAATTTTAAGTTTCAATCGATTGAATTTGTATTTGACCAAAATTTTAGTTAATAAATTTATTGGGATTAATAAAAATTAGAATTAATTGAAAATTAGATGAATTGAAATTGAAATTTAGATCGATTAAAATTTTAATTGAATAAATTAGAAATAAATTGAAATTTGGATAAATGAAAATTTAATCGAATTCAAATTTGGAAAAATTAAATTTTGAATTGATATAATTGATTAAAATTAGTCACTTCTTAAAAGTAAGATACTTTATGGGAAATAGGAAAATTTTTACCTAAAAATGTTTTAAATACTTAAATTTTAAAAGAAATTGATAAAAATTCTTAGAATTGAAACAAATTGATTAATATTATTGAAAATTATTAATTTGGCGAAGAATTTTAGATAAAAATTAATAAATACTTAAATATTCGAATAGTTTCTATTAAAATTTTTGAAAATAATGGAATTTTAAGAGATTTTAAAATGAAATTTTTTTTAAATTGAATTACTGAAGATTTTTTATAAAAACAGACATTAATTGAATATTTAAAAATTTTTAATCAATTAAAAACTATTTTAAATAATTGAATTTTAGAAGAACTTTGGTAAAAATAATTAACATAGCGAAGAATTCTAAACAGAAATTTAAAAAATAATTGAATTTCAATTCTGTTACAATTCATATTTTTAGAAATAATCAAATTTCAGATTTTGAATTGAAAATTTTTTAAATTTAAGTAGCTGAAGACTTTTTTAAAAGAATTTTAGTTTTAGAAAATAATTGAAAAATGTTTTAATTAACTGAATTTTTGAAGAATGTCATTAAAATTTTTGAAAATATTTTTTAATTTTATTTTGTCAAATAATAATTTTATTAAAATAAATTGAAAAAAGTTGCATTTAAAAAATAAGCCTGAATCAGTCATACAATCCGAAGCTTAACATTTTTTTGTGAATTTGTTTAATTTTCCAGACAAAAATGTCTTTGAGAATTATTTATTAAATTATCAATTTTTTTTATGGCCGCAACAACGACTTATGTCAAAATTTAATGACCTAATCCAAATAAAAAATTAATTTAATAACCAATATATATTCCTAATATAGAAAAAAAATTATTAGCTAATTTAATTATAATTTATTGTAAATTTCTTTACCTCTTGTACAGAATCCCATCCTCTCAGAAAAAGATGTGAAAATGCAATTCGATTGTCCCATGTGTAATTGACGTGTATATAATTGTTATGCGCAAATAAACAAAGTTGTGTCGTAACTAATACTATTTTAATTATTTGTACAATAAATTTATATGGAAATCTTCGTTTAGCTTGCCATTTTTCAACAGGATTCATGAAAAAAAATTTTAATTTTCGTCGCATTTTATCCTCATCATAACAATTTGCGTTTGAATGTTGACAATAATTATTTCGAATAAATGGTTCTGATGAGCTGTAAAAATATTATTCAAATAGTTATAAGAAAAAATAATATTAAATTAATTTATTAATTAATTTTAATCTTAATATATTAATAAATTAAATGTCTTTGTTTATAATAAGATAAATTAAAAAATTTAATATTTAAATTTATATTTAAATTTTTATTTATTTAATATATAAATTTAAATATTATAATTAGAAACAAAACATTTTTTTTTCAAATTAATTTACATCACAAAAAAATGTAGACTATTTTTTTATATTATAAAACAAACCTAGCATCCATTGTGTTGGATGTTGATTGACTTTCATCTTCGTCAACAGTTTCTTCTTGATTCCAAGCATTGTCAGCGGAATTTATATTTTCAGCCATTTTACTGGCAATTAAAAGTATAATATTTTTAAAACCCACTGTTATTTTTTTTATTCTAAAAAAAATAAAATTCCTTTTTAACAATAGTATGATTTTTCGAATAACAAAAATGTTTATTTATTATTATTTTTTTTTAATATCAAAACATTTAATCTTTTGTTTGAAAGTCTGTTTTGTTTTCTCTACTAAAAATAAAGTTTTATCATTTATAATAGAAATGTGACGTTCAATTGATTAAATTATAAATTTTACATATAAGTATATACATAATGTTAGACAAAAGATACATTATCTCGATCTGTAGCACATATGCTTTATAGATAATATTTTTTTTATTTACCTTTCTATTATTTAATCTCCATTCCTTTAGAATCATTTGAAATGATTTTAAAAATATCAACAATATTGTATTATTTAAATTTTAGTCATTGAAAATCATTGAAACACTCTCTAAAGTAAATAAAATATACGAACACCTTTACATTATCACATTAATTTGTGCAATTTTTTTTTAATGACTTTTTCCCCTTTTTACCAACTATTTGTCAGGGTTGTGAAGTTAGGAGTAAATTGTTAGAGAATTTTCGACCTGCGTATTATATGTTTTCTACGTAATACCACGTAACTCCAAGTTTTTTTAAACGTAATTTTACATTACGTAACGCGTTTTTTACGTATGTTACCCGCTTTCATCAAAAAATTGTATTGTTAAAAACAATTCGAGATATAAATATATAGGAAATTACTGTGTCAGTGTTGAGAACGTAAAACAAGGTAAACACGTCACTACCCAACATATTACTGTAAAAAATAATTTTCTACGTTAATTATACGTAAAAATTCTAAGATTCAGTAAAAACCCCCATATGTGACAATTTACTGATCCCTTTCATTCAGGGTTTTAAAATTTCACGTAACTCAGAGCATTTTTACGTAAATTACGTGGGTTTTTTACATTATGTAAATTACATTTTTTTACGTATAATATATTACGTATATTACCCTATTCTACCAAAAAATACTTATAGAGTATTTTAATATGACGTGATCTTCCCTACCAGGTGGAAATTTAACGCAGATATTTATTTTACCGACACACATATATATATAGAGATCAATGTTATTATTATATTTATATATATACGTCGGTAAAATAAATATTTGCACAAAATTACCACCTGGTAGGCAAGATGACGTCACATTAAAATATTTTATGCCAAAATGTCACATATGGGAGGTTTCTTTAACTCTCTTTTACATTCCCATCTCTGGTGTTATTACGTAAAAGTATTCTATGTATATTGAAAATTACTACTCAACCTTGTTCTTTCATTGTTCCTATCTCTTTTACTCTTGTGTAAGTGTCAGTTACTTGTCAAAAAGAAAGAAAGAGGTAAAAAAAAAAAGAGCGCATAATCTTTAGGACCATATAGTCAGTGTGTGTTAAGAAATTTCTGAACCCGCCCTAAAGAACTGAAGTACAAGCCAAAGTGAAGCGAAGGGCGAAAGGAAGAAAAGCGAGAGAGAATTGAAGTGTAATGGCTGTCATCTCGTGAGATGAAGGTGCCCAGTTTGTTCAGCAATTCCACAATGGAGGATAGCTCCACATCTCCTTCGCAAAATTACAACGGACAAATATCTGGTGGAGCAAATATTTTACTCTCGAATAATAAGCATCAAGGTAGTGATAATGGAAGTGCTAATTTAAAGGAAGTAGTGAAAGATCAGAGACCACAATACTCAATGCCTGGTATACTACACTTCATTCAACATGAATGGGCTCGTTTTGAACTCGAAAGATCACAGTGGGAACTCGATAGAGCAGAATTTCAAGTAAGTTTCCACCATTATTTGCATTTTATTTTATTTCTGATTATATTTACTTTTTTCTATTCGCTTGATTTCTCTTTTCTAAAGTTATGTACACCTTTCGAGTCCAATTGAGAAGTAATGAGTTTTTATCGATTTTTCTAACATGATTTTTTTTTTTTTTTTTTTTTACTAACAATCAACAAGTAACGTTTATTGTTTTTTTTTTTTATTCTTTTTGATTTTTCAATATCGATTGAATTTGTTGGGTCCGTGGCAATTAGATGTGATAAAAATGTTAAAGTTATGGTTTTGACATCACATCAACCGGTATTATTGACATCGCCTTCATTCTCTTTATTATCATTATTGCCCACAGGCAACAAACTTTACTAATTAAACTTGTCACCTCAAAATATGGATATTTCATGTAAATCAACAAATTATTGAATTATGGATTAGAAATTGTGAATGCAAAATTAAAATAATTTTTTTTTTTTTTTCTTCTATTGTGTATTGAAATAAGATTTATTATTTTGATGGTAAAACAAAACAAACGCGGACTTGATATTTATTATTTTTCTCAAAGTTATGATAATTTCTCCTTTATTTTGAAAATTATAAAATTTATATAATTAACAAAAAAATTTAATTATAAATAAATAAATATTGAAGTTTTTTTATATTTCTAAATGAAAAAAAAAATTGTTGAAAATAAAAAATTATTCTTGTATAAATGTAAGTAAAATTTGTGTTTTAAAACAAATGCGGTAATAAAATTTTGCAATAACATAAAATATAATATTAATTAATATTAATTAATAATTAATAATAAAATTAATATAAAAGTGTTTATATTTTACATTTTAAAAAATAATTATTGTGTATTAAAGGAAAAAATTTATTTAAATATTTTTTTATTATTTTTGATTATTGTGTTTTCGTGATATAATTTTTGTCAACGAAATAAACAAATATTTAAAATTTATTACATACTTATATAAAGCAACGAGTTATATGATCGCTAATCACATTTTACTTATTGCTTAGGGAGTAAAATAATAAATTTTATGAAACTGGTATTTGATGTTTCCGAATTCATATTGATATTACGTAAAATCTCGTTTTACAATTGTATTATATTTTTTTTTACATATTGATTTTTGATAGAATATTTATAATATTTATAATATTTATAATAATTTTTATAATATATATAATTATACTAATATCCACATGTAAAAAGATAATATCCATCTGTGTTACATTATTATAATAAATAATAATTATACTAATACAATAATTTATATGTTTTTATCATTTTTTTTTAAATATAATATTAGAAATACCACATTTAAATGTAAATCACATTTGTTAAAGTTCCCAACGTTTATGATCAACGATTTAGAAGAAAAAAATATGTTTCTATAAAAATTATTATAATTTTTTTTTGTCTGAAAAAATGTTTCCCGTTTTTCGATCAATAAATATTTTTAAAAAATTCATTTTCTGCGTAAAAATTATTTTTTATTTTTAATCGATGATCATAAACGTTATAAACTTCACCCAGATTGAAAATTTATGTTTTTAAAAAGTAGAAAGAAAAAACATTAAAAATGTAACTAACAAATAAATAATTGTTTTATTTTACGCTAATTTAAATTTTTTTGTTTTTCTCCCTAGGCTAGAATAGCATTCCTTCAAGGCGAAAGAAAGGGTCAAGAAAATTTAAAAAATGACCTCGTTAGGCGAATAAAAATGCTGGAATATGCATTAAAGCAAGAGAGGTTAATAAAACATTTTTATTTTAAATTAACAATTGATATTGTGTTAAATATGAATTATAATTTAGAGATTGATATTTTTATCACTTTGATTAATAATATTTTATAACTAAATTATATTCAATAATTTAAATTTCATTTTATGTGACTTTAAAATTAATTCATTTGACTATTGGTGATAATTTATTAAAATGATTTTTAATTTACAGATTGAAGTATCACAAATTAAAATATGGTACTGATTTAATAATTCAAGACGGCAAACCACCTGGTTATGAGGAAAGCAGTACATGCACAGGTTCCGAAGGAGGTGCTGGTGATGCGGAAGTGACATTCTCATCAGTTAGCAATGTAACTTGGCGAAGAAGCCGACAGCTTTTACGACAGTAAGTTTATTTATTTATTTATCTGTTAAATAATAAGTTCAATTCTGTAATGATTTGAATCAACTTGATTTAAATTTTCATTTAAATTACAGTTTAAATTAAAGGGTCATTTACATTTAAATCATAATTTCAGGGCTCGGATTATACGACTATTTCCGATTTTTTGTCGACTTATTTTAATAAAATGTGACTTTTTCGACTTTTTTTTAAAAAAAATTTTTAAACAAAATACGTTTTTTTTATTGTACAATGCAAATCTTCATTATTCCAATTATTTAACAAATTTTAACTAAAATTCTTCACTAAATTAATTATTTTTAATAATTTTAATGAAATTCTTCGAAAATTCAATTATCTGAAAGCATTTTTCAATTAAAAACTTTTGGATTTCAATTTTTGTATGTGATTTCTAATAAATTCTTCATCAACAGAAATCACTAAAAAATTTCTCTTACAATAATTATTGTCTGAGATTTAATAGAATCTTTTGCAATTCAATTATTTCTAAAAATTACAATTTTAACTCTTCCAAAATTATTAATATTTAAAAAAATTTTTTATTTAAAAATCTGTAAAACTTGATTATAAGAATATTAAAAAACGTATCGATTAATTTATTTGAGTAATTTTACTGTAAATTATTATAAAGTTATTGACGTTTTAAAAATCGAAACATTTCTTTTTTGATAATTTTAATTAAAATTTTATTTGTATTCAAATTATATTACGTAATTATTGACTTTTTAAAAATCAACAAAAGCTTCTATTAAAGACTTTCTCTACGAAAAATAGAAAAAACATGAATCGTTGGACAGTTTTAATTTTTAATTCAAAAATATTATTTTCTTTGATAAAAATATCTTGATGCTTTTATATTATTTAAATTATCGTTTAAATATTTATTAAAAAACAAAACTATTGTCAACCGAGAAAATTATGGAACAAAAAAAAAAGCGATTTTTTCTGTTTTTTCTTCACCAAAAATCTAAATTGTTCAAAAAAAAATGTTTTTAACTATTAAAACATCTTTCTGAAGATTTCTTTTAAGTTTCATTAACGAAAAAATTTTTTTGACGAAGCTACTTAAATTTAAATATTGTTCCATAATTGCCACGCATTTGGGGCAATTATAGAACAAATTGTTATTTTAATTGTAACAGCAAGTATAACATATATTTTCTTTTTTTGTATATTAGGAAAACCATCTACAAATAATAAATGACTTAAAATTATTCTTAATTCAAATAAATATTCTCGTTTTCTAACACAAAAACTTGATAAAAATACAGAAATACAAATCACTGAATTGTTCTTTATTTGTTACAAAGTAAATTTTTGGTTAATATGGATTTTTTATTTTTGTTCCATAATTAATCTAGAGAATATAGGGCAAATGTACTAATTACGGCGCGATTCGAGTCAAAATACCTTTGAAATAGAAAATTCGACATTTCTATTGTATAAAGCCAATTGAAGACTTATTAAACTAAAAGCTTATGTTATTTAGATATTAAAAAAAAATTAATAATCGATTATTTAAACAAATATGAGAAATTAAAACTAATACCTAATTTTCTATTGCGGCGCGTTTGTATCAGTTTCGGTGTGTCAATTACGGTGACCAAAATTACGTGTATTTTGTAGATACTTTGCCCACCGTAATTGAAGCTAATGTAAATCTTAAAAATGTTTCAATTACGGCGAGGGAAAAAATTTGATCTCTAATTAAATTAATAATTGTTTAAATGTGCATCTTTATAAGTAATTGTATCAAAAAAAGATTAAAATAATTTTTTTTTAAAATTTTGCAACAGTTATATATAAAATATAATAGTAATAATATTTTTATTTTTTATGAACGCGCCGTAATTGATAAACTTATCCTAGGTTTTTTGGTTTTATGCTTTTTTCTTAAAAAATATTTATTAAAAATGAATAAACTTAACGCGAATATTCTCACAATTAGGTAAATGAAGTATATTTACCAATAGTATATTAATTTTCAGGTACTTTTATTGAATTCGTACGAGTCAAAAGTTTTGAACGTTCAAATGAGCGAAATATTTTTTTCAATCTATAAATTATTAAAAATTATGATGTCAATGTAAAATGAAACAGTAAATTAAATAATTATTTAATAAAATAACTTTTTTTTAGATATATTTAAAACAATATTTTGTAATAAAATTTGTACTTAAAGAAGTTGCAAAAAAAAAAAATTTCATTTATTTGAACGTTCAAAACTTTTGGTTCATGAATTCGAAGAAATTCATGCATTTTCACACTTTTTTGAAATAATCTTTTTACTTTTTTGAAATTTAACAATTTTTTTCTCATTACCAGTGACAATAAAAATAAAAACATTTAATTTACTTTATAGGCAAAATATTAAACTATTAATTAAAACAAATTGAAACAATTTACTACTCTCTAAATCTGAATTAGTAAAAAAGTTTACTAATTTAAATTAGTGACTCACTTTTTGCTTTAGAATTAGTTAAATTTTACTAATTGTTAGTAAAAGTTACTAATAATTAGTAAAATTTTACTAATTGTTAGTAAAAGTTACTAATAATTAGTAAAATTTTACTAATTGAGAAGCAAAAAGTGAGTCACTAATTCAAATTAGTAAACTTTTTTACTAATTCAGATTTAGAGAGTATAAAAATTTTACATAAAAAAAAATTGCTTATTCCAAATTTACCTCTGATGTTCCATAATAATTATCTCTGTCGACGATACTTAAAAATGAACTTATGAAAAATGTTACATAAGTTAAAATAAATTTGATTTAAATTTAAAAAAATTAGATTAATACTTTGATTAATTTAATTGACATATAAATAAGCATTTATTTACTTATTTTGTATTTTATTTATTTGTCTTTTGTATTTATTGTCGGTTTCAATGTCTTTGTATTTTTTTTTCTATTTATTTTTTGTTAACGTTTTCATTGATTTTTTAAAATTGATATTTTTTTTTTGCATTTTTCATAGGTATCTACAGGAAATAGGTTACACCGATACAATCATTGACGTTCGTTCAAATAGAGTTCGATCACTTCTTGGATTAAACAATAATACCGAATCAGATGAATTAAATACTCCAGCTCTCAATGGAAATGATCCATCTAATAAACGAACGGGTGAAAGATTAACTACAACAAAAAAAGTAGAGGTAAATAGATCATTTTTAATTGAATTATTATTATTAATCCCAGCAGGTGTTTGTATATTATAAAATAAAATATTCGATTTTTGTAAAGTATTATTTTCTTAATTAATATAATTATTCTACAAAAATGATTTTCCTTTTTTTCTATATCAGCAACAACCAACATCATTTGGTGAAGCTATATTACTCGATACTGAAGCAGCTATTTTGGCGAACTTCAACTTTCTGGTCAATCAACACGACGATAGACAAAATATGGAAGAAGATGAAGATGATGCCGATGACGAAGTTTATGATTCAAAGCCAGAGGCAAAACACAATAAGGTAGCTTTTATTGTTTTCATTTCTTTTTCCATTATAATAAGTTGATTTTAATCTTTTGTTTTGCTGTATATATGAATTAAATGCTGAATTTTTTTTTTTTTTGAGAATTATAACTAAATTTGTTTTTTAAAAAGTATTTTTAAAAAAAATTAATTAAAATAAATAAACGTTGATACAGGCATCTTTGTTGTTTGGAGACGTCGACGCTGAAGCAGAAGACGTATTAAATGAATTGAATTTACTCTCCGAACATGAAGAATCTGCCATTCACGTGGATATGGATCCTTCTGATTGGAGTAAGTTTTTTTTTTTTTTTACTATTTTTCATCTCACCTCGTATTTTCCACTTATAATTTTTAATTTTCTTTTGTTAAAAAATCAGTCCTAACAATTTGTTTTCATGATTCTTGTTCAATTTTTTTTATAAAATTTCATAATAAACATCTATTATAATAATCTTTTAATTTGAAATAAATTAAAATGGCCACATCTTGTAATTTGAGAAATAATAAAAAGTTGATTTTTATTTATTAAGTTTATTTGTAATTTTTTGTTTGAATTTTTTTTTTTAATAATTTCATGATTATAAGAACTGTTTTTGTTTCCCTATTGAAGACGCTGTAAGACGTAGAGGATTACAATCTGATTCACGACAACCATGCGAAGAAAGCGATTCCGTTTTGGGACTTGGGGAATTAGCACAATTAACCGTCAATAACGATGCAGAAGCTGCTTATGATGTAAGTTTTTTTTTTTTTTATTATTATTCATTTTTAATTTTTTAATGTCACTTTCCGTCACTTGCATAAAATTTTTTAACATGTTTACTCACAGGTAAGGAAATTTCTGACCTCCATAATTTAGTTTAATGTTGAACATGAACAAAATTTTTGCAAATATTAAAATAAGGTTATAAACTTTCAATTAAATGTTTAATTAACATGTGCTATTGTTTATTGTAAAAATAAATAAATTAATATTAAATTAAACGAACCTGACGTGGTTAGTTTAAAGTTTGCTCATTTTGTGTTCAAAATTTCTGAAATTTATTATACTTTAAAATTCAATAACATGAAAATAATACAATTATAAAATATGAAAACTATTTTAATACATAAAAGAGGAATATTGTGAAAGGTATTGAAATTATGGAAATGAATTTTCAGAAAAATGTGAGGAGTTTTCTCACTATTTTTAATTACATTTAATTTATGTACTTTCTAAAATCAATTTAATTGAAAAATTTGTCTTTTCTTTTTTTTTTCGTCAGATGACGACAAATACGGAAGAAGCTTTCCGAAAGACGTGGAACGCAAAATATACTTTACGCTCACATTTCGATGGCGTTCGAGCACTCGTCTTCCATCCAACAGATCCTGTTTTAATTACCGGAAGTGATGATCACACATTAAAATTGTGGAATCTACACAAAACTGTCCCCGCTAAAAAGTAAGAATTCAAAAAAAAAATTGAACAAAAATTTATAAAATTATAAACATCGATTTATTTTCTCCATTGTGTATTAATAATAGACGAATTTGTGCATCGAGATTATATATTCATTTGAATGTGAAAAATTGTTTCAGATCAGCTTCATTGGACGTAGAGCCACTGTACACATTTAGGTCACACACTGGTCCAGTTTTATGCTTAGCAATGTGTAGCAGCGGAAGCCGTTGTTATAGCGGCGGATCAGACGGCATGATTCACTGTTGGACGCTTCCATCATCAAATATTGACCCATACGATTCCTATGATCCAAATGTTTTGAGTGGTACTTTGGTTGGACACAATGATGCTGTTTGGGGATTGAGCATGTATCAACCAAGATCACAATTACTTTCTGCAAGCGCTGATGGAACTGTTAAATTGTGGAGTCCACAAAATAAAATTCCCCTCCTCAATACATTTACATCGGAACAAGGTTCAATTTCATTTTTTTATTTATTTCTGATTTCGTGTTTGTTATAAATTTATTTGCAATAAAAAATTTATTTTTAGGATTTCTGTTTTTTAATTTAAAAAAAAAGCAAGTAATTTATATTTTTTTTACTATTTGTAGATGGTGTTCCAACTTCCGTTGATTTCGTGAGGGACGAGCCACATAAATTGGTTGTTGCTTATGAAGAAGCTTGCATTGTTTTTGACGCTGAAACTGCAACGCCAGTTTGTAGATTGGAAAATAATGGAACAAAAGGTGTTAACAGGGTCGTTGCACATCCAATATTACCGATAATCGTAGCAGCTCATGAAGATAGACACATTCGATTTTATGATCATCGTTCAGCGACATTAGCTCATGCAATGGTTGCACATTTAGACGCTGTCACTAGTCTTGCTGTTGATCCACATGGATTATATCTATTATCGGGAAGTAAGTCACCATAATTCATTTTTATTTTATTTTTATTCAATAACAAGGTAATCACAAGTTAGGGAATTTTTTTTTTCTGTCAGGAAAATTAAAGAAATTTACAGAAAAAGTCAATTTTATATTTTCTATATTGCGTAAAAAGTTTTAACTATCTATTCAATTACATATTTTCCAGGCCTCGGATTGTACGACATTTCCGACTTTTTTTTTTTTTTTAAACGCCAATCTTTTCCACTTTTTTACAAAATAAAATTAAAAACAAACTATTTCAACCTAAGTCGAAAAAAAGTGCGGCCTATTTAAAAAAAAAATTTGATAATTTTATAAATAATTCTCAAAGTAGCCGCAAGTCAAGGAAAAATTTTTTTTTATTACCGAATATCAGGATAAAAAAAAAAAATTTTTGGTAAATTTGAAAAATTAAACAAATTTACAGAGAAATTCAATTACGTACTTCCAAGCTTCGGATTCTACGACTTTTTTTTGAATTATTTTACAAAATAAAATTGAAAATTAATTAATTTATTAAATTAAAAACAAATACCTATAACTTTTTTTTTTAGTACAGTTTATAGTTCTTTCAAAATTCAGTTATTTTGAAAATTTTAATCTAAAAAGTCTTTGCGAAATTAATTATTTTTAATAATTTTAATAAAATTCTTCAAAAATTCAGTTATTAATAACATTATTTAGCGGTATAAATTGAAAAAAATTTCAATTAAAAATCTGAAATTTGATTATCAGGGAAAAGTCAGGGAATTTCATGAAAAGTATTTCTGAATTGTTGATTTAGAAAATCATCAAGTTTGACGTTGAAAATTTCAACATAATAAAATTATAATTTTTGAAATTTTCAATTCAAACATTTTCTTCGATAAATTATTGTCTTTATTTTTTTTTTATAATTGAAAACCTCTTGAAATATTTTTCATTAGGGTTAGGGAAAAAAATTTTAATTCTGATTGAAAATCAGGGAAAAGTTATTAAAATTCTTCGCCAAATTAATTATTTTTTAAAAATTTATCCAAATTTGAATCTGTTCAAAATTTAATTCATCCAAATTTCCAATTTAATTAAATATTAATCGTTTGGAAATTCAATTCAATATAAATTTTAATTTTAATTTCAAGCGATCTAATTTTCAATAAATTCTAATTTTACCATGGTTAAAATAAATTTATTAATTAAAATTTGCAATCGATCGAAACTTAAAAATTATTGAAATTTCAATCCATCTATAAAGATTAATAGATTTAAATTTTAAATTATTCGAATTTCAATTTGTCCAAATTTTAATTGATTCAAGTTTCAAATTATATGAATTTTAATTTATCAAAATTTTATTTGATAATTCGAAACTTCAAAGTTTCAAATTATCCGAATTTCAATTTATCAAAACTTTGATTGAAGTTTCAATAATATGTAAAATTCAATTATAAACTACTAATTGCTGCAATCATTGAAAATTATGAGTAGATACAAATTAGTTACATTTAAGTATTAAATTATCGATTTTACTTAAAAAAAAGGTTTTTTTTATAATTCCTAAAATAATTGTTGAAATTTTTTTCACTTTTTAAAATAATTTTTCTCTCAAATTCTCCTTTTTTGGTAGGAATTTGTTAAAAATTTATTTATTTACTCAATTTATAAACTAGAATCAAAATTTATCTTTTCTTTTAGGAATTTAAAAAAAAATTCTCGATTATTCTTATCATCAAACGTGATTTTGATAATCGTGTATTTTTTTCAGGTCACGATTGCAGTATAAGATTATGGAATATGGACAATAAAACTTGTGTTCAAGAAATAACGGCACATCGCAAAAAATTCGATGAGAGCATTTTAGACGTAGCCTTTCATCCTTCACGTCCATTTATTGCGAGTGCAGGAGCCGATGCACTAGCAAAAGTATTTGTGTGAGAAAATCATATTTGAATTCCAAGTTCTTTAAGATCCTGACATCCATTACCAACACGTACACACATAAAAAAAAGAAACACACACACACACACACACACACACACACAGAGACACATACATTAAAACATAAAAAAAACATACACCAAAACATATATATATATATAATGCAACCATTTTTTAAAAACTTAAAAAGTCCTTTTATATAATTTTATGCGTATTATGTATCATATATCGACAATTATTTCAAGTTACACGACATATATGAGAAAAGTTGCAAGTAGTTTTTTAGGTATATAAAAATTCGATGTTAGATACTCATTGTAGAATATAATAGTTAATCTATATAATTATTCTTATGATTATGACACTTCACGTTAATCTATTTGTTAATAATAATAAATATTCATCTGGCATTTGTGCTTACTCTTCTTGACCACTTATAAACGTTAAGAAATTTTCTAATCAATGAATTTTTATATATATTTTATTATGATTTTTGAAAATTTTAACTGAAGAAAAATATGTTTTTAAAACAAAACAAAAAAAAAACGACGTGCACCAAAAAATAAATTATTTATGTTTCTTATTTTATAAAATAAACAAAAAAAATGCGTTTTATTTACATAGTAAATTTACAAAATTATTATATTATAAATAATTGTATACATAATTATTATTATTATTATTATTATTTTTTTATACATTGTCGAATTTTCTTCTTTCATAAAAATGAGGAGCCAATTCTGTCAACCACTCGGAATTAATTACAGTTAATTCTCTCATAAAAGTTTTATGTGTTTGTACAATTTCACAAAATAATAACCTATAAACAAAAAAATAAATATGAGGAAGTTAAGAAATAATTTTGAGAATTTTTTCTTTTTTTTCATTGAAATATCAGTGTTGCCACAAAGTTAGGGAATTTAAAAAAAAAATGTGCTGGAAAAATTATGTAAACGTAGATTTGCTTATATAGTTCATAAGTTAAAAATCGGTGTCCAACGAGATTCTTAAAAACATTGAATTCCCCTTGAATTTATTTTTTTTATCTTGAAAATATTTAAATCACTTTAAATTTTAAAAACAAAACTGCGAATTATTCAAATTTTATAAAATAATATTTCAAATGTTTAAAATAGTATAAAAATCTCAGTTTAAGATAAACGCTTCAAATTCAAAAATTAAGAGAAAAATTCAAATACAAAGAATTAAATGTTAAACAAATTTTTCATTTTTAAAATTCATTCAAGTTGATAAAATTATTTACTAAATTTCTGATTTCCAACAACAAATCAACACATTTTTTTTTACAATTATTAGCACATAAATACGTACAAAAGTTTTAAAAATTTATCAAAATAATTGAATTTATTGAAGATTAATATGTTTTATTTTTAGAAATAATTGAATTCCAGACAATTTTAGATTGAATTTTTTTGTAAAATCATACTCCTGAATTTTTTTGTACAAATTTGAGACAAGAATTAAATTTTTGAAAATTTTTGATTACCAATTTTTTTAAATAATGAAATTTTTGAAAAACTATTACAATGTTTAAAATTAAATTTTTATACTATTGAATTTTTTTACACAAATTTCAGAGATGTATTAAATTTTTGAAAATTTTTTATTACAAATTTTTTAAAAAAAATTATTGATTTGGCGAAGAATTTTAGATAAAAATTTATAAATACTTAAATTTTCGAATAGTTATTAAGATTTTTAGAATTAGAGACTATTTTTTTTTACAAACTTTTAACAATAATTGAGTTTTAGAGAATTTTTAATTAAAAATTTTTGCAAATGCATATTGAAATTTCGATGAATTTTGTTAAAATTTGTCTAATCAATTAAATTTTCGAAAGTTAACAGTTAAACTTTTTGTTAATGAATAATAATTTGAAAAGATTTTTAATTAAAAATTTGTAAAATATTTGAAAGTATAAAAAACTTTATGGGCACTAATTTTTTTTGTAATAATTTAATTTCAATATTTGGAAATAATTTATATCTCAAAGAGCCGAAATCAAAATATTTAATAATATAATGAAATTTTTGAAAAATTTATAATATTCTTTTTAATAAATAAATAAATTTTGTGTAAATTAAAATTAATATATTAAAAGCAATCATTTTAATTTGGTAATTGATTAAATTATTGAATTTTTTGAAAATGATAAAATTTGCAAAGATTTTTAGTTAACTTTTTTTTATAAATAATTAAATATTGAAAGAGTTGCAATTTAAAGTTTTGACTTTTTCTGTATTTTTTAAAGATTTTAAACCAAAAATTTCTAAAATAATTCAATTATCGAAGAATTTATTCAAAATTATGAAATAATTAAGTATTTTTAAATAATAATTTAATAGAATTCACATTTGATAAAAAAAAAAGAACAAAATTCGAAAATGTCGAGGAAAAACACAAAATATTGTCTGGAAATCAGAAAAATGTTAGGGAAAATTATAATGAAAATTTTGTGGCAACTCTGATAGAAAAAAAAAAAAAAACAAAATACTTACCATTGCGGCTGTTGCATTGTGTATAAACAACTAGTTGAATGAATATACAAGTCTTTATTTCCGCGAACAGTTTTATATACTCCTGAATAATGAAGATAGGCTGCATTTGGAAAAAGTCCCGTTGTTAAGCATCTTAAAATAACTTGAGTATTACCTGAAATATAATTAGAATTTTTATAAATGAATTCGATTAATTTTTAATTTATTTTTTTATATTTTATTTATTTAGTTTTTTTTTTTTGAATAAACTAAAAATATTTTCGATAATATTGATAATTAAAAGCAAATAATTTACCATTACAACTTGTTAGAGGAATATCGAGTTTCTTCAATTGTTGTCTCATTTGCAAACGAATTTCCGTTGCTCTTCGTAATGCTTTATAATTGAGAAAATTCTTTTGACACCAACTACCATTTTTATTTTCCTCATAGGCAGAATAGACATTTAAAAGTGTTATTAAATCACCTTCGTGCACTTGAAATAAACGATGAGCAACACGTGCCTTTAATGATTTATCACCACTTGCTGGTCTCACAAAAATATTTTGCACCTGAAGCATTGACAAAATAGTTGTTATTTCCTCTGAACATCCCATTTCCCCTGAAAAATTGAATTTGTTAATATTCATTTAATTAAATTTTATTTATATTAAATAAAATAAAATGAAATTAATAAAATAGAAATAAAATAATTTAAAAATAGTAGAAAATGAATAGAATATAGAAAATTAGAATTATTCGTAATATAAAAAATTACCCGATGAAATAAGACATTTTGCAAAAATAGGCTCAAGTGGCAATTCGGCCATTGTGAATCCAACGTCACTCGTTAATTCTCCATTATTATTAATTGCTCCCAATGCATATAATAATTCTAATCCAGCGAGAAGATTTTTACTCGGTGGCGATGATGGAAAATTAAATCGTAATATATTATCAATGCCCAATGCTTTAAGTTGTAAAATTGCTGACGATAAATCCGTACGTTGCATTTGCGGTGGAGTCGAATCAGATAATTCATTATAAGCATTTTCAGTGTAAAGTCTACATGAAAGAAATATTAAATTTTTACACCAGAATTTTTATTATTGTCAACAAACAAAAACGCTATTTTTTTACTCAACACGTCATTAAAATTTATAATCTAGAAAAAAAAATTTTCTTCGGAGTTACAGAAATTAAAACTCTAAACTACTTACAGTGAAAAAAAAAGAAAAATTATAAAATTAACTTGAAAAACATTAATATTCGGTAACTAATTAAATTAAAATTGATTTGGAAATAAAAATCTTACCTATACACACGTCCAGCTCTAACGCGACCGGCTCGACCTAATCGTTGATCTGCTGAAGCTTTAGAAATAGGAGCAACCACAAGACTATTGCTTAAAGTTTCCGAATCAAACCATGGTAATTTCACAAAACCACTATCAATAACTGAAAAAAAGAAAATTAAATTAAATTAAATTACACTGTAAAAAAAATAATTGGTAAATAATATTAATTGCAATTAAAATAAAAATAATTTTTTTTTGCTCACCATAAACGACATTTGGTACAGTAATTGAAGTCTCTGCAATATTTGTTGCAACAATGATTTTTCTAGTATTTTTCGGTGCTTTCCAAAAGACTTTAAGTTGTTCTGTATTTGGAAGTGAACCATACATTGCTAATGGTAATAATTGATCTGCAATAAAAAATAAAATAAATGTAGACAAATTAAATAAAGAGAACAATCCATTATATTTCATCTAAAGTCATTATGCTTATTTTTAGAAAATTTTTAACGATTTTTCATATTCGTACAATTAATTTTTTTTGACAATTATTTAATGAAATTTTTTATAATTATATTTATTTACCTTGAAATTTGAATTTTAAAAACGAGTTGCACGAAAAAAAGATTAATTTTATAGTTGTACAAATTTAATAAAAAAAGCGCAGAGATAATGTAATGTAAATTTTTTTAATTGATAATTGTTGAAAAAAGTCTAATTTACTCATCTTTAAAATTCAAATTCCAAGGTAAATATAAAAAAAAAATTTTTATTAAATAATTGTCAATAATAAAATATTTTTTAAAATAAGCAACAACTTTAGATGAAATATAATGGATTGACTCTAAAACATAAAATAATTGAAAATAATAATAATAATCAGTTTTTGAAAAATAATTATATTACCCCTCGAACGTTAAAGATTCAAATACTAATTTAATGTAATAATAATAATAATTAAAAAATTTAAAATAAATATTATTACTAAAATATTCATTAATTAGATAAAAAAATATTTAACTATATTGTTGTTTAATTGTTTATTAGTAGATTTTCTTTCTAATACTTACGTTCTCCATCTTTTATTAGTTTTGCATGTTCAGATAAGAGAGAAACAGCCTTATCTACTTCATCTAATCCAGTGAGAAAAGCCAAAATATCTCCAGCTTCTTCAGTCTTATGTATATTTAATGCTGTGTCAACGACTGATTGAACATAATCAGCGACTGGTTCTAAAATAAAATTATATTTATTAGAAATTTATTGCAAATTCTCATTTGTTTTTTCTATTTTTACTATTTTGTAAAAAAAAAGAAATGCATTTTTTATGTTTACCTTGAGAATAATAAATATCAACACCGTGTAAACGACCCTCGACACTCATAACAGTTGCTGTATTATCTTTTGAATTCTTGCTTGTATTTAAATTGAAAAAATCTCGAAGTTCTTCAGCGTCAACTGTTGCCGATGATATAATAACTTTTAGACTTTTTCGTTTCTGAAAAAATTTAATTTTTTCGCAAAAAAATGAAAAAAAAAACAATTTGTAATAATTTGTAATTAAAATTTGTTATTGAATTAAAAATTAGATATATAAATTATATTTTTATTTGAAAGAATAATTAAAACTCACTTTTAGTATTTTTTTTAATAAACCCATTAATATATCGGTCAACACTGTTCTTTCGTGTACTTCATCCATTATAATGACACAATATTTTGTGAGCAATGGATCGCTCATCATTTCTCGTAATAATATACCTTCAGTAATGTACTAAAAATAAAAAAAATATTTGTGATATAATTTATCATAAAAATGTAAATTAAAAAAAAATATTAATAGAACTTATTGAGAATGACTAAATCCTTTATTATAAATATAACAAGTATTTAAAGAATATTAAATAATAGATAAATTATTATAATTTCAAAGTTTACCTATACCAAATAATAAAATTTTTCAATTTTTGTCCATTAATTGGAATTATTAAATTAGTATCGAATATTACCTTTATTTTTGTGTTTTCATTTGAACAATCATCGAAACGAATACAATATCCAACTTCTGTGCCCAACATACATCCTCGTTCTTCGGCAACACGACTTGCTAACGTAGTAGCCGCTATTCTTCGAGGTTCAGTAATTCCAATCATTTTTCTATCAGATGCCCATCCTGCTTGAACGAGATACTGTAAAAATTCAAAAATAATCCCTCTTCTAAAAAAAAAAATAATCGTTTACATTAAAATTTAATTTCTCTTTTCTTAAAAATAAAACAACTTCCACCGATATTATTTCACGTCGGCGAAGTTTATAATAACGGATTTAGAAGAAAAAAATATTTTTCCGTGTAAATAATAACTTTTTGTCTAAAAAAAAAAAAAATGTTTACATTTCTCGATCAACAATTTTCTTAAAGAAAAATTTATAGGCAAAAAATTTAATTATTATTTTTCAAATAAAAAATATTTGAATTTTTTCTTTTTATATTTTTTGAAAAAATATTCAACCAAATTATTTTTAAAAAATTATTTGGGCACATCTCTAGAACCTTTAACTTTAATGTCCCTCGCATATATTTTGGTAATTTTAATAAATTTTTTGTTGGAAATATTAATGCTTGATACAATCAACCATTTCCAAAAGATTCCACTTTAATTTATTAAATACATAAATAATTATTTCAATTTTAATACGCGATTTTTAACAATGTCTACTTGTCCTTAACCATACTTTCTGATGCTTTAAACGATATAGTTTTAGATTTAATAAAAATTACTAATTCTGAAATATGTTTTTTCAATGTTAATTAATCGGTGAACACATTTTCGCAAGGAAATTAATATTTTATTAATTGTGAAAAAATTTATAAGCTTTTAAAAGTTGTCCCTCACTTTTAACCTTTTCTACCGTAAGCATCGTATTTATGATTTTTCTTTTATAAGACAAGCGGCACGTTAAAATAACTTATGGGAAATCAAAGATCAAGTTACTATAATTATTTTGAGACATAATAAATTGATGTGCTTAATGTCTTCAAAAAACTATTATAAGTTAAATAAACGAAAACACGCGTGGACAAAATTTGAAAACAACCGTAATACGAGTGATACTTCATGAAAATCATATAAAAGTATTCGAAAAGTACTTGTATATATTTTCACATGTGCCATTTAACATCTCGTGAATGTGCTTCGAGAAAAAATACTTTATTGCAAAGATAATGTAAAAATATTCATCAATTACGGTCGACCGTAATCGACCGAAATTTTTTAGAAAGAAATTGTTGTGTACGAAGTTGCCGATTATAATTTTTTTTATAGAAATTGTCATTAATTATTAAAACCTGAAGGTTAAGTTTTAATGTTTATTTTGAGACACAAAAATGGTTCCAAAAAAATTCATTCTGAAAAAAGATAAGATGCGAGAGAAAAGAAATTGGAAAGTTTACGAATATTACATTTAAATAGAAAAAAGTCTATGAAAATCGTATGGTAAATTTTAAAAATTACAATTTTACATTTTTAAAACAATTCACTATAATAAAAATCTATTTTAAAATGTAATGTAAATATTCAAATAAAAAATTTATATATCTAGTTAATTTTTGACACATGCTTTTATACCCAGTGCATTATTTCAGTTTTTTATTATTCATATAAATATTGAAAATATTAAACGAATTTTATTGCTTTTTAAAATTATAACCCCTTAGAAAATTCCCTTCAACTGTTTTTTATCCTAAAAAGCAAACACCTGTTGAATATTTTTTTGTTACAGGTTAAAAATAATTCTCAATTTTAAATATTTATAACTTTTTGAAGACAACTTGTTTTATCTGTCCACTTGTATAATTGGAAAGCTTAGTTCTTGAAGTTTATGTAGACAAAGTTTCAATACTGTGCTCAAAAAAAAAAAAAAATTTTTTTCTTATTGAAAAGTTAAAGGTTTCAAAGATATGCCCATTTATTAATTTCTATTATTTTAGCCAGTTTAAAATGTAAATAAATAAATAAATTACCTGCGGTATTTGAGTACTTTTTCCACAACCTGTTTCACCGACTAAAACTAAAGTTTGATATTTTTCTAATAGATAAATAATGTGCCTCATATTTTTAAATATTGGTAATCTTTGACGTTGTACATCCAGCGACAAAGAATGATGTGCATTATAAACAAATTGCGTAGAATCATGTGGATTTACATCAACTTTATCTTCTTGCCAAAATGTGTCACCTATATATGACAAAAAATTAAAATTGCATAATTGCAATATATATGTAATTTTAATTCTATAATTTCAATAATTCAATTATTGTCATTTTCAATTAATAATAGTTTTAAAATAATTGTAAATTTTGCTAAAAAAAATAATTAGTTAAATAAACAGCAGTTTTAATTGTTAATTAAATAGTAATAATTTATAGTAATATAGTAATAGTATATTAAATAAAATTAAAATTTTTATTTTTTAAAATATTAAATTAAATTTTCAGTATCGAAAATTGAATTTCGTCGTTTGTTTAACGTTGCAATAGCTTTTTTTTGCCGTTGTTTCCGAAATATAATTTTATTATTCAAATAAACACATGATAATTAAAATTGATGTTTATTTCAGTTCAAATTAATAATTTTAAAAAAACACATACCTGGCATCAAAAACATAGATTTCGAATTCATTGTGTATACGTATATATATTTTTTTAAGGTTATAACGGCAGAAACTTCTTTGACAGTTGTAAATATAATATTTAATTTCCTTTCATTATATCAGAAAATATTAATTATATTCTATATTATTAAAATTACATTAAAAAAAATGTAATTATTTGCAATTATTTATGAATGATAAACAAATAAACGAAATAAATATTCCCTCCATGCATAATATTTACATGCAGGGTGAAATCACATCATTTAAAAAATTGTCATTTTCTACGTATGTTACGTATTGTACCCATGTAACCGTGCATTTAACATACATACGTCGAAAACTTCGAGTTAGCAACTACACAACCTTGTGTGGGCAAATTTTTCTTTTCTTTTTTTAGTATCACATTTTGGACGTTTCACTGTAAGTAACATTACGATCTTTCGCGTTATCTTGCGTATCCTTCTAATTTTGCAAGAATTGTTGTGTTTTGTTATTCTCTGCCTCCCTCCTCCCTCCAAACCCTTTGTTACTGTAACCTAACGTTCAATTCAGACACGTTCACGGACTCCAATTTGGGACATGGTCGTAGTTGGATGTCCGTATGTCCGTAGTTTAGTTTAGTTTAATTTGTTTTAATTTGGCTAATTGTGTTTATTAATGAAAAGTGTGTATTTGTTTGAAACTGATTTAAACCTGGTATTAAGCCAGGAGTGAAATAATTGCAAGAATTTGTATTGAGAATTATAATATTAATTGTGGTTAGATACTACTATCTTCTTGGTCACATGTCTAACAGCAATATATGAATCCGAGTGCATCTTAAATATAAATAACCACACCTTATGATAAATGGATTTTATATAAATTATTACTGATTTCTTTCTGAATGGAAAAATGATTTTTAAAGCGTGCAGAAGGAATAGCGGAAAAATCAATTAAGGAAGCGTGATGGTCTCATAACCTAAAATCAATGGTTGATAATTTGAGGAAAATTTGCCACATTCTTTAATACCATCGGAATACAGGTATTAATTTCGAAAATAAATATTCGGCCTTGCTGATTTATATTTTGGAGTTTGCTGCTTTTTGGATTTGTGCTAATTTAGTTTATGCTTTCCTTCAATTTATTCTCTCCTAATAAATTCTTCATTTGCTTGGCTTTATCCCTGCTTAAAAATTAATGGTTTAAACCATAATCCTCAACTTGCCTGAGTGAGTACATTATTATTTTTTTTTTAATTTTTCTTGCTGATTTTGTTTAAAAAAGAAAAAGGAATAAGGAGAGGAAAAGGAGGTTAAAGAGGGAAAGAAGAAAAAGAAAAAAAGAAAAAAAAAAGATAAGAGTTGATTTTGTTAATAAATAAGCGTGTTAAGTTTGGAAATGCTTTTCCTCCTTTTTTTTCCTTATGCTGGGTAAATAGGGGATTTGAGCAGTCAGTCTCCTGTAATTATTAATCACTGAGACATTGTGCGTTTTTAAATCTTGGGGATTATTAGCAAATTAAGATTTGCTTAAAAAAAAAAAAATAAAAAAAAAAAAGAAAAAAAAAAAAAAAAAAAAAAAAAAAAGAAAGGGAAAGGGGAAAAAGAAAAAAAAAAAAAAAAAAAAAAAAAAAATTCTCTCTTTCTTTGCTTAATTAGTTAGATTACTGATTGATTATAGATGTCTTGGTACTGGATGTGAAAATAGGGCTAAATTGTTTCTCTCTATTGTGGTTGCTTTACTTACTTGAATTTTTTTTCAGCTTGATCCGGTTTAATACGAATGAGATGGAGTCCTTGAGGGAAGAGTCTGCTGAGGAGGGTGTGCCGTCTGGAGGTTTGGAACGACCTGGTCACAGTGTAAATGAAATCCCTAATCCTGCGGTCATGAGTTGCGTTATGGATGCGGATATAGATCTTTTGACGGGGAATAATATTCAATCAGCGGAGAATGACACTAATTCTTTCCTTCCTTCCCCAATTAGACCCTCAATTAATCCTAAGAAAAGGAACATATCCGTTAGGAATAACAATGAATCAGTGGCAACGGGCTCTTCAGATGGTTCATTTGGTCATATTACAAAAAAACTCCTAATTCCTGAAAAAAATTCTTATCGAGAAATACGGGCCGATCGACAACCACATTCCGCGGATATTGGTCCCGAAAATGCAAGCAATCAATCTCAGTTTGAGGATGTAATTTGGGATCAACACGATCTTGAATGGAATAATAGTATTCTTCCTCCACTCTATTCCGCTTCTAGCCCTCCCCCATTTATTGTTTTAATGGAGAGCACCATTAGAGGCAAAAATATTGGAAAACTGGACCCGATATGTGTAATTGATCTAATATCGCCTATTATTGAGGGGGGAAAACAAATAACACGTAATGGGAAAAATCAAATAAAAATTGATTGCGCAAAATGGCAAGATGCTAACACCTTAGTTGGTGCCAAAGAACTAATATTGGCGGGATATGTTCTCTTCATCCCAGATTCCTTTTTGAGAAAAAAGGGATTCACAAGATGGTTCCCCACTAACAGATCAGTCAGGGATATAGTCAGGGTATGTCGTGAAGGAGACTTGGATAATATAGCTAGTATTCGTCGTATTATTGATGATAGGAACACAATTCTAGAAAAGATAGAATTTACTTTCAATTCACCTATCGTTCCACGTAACATTGTACTAGGTGATTTTGTTATCCCAATAACTCCTTCCTTACAGAGACCTCGGAGATGCTTCCGTTGTCAGCGTTACTGCCATGTGGCTAATCAATGTCGTTCGACTTACCCGACGTGTGAATTTTGTTCTGGAAGGCATTTGACAGACCTTTGTCCGAATGGTCACTTGCAACCAAAATGTAAAAATTGCAAGGGTTCCCATGTGGCCTCTTCATCGGAGTGCCCTGTATTTAAATTTGAATTTGGCATTTTAAAATATCGTTATATCCATAATTGTAATAGAGAGGAGGCTAAACTTCTGTTTTATGCGGAAAATCCTGATTTATTAAATAACATTGAAACTAGGGGTGAAACACCTCTGCCTTTGCCGGTGATTCGTCAGGGTATGACATCAACCCAACCAACTAGGTCTTCCACACCTATTGACCTTCAAGATAAGGTAAATAATCCCATTCCTGATCCGGTTTTGGAAATTTCGAATGCGCTGAATCAGCATCAACTGTCTGAAAAAATATCGGCTGTAAACACACTTATAAATATCAATCAGTCTCGCTCAAACTTGATTAACTCAATAAATGAGAATCTCTCTACAAAATGAACACTTAGAAGAGTTCAATTTTTTTATTTACTAAGAGATTTAATAGTTCTATTTTTGTTAGTTTTAAGTCGTTATAGTTATTGGTATTGATTGGGCTTAGAGGTTGGCTAAGGGAAAAGAAAGAAAGAAGAAAAAAGGGAAGGGAAGGGGGGAAAAAAAAAAAAAAAAAAAAGAGAAAAGGAATAATGAGGGGTAAGGGATGGCCCTGTTTTAATATTTCTATATTTTAATTCTCACTGTGTTTCATAATTTGAGTCTGACTGCTCAAATATAAAATCGATTAAAATAATTGGAGTGTTATTGTTTTGTGTACTATAAATGGTTACGGGTTGTAAAACACCTCCTACTAAATTTGATAGATGTTTAGGAGGATTTGGCAAAATTAATCGTATTATCTTCCTTGAAGGATTATTAAACTACTATATATTCAATTGGTTATACTAAGGATAATTAATTTTGTTGGTAATTAATCCACATTAAATAATCCTCAAAAAGGGGAGATAAGGAATAGTTTTCTACAAATTGTTTGAGGTTTTTTTTGTTTTGTTTTGATTTTATATACTACTTGTTTTTTGCTATGGCTATTTAGGTATTTGGATACTCGGGAGTTATTTGAGGAGTTTTGTTGGTTAAACTTTGAGGAGGTAATTGATATTTGGATTGGATAGAAGTGAGAAAATAGTTTGCCCGTTGTTCTACTGGTAATATAACTTATAACAGTAATCTGTAATTGGATTGTTGTTCGTAATGATGTCTTCAACCAATCAAACTATTAAATATGGAATTTGGAACGCTCACAGTGTGCTAAATAAACGTGCTGAAATAGAGTCGATGTTACATATTTATGGGCTGGATGTCTTGGCCATTGCGGAAACTTGGCTCACTGCTGGAACTAAAGTTTGGCAAATCCCTGGCTATTCCACCTATCGCTGCGATCGGCTTGATCAGCGACATGGGGGTGGGGTGTTGATCTTGGTCCGTAGCAGGTTTATGGTTGCGCCTATTAAAGTCAAACACTCAATATTAGAATACATTGATTGTGTAGGGGTAACCATTGCTTCTGACATAGGGAAAATCCAGTTTTTCTCGGTCTACGCCCCTCCTAACGTTAAGATTCCCTCTCGAATTTGGAAACAGCTGACTAGCTGTGGTACTAAAGAAAATCCCTATATTCTATGCGGTGACTTTAATGCCCACGCATGGATGTGGGGGGCAATTAATTGCAATTTGAGGGGAATCCAACTGAGCGAGGCTGTGGAAGAGGCAAACCTGGTCCCGCTGAACGATTGCGATCCTACATATGTTAGTGGTAGGGGTAAGGTTGGGGGGAACATTGACCTAATATTTGTCTCTGCTGACCTGTGTAGACTTACGTCGGCTGATGTTACCTCTGACACCTTTAGTTCGGATCACTTCCTGGTTGTGGCTTGTACGGATGTCTCCGCTAAATATCAAAAGGCCTCAGTCAATAGACTGAACACTAATAAAGTTGATTGGGCGAGATTTTCCTCTGGAATTAATTCCTGTGTTAAGATTCTGTCACAACGTCTTGAGGTTGAGGATTCCCCGGAGGTGATCTACGATCAGTTGTTGACTGACATAAAAGATCAGTTGGTTATTGCGGGAGCCTATTACCCCTCAGGACTTCCTGGTCTAAGAAAAGCCAAACCACTCTGGTGGGACCAATCTTGTGAGGAGGCTCTTGAAAGGCGTAGAGAGGCCAGAAAGAACTTCCTAAAGTCTCAGTCCCAGGAAATGCGAGTTATATTTGATCAAGTTGATAGCGAGGTTAAGTGGTTTTTGAGAAACAAGAAAAAGACTTCTTTCGTTGATTTCTGTAACTCGGTTAGTCCGGCGATGGGTTCTAAAGAGATTTGGAAGAAGGTTAGGGCTTTCTCGTCTTCAACGCAACCCTTACGTACAGGGATTTGCAATGACCCCGACTCTGAAATTTTTAGCAAACTACAAAGGGATTTGGTGAAAGAAGATGTTCTTCCTGTAGATCTTCCCCTGATTCATGGAGTTAATAATGACTCCCTACTTAATGGTCCATTCTCGAGAGCGGAATTTAAATCAGCAATGTGTTGTGGTAAGAGGGATTCTGCTCCAGGTCTAGATGTTATTTCCAATTTAATCTTGCGTCAACTACCAATGGATGCCCACAACTTGCTTTTGTCTCTTTTTAATGAGTTCTTCTTAAAGTCATCCTTTCCAACGTCATGGAGAAACACGAGAGTAGTTTTCATTCCCAAACCGGAGGGCAAGGGCTATCGTCCGATTTCATTGACATCTGCGGTTAGTAAACTGTTTGAGCGGATGATTCAAAAGCGACTAGAACACTACCTAGAAATGAAAAACAGTATTCCGATAGGTCAGTTTGGATTCCGCAAGGGGAGATCGACGATCGACTGTGTTTCCACCTTTACTACGGACATTCAGCAGGGCTTTGTCGGGGGGCACCATACTGTGGCCTTGGCCTTGGATCTCAAGGGTGCATTTAGCAACATCCTTCCCAGTGCAATTTATAGTCACCTTGTCAAACTGCGAGTTCCTGACAGATTGGTGAATTTCGTCTCGTTTATTGTTTCGTCGAAGAACTTGTTTTTTTCAGCAGATTCGTGTGATTTTAAGGTTTCGCATGTAGGTGTTCCACAGGGAGGGGTGTTATCGCCCCTGCTTTTTAACTTAGCTTTAAGTGGAATAGCCTCTGTCATTCCCTATAGAGTCAAATGGCTAATGTTTGCTGATGATCTTCTCCTATATGTGAGGTCGAAAGATGTTAAGGATGCGATAGACTTGATCGAGGAAACTGTAGGGGTATTAACACCTTGGCTAGCAGAGATTGGTCTTGACATCGCTCCGGGCAAGTCACAATTAACCATTTTTTCCAAAACACGAGATAAGCTTAATGATATATATTTAAAAATAGGGAACAATAGAATTAAAAATCAGGATGACTTGATCTATCTGGGGATTCACTTGGACCGCAGATTGACTTGGTCACTGCATATAAGGAGTATAGCTCAAAAAGCTTCTAGAGCCATCAACATCCTGAGAGCTATGTCAAAGATATCATGGGGAGCAAATCCTTCCTCAATGATCCTAATTTATAAGGGTTTAATCAGGGCTCACCTGGAGTGGGGTTGTCAACTCTTCGCAAATGCTAGTCGATCTAACTTGGACCTTCTAGATAAAATACAACTGGCTGCGTTGCGTGCCATTTTAGGATGCATGAAATCAACCCCTGTCGGCATCTTGTTATCTGAGGTGAATGAGTCACCACTGGCCTTGAGACGCTCGATCATTGGCAAACGGCACATGCTCCGAAATCTTGCTTGGTCTCTGAACCCTCTCGTTCCAAAGTTGCAATTGTTGTCTGAGAAATGCCTAATAGATAAGAGATATAGACGGGACACAGGTTCGATGAAGTTTTCATTGCTGGATACATATCGAGATATGACATGTATTACTAGGAAGGCTTTTAAATCCAGGAAACCCTCAACTTTTGATATGACTTGGGAGGAGCTATCTAGTTCCCTTGACATTGACGTTCATTCTGGTCTTGAACTGAAGAATGATGCTCAACCCGATAGAGCCTTTAATCAGTTGATGCAGCGGGATTTTTCAGAATTTATTCAATTTTTTACTGATGCTTCTCATAATCCAGTTAAGGGTCTTTCTGGCGCTAGTTTTGTTGCTCCTTCTATTAATTTGGAATTTGGTGTTCGTTTGAGCGGATTGATGTCGGTAGATTCATGTGAGGCATATGCAATCTATTCGGCATTGAGGCACTCTTTACAGATGAAAAACGATAATACACTTATCATATCTGATTCACGGAAAATTTTACAAGAACTTGACCAAAGAATATGGATTAGGGATCCTCATCCTTTTATTGTAAAGATTCTCAGAGTGATTTTCGAGTTGAAGAACCTGGGTGGAAGGGTACGATTTTTATGGATTCCGGCGCATATAGGGATCAAGGGGAATGAAATGGCAGATTTGGTAGCTAAAAAATCATTGTACTTACCTTTTGGGAACTACTCAGGTACCCCCCTGCGTGACTTTATTTCTCTGTTAGAGCGAGATTTTGAGTCATGGAAATCCTTAAATTGGCCATACGCCGATATACGGTACTCGAGTAATAGATATTATACAAGGGTTAATTGCAAAACCAAAAGACCTTGGTTTAAAGGAATCCAAGCTCCACGCCGATACATTAATACTGTGACCAGGTTGCGGACCTCGCATATATGTACGGGAGAGCACTTTGAAAGAATGCAGTGGACTCTTCCTTTAGGATGTGAGTGTGGTGCGGAATATAAAGACCTCAAACACCTACTTAGCTACTGTCCTATTCTTTCCACGGGTAGACCGGCTTTCTTTTCATATCTAAATACCAAGATAACTGATTTTAATCCTGATAATTTTGATTTGGACAATTTGATTTTTAATCCAAATGCTGATATAGTTGTAGAAATCGGTAAATTTTTTGCTAGTGGCGATGTGGTTATTTGAGCAGAATGAATTGAGATTTTATTACTAAATGTTTAATTTATAAGTTAATTATATATTTTTTTTTTTTTTTTTTTTGTTTTTTTGTTTTTTTTGTTTTTTTTTTTTTTTTTTTTTTTTTTTTTTCTCTTTACACGCTCTTCTTATTGAGTGTATTAATTATTCTTAATTTTAAGATTGTAATGGAATAAATAATAAATAGAGGAAAAAGAAGGAAGGAGAACGGTTGAAGGAAGAAGGAAGAGATTAATAAAGAAATTTATCATAAGCATTTTATTATTTTCACTTAAACTTTCTTAGTCTCACTTGGGTAGAGAGAACTTGGTTTTGAATTATTCAAATTTTCCCGCTCTCCCTCTCCCTCTAGCATACTGCACTGTGGGATCTATTAAAGGCTATGTACATAGCTGTATCTGACTTACATACACATACCTGGATTTACATACATCTAACTGGAAATAAAATTTAGTACTGGCTACCTGTATATACAAGAGGCCATTTAAACAAAAAGAAGAAGAAGAAGACACGTTCACATTTTCACAATGTGTAAAATTTCAGGCATTTCAGGATACAACACGTCATTTGTTAACAAATTTGCATCAGATAAAATAAGAAAAATGAATAAGGGAATCACCTTATTAACAAATATCTAAGTTTGTAAATTCAGTGGATTTTATTTGTGAAATTTGTTTCCGATATTTGTGACGAATAATATTTTTAAAAGGTAAATATTATAATTAATATTTTCACAAGTTTTGCAAATTTTTACCGGTCAAATGTTCGTTATGTTACTTATAGCTTTTTAAATAAAATAATTAAAATTTACTATTCTAATCAATTCCAATTTATAAATTCGATATCTCGTGCAAAAAAAAAAAAAAATAAATATATAACTCCTGCATCTAAAAAAAAGCCGGTATATGTTGATCATCTAAACTTTTCTTTAGACACGATAGTGGTTTATAAATCTTTTCTGGCATTATTTAGAATAATATTGTATATTATTAAAATTTTTTTAAAATTATTTTTGTCTATTTTAGAATTTTATTTTTTGCAAAAATTAACAATTTTTAAAATCCATGTGATTGATTGTTCCAAATCATAAAAAAAAAGTGTATAAAAAATTCGACAATGAAAAATATTCAAAATTATGGAATAAGTTGAAAATTTTTAAAGAATCAGCAGTAAAATTTAAATCAATCAAAATTAACCTTGTTTAGGGGTTAACAATCTTTTTTTTGCATTTTTTAGAACCTGAAATCACATTTCACTATGAAAAATAAATTAAAAATTTAGCCCGCTTATTTTAAAAATAAATCACCAAAATGAGAACTATTTATTTTGCAATAAGTATATTTAAAATATTTTTTATTTTTCTTATTTATTTATTCTAGAATAATAAAATATATTTTATTATATAAAATGTATATTAAGTGCAATTAAAAATAAGGCAATCGTTTATTTAAATATATTAATGTGATTTAATACAAAGTTTATTTGCTCCAAAATGAATTGTTTAAATATATTTAATTTAATTAATTATTTAATTAAAGTTGTGGCAAAAAAAACAAATTTTTTGTTTAAACCAAATTTATTGTAAGAAAACTTGTTTAACTACAGGTATATTTATTTTCTAATAAATTATTAGAGAATAGTTTATTGAATTGTTTTCTATTGAAACTTTAAATTTCCAAATAAAAATTAATTTTTGAAATACAATTAAAATTCTTGTATTTTATAAATATGTGTGAGGCATTCCATGGGAAATTTTCATTCAAAATTTTTTTGGTCCGAATCATTTCTTTTTTTCAAAATCTATAGGGGAGAGTGGGGATTTATGCAACGTGGGGAGTTGTGCAACACGCTAATATTTATTAAATAATAATTGTTATGACTCTTGCAACTAATATGAAATTCTTTTCGCATTAATATTTAACTTTTTGACTGGTATTTATCACATACGCAGCCATTCTTAGTATTTTTCCAGAGTGTGAGTTAAAATTTAGTTCAAAAAGTTTTTTTTGCTTCTTGTATTTAAGTCATTTTCAGTAATTGTTTAAAGTTTTAAAAAAAGGTGACTATATGGAAAATAATCTGCAGTTAATACTCTTTCGATATGTAAAAGAATTTTTCATAAATATTTGATATGTTAATTACTGTGTGTTTTTTTCGAAAATTTGGAAAGTGAGGAGTTCTGCAACACTTCATATTGAATAGTTTTTCATCCAATTTCGCATTTTCTATGCGAATTTCGTATTATTTAAAAGTTATTGTTGAGGAAGAAGACTTTTGTATCATTTGCATAGGTACAATGCCAAAGAAATTAAACCGAAAAAACTCAATCCATTGCGTTAAATATGATCGAGCTGTGCATTTGAAATGTGCTCCTTTAACATCTGGGTTTTATACGTGCATTCATTGTAAATGAGATTGACTGATTGGCTTAACGGAAAAATATTTTGTTTAAATTATCTTCCTTTTTCATTATTTATGACATAAATAAAAAATATTCCATAAAATAGACCGTTATCTATGATTTTAAATAGTGTTGCACAACTCCCCACCGTTTTTAAAAATCAGTAAAAACCGGTTTTTAGGAAAATGAGCGAAAATCATTAAATTTTTTACTTTAAAAAAATTTTTTATGGTAGAAGTTGTGTTTTTATATGTACTACAAGTTCCATATGATAATACGTACAAAAAAAAATTTTTAATATTTATTTTGGAGCAAAAACAAAACCCGTTGCACAACTCCCCACTCTCCCCTATGAAAAATAAGAAAATACGTATTTTTTTAATTTGATGAAAATGTTAAGGATTAAAGTTAAGGATTCTAATTCCCATCAAAGAAATTTATTTATTTTCAACCTTTCATAAACTATTTTCTAATAATTTATTAGAAAATAAATATACCTGTAGTTAAACAGTTTTCTTATATATTAAATTTGGTTTAAACAAAAAATTTGTTTTTTTTTACCACAACTTTAATTAAATAATTAATTCTGAGAGTTTAAACTTTCAGTTTTTGAGAATTTTTAGTTTTATTTAAAAAAATATTAACAAATTAAATTGTCCCTCCCCTTAAAAGAAATAAAATTTACACCATAATATTATGATTACTGAACGTAGAAAATGTTCATGTTTCACAATTTGTAAAACCGGATTTTTCAAAATTTGGCCATAACAATTCTTGATGAGATTTAATTTTATTGTCTCTGAATTAAGGAAAGAAAAAAAATATTTATTTTTTCAACTTACATTACAGAACCATGGAGGTAGTGACGAAAGCGGAAGAACAAGATTTGGCACCTCGTGCTTATCAAATTGATCTTTTCGAGAAGGCCGTTTCAAACAATACGATAATTTTTCTTCCCACAGGATCAGGAAAAACGTATATTGCTGTTCAAGTTGTAAAGAAAATGAGTGCCGCTATCCAAGGGTAAGATTGTTATTAACTTTTTTGTTTTCTCTACTTTTTATAAAATAAGGAGCCAAAAGTTTTGAAAGTTCAAATGAACGAAATTTTTGTTTGCAACTTCTTTAAAAACGAATTTTATTACAAAATATTGTTTTAAATATCTAAAATAAAGTTATTAATTGTTTAATTGTTTTATTTTACATGGACATCATAATTTTTAATAATTTATAAATTGAAAAAAATATTTCCTTCATTTGAACGTTCAGAACTTTTGGCTCATATAAAATATTTTTTGTTAATTTTGTCACCTATTTCATAAGGCTGCAAAGATTTAAATCAAAGAGTTTTTCTTAACATTTTTTTGTTAAATTTATATTTAATATATTTTTTACATTTAATTTTGTATGTTTTAAGTTTAAAAATTTATTTAAATTTTGGAAAATATATGAGGAGTAAATTTTTCAAAAAAAATGGAGATAAACATAAATTTACTATTATAAGGACCTCACAAATCTTCCTGTCGTTGTTAAATTTAAGAAAAAAAATTTGTTAACAACGAATTTTCAATTCAAAAACTTTTGGACATAACCAAGATGAATTATAATTTTTATGTTTTATATTAGAAAAAATTACCAATACTTGTAAATCATTAAATTATAATAAAGTTAAATTAAAAATAGAACGTCTTGAATATAAAAACATTGTTATTGAATTAAACTATTACAAATTTTATATTTTAAAAGTAACTGTAGGTGGTTATGTGAGAAAAGTCATTTGTTTCAATTTCTCGAAATAAGAAAATATGGATTTATCAGGTTTTGAAAATTTGCTCCTCATAGATTTCAAGAAAAAAATATTTATTTGCCATTTAAAAAATTAATATATTAATATAATTATATGCACTAGAAGAATAGTTAAGAAAAAAATGAAATAATTACAAAAATTATTTATTTTTATATTTTGCATATAATCAAAATTTTCCTCGTACTATATCTCTTCATTAAATATTTTTAAAAATGATGCGATTTAAATGAATCATGCTTTTTTTTTCTTCAGAAAAGTAATTCTTAACATCTTCATCACAGAGATTTTTAAACAAATGCGACGTTTTTTAAATATTAAGAAAATTGAAAATTATTTCTTAAACATATCAATCAATCGAAAAATCAAAAGATTTTGCAAAAAATTTTACTATACAAATTATTACAAAATTATTGACGTTTTAAAAATTTCTTTAGTTATTTCCATAAATATACAATTTTTTAAAAATACATATTTTTTTTTTTTTTGTACAAAATATTAATATACTCTGGTACATTATAACGAATAATTGTACTATTTTTGAGTTATCTACAAAATTTTTAATCTATAAAGTACTTTACCTATAAACCTTCTGAGAATAACAATGCTGAAGTACATAACATTTATGATCAACAATTATTAGAAATTAATTTTTATTTTAGACGGAGAATTATAAAATAGTTTATTTAAAAAAATATTTTTTTTATAATTTATTAATTAATAAACACTAAAAGAAATATTTTTCAGGCAAAAATTTATAAAAATTTTCATTTTAAAAAATTATTTCTTTAAAAATCGTTTATCACAAACGTTACGTACTTCAGCATCGTCAGAGAACATTTATAATTGCGGAATCTCAACAGTCACATGACCTTAAGAAAAAAGAAAATTTATTAAATGAAACGGTTTGAAGAACAATTTTTTTTCACCTTGATCACTTTAGCTAAAATTCTCCATTGAGCAAAATTTCTACTACAAAATTTAATTTTTTTTTTTTCAGTAAATACAGCAGTGGAACAAAACGAACAGTTTTCATAGTAAATACAGTTCCACTTGTATCACAACAAACAGATTATCTTACAAGGCACACAGGCTTAAAGGCCAAAGGTTTTAGCGGCGATATGCAAGTTGACTTTTGGGACAATAAAAAATGGTGGAGTGAAATCGAGGACACTCCGGTAGGGGTTTTAATGCAGCATATTTCAATTTTTATATTCCTGAAATTTCAAACGTTCAAATGAACGAAATAATTTTTATGTTTGATAAATTTTTTAAAAATTACTACAGCAAAAAAAATAAATAAGGGTAAGTCCACGTCAGAAATATTAGAATCTGCAAGTGGTTCTTCGATTTTAATGATACTTGGTAAAATTATAGCTTTATATAAGAGCAATGTGTAAGTAAAAGGAATTTTTAAAATATCTAAAATTGTAGGAGTTATATCACTTTTAATTTTGATACTGCATTTTTTTCTTTCCTTTATATCTCGGACAATTTTCAACCGATTTTGATGAATCAAAAACGATTTTTTTCAGAAAATTACGTATTTTCAGAAAATTTTAAAATAAAAATAAAATTTTGTTATTTAAATAGAAAAAAGTAAAAAACAAAATTTCTTTTAGACTTTTTTCAATTTCGACCTCTTTTTTTTAATTTTTAATTTTTTAATAATATTCCTTTTTATTTTATCTTTAATTTAAAAAAAAATTCATCCTGGAGACTTTTTTAGATCTCGTGATATTGTTCTTTAAATATCCACATCTCAAGAAAACTAGGATCCAGATTTGTGTTTCTACTTTCATTTGTTTTATAATATTATGTTACAAACTAGAAACTTTCGCGTAATAATGTTTTTATTTTTAAATTACTTGACTAAAACAAGTGAAAATTCAAGCAAATCAATATTTTATTAATAGATTTGAAGCAAAGTTTTTATTTTTTGTAATATTTATAATCTTAAAAAAATTGTAATGAAACCTTAACAATGCAACCTGAAATTGTAGCTGACCTTTTTAGCGCTTTTTTTTAGAGGATTCCAAAACAAATAGTTATTCATAACCATAAAAAATTTCAACAAACAAATGAAAGTAATAATAGAAGCAAGTCCTGCGGTTTTCAAATTGATGAAGACTTATAATACTTAAAGGACGATATCACGAGATCTAAAAAAGTCTCCAGGATGAATTTTTTTTAAAATTAAAGATAAAATAAAAAGGAATATTATTAAAAAATTAAAAATTAAAAAAAAGAGGTCGTAATTGAAAAAAAATCTAAAAGAAATTTTGTTTTTTACTTTTTTCTATTTAAATAACAAAATTTTATTTTTTTTTTAAAATTTTCTGAAAATACGTAATTTTCTGAAAAAAATCGTTTTTGATTCATCAAAATCGATTGAAAATTGTCCGAGATATAAAGGAAAGAAAAAAATGCAGTATCAAAATTAAAAGTGATATAACTCCTACAATTTTAGATATTTTAAAAATTCCTTTTACTTACACATTGCTCTTATATAAAGCTATAATTTTATCAAATATCATTAAAATCGAAGAACCACTTGCAGATTCTGATATTTCTGATGTGGACTTACCCATAAAATTATTATTATATTAAATATTTAATAAATTATTAATGTGGGTTAGTCCACTGACTTTTGTCTAATAGTGGTTGCGACCAAATTTTTAAAAAATCTAGTTTTAATATATGTAAAACTCGATGATTCCCTGAGTTCATAAACCATAATATTATGGTAAAAATTTTATTCCCTTTAAAAATATTAAACATCAAAAGTAGGAGGTTCACAATGTGATTTTGTAACCTTAAATTTTTCAATTTTTTTAAAAACGCTCTTATTAAAAAACTATTAAAAATTAGATGTTGGAACTCACCAAAAACATAAATCACTTTATTCTGCACAGAAGAACGAAAGAATTATTGCAAAAATTTATTATTTTTGGATGATATACGATTTTAAAAAAAATTTTATTTAAATATTTTCAAGATTTTTATTTACTTATAACTTTTTTGTCGGTGCTCCGAAAAAATTGAGGTTTTGCACAAAGATTTTTTATAATATTCTTTACCTTCTATTAAAATCTTACGAAGGTGTTTTGCTTCGTTTTGGAGATATTAATTTTCAAAATTTTTTATTTAAAAAGGTTAATTAAAAGACTTGAAGTTAACTGACCAATTTCAAATCGCTACATTTTAATATATTTTTATAAAAAATGGAGCAGTTTGAATTTGGTTAGTTAACTTCAAGTCTTTTAATTAACCTTTTTAAATAAAAAATTTTGAAAATTAATATCTCCAAAACGGAGCAAAACACCTTCGTAAGATTTTAATAGAAGTTAAAGAATATTATAAAAAATCTTTGTGCAAAACCTCAATTTTTTCGGAGCACCGACTAAAAAGTTATAAGTAAATAAAAATCTTGATAATATTTAAATAAAATTTTTTTTAAAATCCTATATCATCCAAAAATAATAAATTTTTGCAATAATTCTTTCGTTCCTCTGTGCAGAATAAAGTGATTTATGTTTTTGGTGAGTTCCAACATCTAATTTTTAATAGTTTTTTAATAATAGCGTTTTTAAAAAAATTGAAAAATTTAAGGTTACAAAATCACATTGTGAACCTCCTACTTTTGATATATTTAATATTTTTAAAGGGAATAAAATTTTTACCATAATATTATGGTTAATGAACTCAGGGAATCATCGAGTTTCACATATATTAAAACTAGATTTTTTTTAAAATTTAGTCGCAACCACTATTAGACGAAAGTCAGTGGACTGACCCATGTATTTTTGAATACGGAAAGCAATATTGATAAAATTAATAAAATTTGAAAGTAAAAAAGTTGTTAATAAATTTTTCGTTCATTTGAACGTTTAGAATTTCAGGCACATCAATATATATGTGAAAAAAATAATTTTGTCTTATTTTTTTTTTAACAATATTTACAATCATTTTTTTTTTAAAATAAATTTTGAAATAATTTAATATGAAATTTTTTTTTTAGATTTTAGTTATGATAGCTCAGATATTTGTCGATATTGTAAATCACGGAATTATGTCACTTGATCGGGTAAATTTAATTGTATTTGATGAGTGTCATAGAGCTGTAAGCGATCATCCAATGAGGCAAATAATGCAAAGATTTGAGGAATGTTCTTCTGATAATCGACCAAGAGTATTAGGTTTATCGGCTACATTACTTAATTCTAATGTTAAATTGGAAAAAGTACAAGAAACAATTGAGGTATTGTTACTTTTAATTTTAAAAAAATATATGAATTGTATTTACATAATTGCTTAATGACATTTTCAATCTTAAAATTCAAAATTCTTCTTGTCTACTCGTTTTTCGATAAAAATATCTCGGTTCGTGCTTAGTGCCTTGAATTTTTAAAAAAATATATAATTCATTTCAAATTAGAGAAAGCTAAACATGGTCGGAGTAAAAAATCAATTTTACAGTTTTTTTATATAACACGTATTTTTTTGTTTGGCTGAAGAATTTTTTTTCTTTACGCATTTATAAAGAATTTAATTTTTCAATTTCGAATCGTCGTTTATCTAAAAATTAATAAAAAGAAAAAATATTTTGAACGTTATAATTTTTTTGGTAATCAGGATATTTAATTTTTTCTTTTTGACTTCTCTCGAAAAATCGGGTAGAAAAATTAAAAAATAACAAAATATCGGTTAATTTACTAAAAATCTTTGAATTCAAAATATTCAAAAACCCCCACCTTTGTTTTGTTCCAATTTTTTTTGATAATTGTCTTCGTAGTAAAGAATTTTTTTTGTTTTAAAAAAAATGTTTGTTTAGAAATAATACTGTTTTTCTTCAAATGAAATTTTGCTAAATTTTGAAAATAAATCGTGATAGAGAAAAATGTTAAAAAACACTTTTTTTGCTTCTTTTAAAGAGAAACAATTTTTATTTGGGACTTTGTAAAAAAAAAAAAATTTTCTCAGACCAAAAAAAAAATACCTGTCGTCTAAAAAGTTTTAGAAAACAATATTCATTTTCAGCTCCGACCATGTTTAGCCTGCCTTACTTGAAATGAATTCATTCTATATACTTTTTTCTTTTTGCGAGTTGTTGGTTTCAATTTTTTTTTTTCAGTCACTGGAAATAACATTTCACGCGAAAATAGCGTCAATTGAGTCCCTCGCTATTGTTGCTGGATTTTCTACAAATCCAAAAGAAAATTGTATTAAATATAATGATGAAAAAGCTTGTTGCAAAACAGTGGATGATATTATAGATGAAGTGACAAAAATTCTAAAAATAGTTAAAATACCACAACCATCGGATAATAATCATTCGTCTTTTGAATTTAAATCAAAATCAAGAAGTGAAAAATTAAAAAATATTTTATCAGATATTAAAGAAAATTTATTGGATACAGGTAATTTATTATTATTTTTTTTTAATATTTTGGTATTCAAATTATACATTTTATTTGTATTTGCAAATTATATATTTTTTCATTTATTTGTTATTTTGCTTCATTTAAGGTACATTCGGAGGTAGTAAAGCAGTTTTATTGCATATGATACAATTAGAGAGTATAAAAAGAGTTGTTGCCGAACCAGTAAGTATTAGTTTAATGATTTATTTAATTGCTGCTAATCAAGTAACAGTAAATTTTTGAAGATATTAAAAATAAATACTTGTTTAAATATGAAATTTGTTATTTTTATTAATAAATAATAATCAATTTTTCTTTTTAGCAAGCAATATTCGTTTTGGAGTATATTTTATCAAAATTAATGATTTTAAGAAAAATTTTTGACGTTCAAATGCAGGGATTATCGTTGAGAGATCAAATTTATCAGTAAGTGTATGACAAAAAATATAATATTTCTTAAATTATTTTAGTTTTTAGTATTTCATTTTAATGTAAGTAAATTTAATTTTATTTAATAGCAATTTTTAATTATAGAAAATTAAAAATTTAAATTATTAATTTCAATAAATAATAAATAAATTTAAATTTAATTTAATTTTAGATTTTCATCAGATAGAGTTTTGAAGTTAATAGCAATTTTAAAACAATTCAATGATCAAAAAAATGCGGATCAAAAATTTTGTTGCATTATTTTTGTGCAGCGACGTTTTACTGCACAAGTTTTATATCACATTCTGAAAGTAAGTTGATTATAAACATTTTTCAATATTTAAAAAAATTATATTTTCCTTAAAAAGGCAAATTTCCTATTGGTTAATTTAAATTAGTTTTTTGATTACTCTTTCTAAATACTTTTTTTGAATTTAAAGTAACTATTTTATTTATTTATTTTTTATATAAAATGAAAGTAAATTAATATCTAAATATTTTTATAAAAAGTAAATGAATTCATAAAATCTAACTTAATAAAAAAATTTTGTAAATTTTAAATATAATTTCTGCTTAATATTTTAGAGCCTTAATCAATCCGTCGAAGAATTCAAATTTTTAATACCTGAATATATGGTTGGATTCAATAATGATCCTTTTAAGAATGCGAAAGAAACCATGTGTATTGCTAAATGGAATCAGGATGTTTTAAGAAGGTAAGAAAATTAATTAAATTTTTGTTAATTACTCAAATATTTACTTAATAGAAATTGTTTACTATTAATTTATTTTAAGTAAACTTCAATTTATTTATTTCGAAATTAATTTAAATTTGCGATAGGCCATTATTAGACATTTTTTGTTTTGACTAAGTAATTTAATTTTAAATTAAAATTTCTTTTCAATTTTAATAAATAAAATAAATTTTATTCAAAATTATAAGAGAATTAATTTATTTTTGTTGCAGATTTCGAAGTGAAAAATCAAATTGTATTGTGGCTACTGATGTGGTAGACGAAGGCGTCGATATTCCACATTGTACATTAATTGTTCGCTTTGATTTGCCGATGGATTTTAGATCATACATTCAAAGTAAAGGTAGAGCACGTCATTCATCAAGTCAATATACAATGCTTGTTGCAAATGACAACACTAAATTTGAATCAAAATACATTCAATTTCACCAAACTGAACAATTTCTTCAACAAGTAAGTTGTAAATTATTTGATATAAGGGTAAGTCCACGTCAGAAATATCAGAATCTGCAAGTGGTTCTTCGATTTTAATGATACTTGGTAAAATTATAGCTTAATATAAGAGCAATGTGTAAGTAAAAGGAATTTTTAAAATATCTAAAATTGTAGAAGTTATATCAATTTTAATTTTGATACTGCATTTTTTTCTTTCCTTTATATCTCGGTCAATTGTCAACCGATTTTGATGAATCAAAAACGATTTGTTTCAGAAAATTACGTATTTTCAGAAAATTTTAAAATAAAAATAAAATTTTGTTATTTAAATAGAAAAAAGTAAAAAACAAAATTTCTTTTAGATTTTTTTTCAATTTCGACCTCTTTTTTTTAATTTTTAATTTTTTAATAATATTCCTTTTTATTTTATCTTTAATTTAAAAAAAAATTCATCCTGGAGACTTTTTTAGATCTCGTGATATCGTTCTTTAAATATCCACATCTCAAGAAAACTAGGATCCAGATTTGTGTTTCTACTTTCATTTGTTTTATAATATTATTGTTACAAACTAGAAACTTTCGCGTAATAATGTTTTTATTTTTAAATTACTTGACTAAAACAAGTGAAAATTAAAGCAAATCAATATTTTATTAATAGATTTGAAGCAAAGTTTTTATTTTTTGTAATATTTATAATTTAAAATAAATTGTAATGAAACCTTAACATTGCAACCTGAAATTGTAGCTGAAGTTTTTAGCGCTTTCTTTTAGAGGATTCTAAAACAAATAGTTATTCATAACCATAAAAAATTTCAACAAACAAATGAAAGTAATGATAGAAGCAAGTCCTGCGGTTTTCAAATTGATGAAGACTTATAATACTTAAAGGACGATATCACGAGATCTAAAAATGTCTCCAGGATGAATTTTTTTTTAAATTAAAGATAAAATAAAAAGGAATATTATTAAAAAATTAAAAATTAAAAAAAAGAGGTCGAAATTGAAAAAAAATCTAAAAGAAATTTTGTTTTTTACTTTTTTCTATTTAAATAACAAAATTTTATTTTTATTTTAAAATTTTCTGAAAATACGTAATTTTCTGAAACAAATCGTTTTTGATTCATCAAAATCGGTTGACAATTGACCGAGATATAAAGGAAAGAAAAAAATGCAGTATCAAAATTAAAATTGATATAACTCCTACAATTTTAGATATTTTAAAAATTCCTTTTGCTTACACATTGCTCTTATATAAAGCTATAATTTTACCAAGTATCATTAAAATCGAAGAACCACTTGCAGATTTTGATATTTCTGACGTGGACTTACCCATAATAATTTTTTTTTGCTACAAAAATTGATATCACAGTCACTTTAATATTTATTTGAATAATTTTTTTTTTCCAACCCAGTATTGAAACTGTATTTTTTTACAAGTAGACAGATAAAACATTTTTTCTTTAAAAAGTTATAGTTAAGTTAAAAAATATTTATTTATTTTTTTTTGTTTTTAGAAATTTCAAACAATTATCGAATTATTTAAAATATTTAATTAAATAATATTTTTAGAGCAATTTAGGTAATCTTTAAAGAATTTTATTTAAATTATTGATAATAATTAATTTAGCGTAGAATTATGAGGCTGAAGTCCGCAACTTTTTCAAAAACGAAAAATTAAAATAGAATTATTTTTTCATGTCAATTTATCTCTAATTTTGATTTGCACAAACTTTCAAGAAATTAATACTTTTATAAAAATCAGTTACCCCCGAATAACTTTAATTTTAACCAAAATTAATGGATATTGTCTAATTATTTTTTCGTTTTCGTTTATAAAAACGTTGCGGACTTCAGCATCATGTAGAAAATCAAGCTCCTATGTATTTATCAAAATTTGTCATGAATTTAAAAATTATTTACGCTAAATTTAGAATAATAATAAGAAAGCTAATTTTTAAATGGAGAAATTAAATAATTAAAAAAATTTTAATTAATAAATTAAATAGACTAAAAATCTACAAACAAATTAATTTTAATTAATTTCTTTTTTTTTACTTTTAATAGATACTTGTTGGTCAAACTGATTTTCGAACATTGCCTAATGATGAAGACATTGAAAATGAATTGTATTCTTACAAAATTGATCCTTATTTGCATATTAATGCAGAAGGTAAACCGTGCGTTATAACAGAACAATCGGCAATCGCTTTATTAAATCGATATTGTGCAAATTTATATAAATCAAAATTTATTAGTTTATCTCCAACGTGGAGTTTACATAAAAAACGAGATTTACAATCAACTACAGAACTATTCTATAAGGTATAATATTGAAAATGTTACTTTATTATTAGGAAAATTTACGTTTCTAGAAAAGTAAAAAATTAATCTTGAATTTATTTACGTCAAGGTATCGCTCACATTGCCAATTGTTTCGCCTTTGAAAGAAGTGATTATGGGTGATTGGATGAAAGCCATTGATGATGCCAAAAGATCAGTTGCAATGAAAACATGCATTAGATTAAAAGAAATTGGTGAATTAAATGATAATTTAAATCCCATTGATCCTGATGATATTCAAGAAAATGTCAATCATCTTTTTCCAAATTGGGAGGAGGAAAATACTAATGATCATTGTGCACCGGGAACTTATAGCAAAAAGAGAAAACATAATTTAATTGTAAGTTATTTAATTTTTGATAATCATTTTACACTATTTTATGTTTATTAAATATTTTTTTAGTGGTTTTATTTTAATGAATAATTATCGATTTTTTTCAAATTATTTAATATTAATTGATTATTTAATTTACTGAATAAATTTATATTTATCATTAATTTTGATATTTGATATAACTTTTTTTTTTTTAATAAGGTACATAAATTTAATGTCTACAATTTGTAAACGTTTTTTAATTTTTGTTTTTTTTTGTACAAGTTATTGATGAAGTTTTATTGACTTTGAATAATATGAATATTTAGTTTTGAAAAATGTTTTTAGCATCCAAAACCTCTTTATGGAGCATTTCCCCAAGTAAATAAGACTTTGTTTCTTCATCTACTGAAAATGACACCAAAATACACGGAGCCATTGGATAATCGTCATTTAGTGTTTTATAATTTATTGAAAGATAATGCAGGTTATGGAATTTTAACAACCACTGAATTTCCCGAAGTAAGAGAATTATTTATTTTCTACTTTTGCCTTCTACTTTTATATTTTATTAAAACAATTTTCTAATTTTCTTCCAGTTTCACTTTAAATAGTATATTTTTTATTATATTTCTTCATTTTTATTTAATTTTGATTTTAATAATCGCTTAAACGTTGAAAAAAAGGGTTTTCTTTCTTTTTTTTTTTTGTTCATATTGTGTGGTGTTTAAATGATTTAAAAATTAATTTAAATTTTCAGATACCAAATTTTCCCATTTTTATGAATGTTGGACCCCTGGAGATTCATGTGGAAGTTAATTTTAAAAGAATTACTTTAGATGAAGAAAAAATTAATGCTATGAGGGGTTTTCATACAATGGTGTTTTTCAAACTTCTTAATCTTGTGAAGGAATTTATGGTTTTCGATGTTTATAATTTAGAAAATAATTTCGCCGTTGTTCCAGGTTTGTTTGAAAAATTTTTCATTTCATTTCTTTTTGTTTTAATTTTTTAGTACAACAAGATTGCCACGGCTTAGGAAACTCATGTAAAAGTCAGAGAAATTGAGATTGATCAGGGAAATTAGGAAAAAGACAGGGAAATTTTTATGGAAAATACTGGAAAAATATCAAATTTCTAAAAATTTTACTAAAATTATAATTTTTTGAAATTTTCAATTAAAAAACTTTTGTTTCTAAAAATTATATGATAAATAATTTATTATTATTAACAATTTGTTATTAGAAATTAAATCAAATTTATTAATTTCTCAATAAGAATTTTTCATAGAAATATTTTCATTAGGGTCAGGGAAAAAATGTTAATATTTTACTGGAAATGAGACAAAAGTCAGGGATATATAAATATAGATATATATATATATATATATTTTAAAGAAATGTTTTACAATTTTTCAGTAAAATTTTCAATTTTCCTTCTTTTAAAAGATATCAAAATGTTTAATTATGGTTTTAGTGGACAAAAACTGTGAAATCGATTGGAAACTTATTTATTCTTATCAAACAATTGAAAATAAAGAACCTCCTTCACCGTTTGAAATTAATGAAAACGATTATGAATTGGCTTTGGTAAAACCGAATTACAGAGCTGCGCCTAATATCTATATCGTTACAATGATATGCGATGATATTACTGCTGACTCGAGTTTTCCAGATTACAAATTTCATTCTTATGTCGAATATTATAGAGATCATTACAAACTTACTATAACAAATGTGAAACAACATCTTCTAGAAGTTAAAACAATATCCACAAAGATCAATTGCATCGTACCACGGTAAAAAAAAAAAAAAATTAATTCAATTTCTATTCATTATCATAAATCTAATATTCATTTATTTATAAGATTTTTTACAATTTTAATATATTAAAAAACAAATTTTTTTAATTTTTACATTTATAATTATTTTCAAAAAAAAAAATGCAAATTTTTTTTTATTTATTTAACAATTTAAGAAATTTATAATATAAGAAATCATTTTAGTAATTAATTTCATTTCTACGCGTGTTGGTGAATTTATTGGAAAATTTTTTTTTTTTTTATTTTTGACAGGAGTACCAGTAAAAAAACAAAAGAGAATATTGATTTAACGGAACATCTTGTTCCTGAACTTTGTGACATTATAAATTTTCCAGCGTTATATTGGCTAAAAGCAACTGCTCTTCCATCGATTATTCATCGAATAACACAACTTTTAATAGCTGATGATCTTCGACAAGAGATTGAAAAGAATGCAAATATTACAGTTCCAATTGTAAAAAAACCAGTGTCTTTGACAATATCAACAATACCAATGGCAAAACAAAAAGAAATTTTGGAAACAACTTTAGACGAATCATCAGAAATGGATGTCTCTGATTTACAGCCAGAAATTAGAGGCCCAGAAATTGATGGTAATATTATAATTAATATTAATTAAAATTATTTTTTTTTTTATTTAGACTTAAAATTTTTTACATAAATTGTCGTTTTGAACATCAAGAAGTTGAAAATAAGGATACAAAATGTCACTTTTTCCAAATTTTTTTTTCTAATTCTTATTTTTTTTTCTTTTAAAGCCACTTCTAATGATATCAATTTTTTCAAAAAAAAAAAAAAAAAATTTTTTTAAAAGTTTTTAATTTCTAAGAAAAGTTTTTCTAACAAATTTCGATTTCTAAAATTTTTATTATTATTGATTTCATTATCTAACTTAAAGTGAAATTATTTTCTTATTAATTCTTAGAATTGTTAAAAATAATTTCTAGTTTTAAACATGGAAGCAGAATATCCGTGGTCCAAGAGAGATGAACCTCCGGATTTAATTCGCAATGCGGATATAATTCAATTGATTCACATTGAAACTTATCACAAATTTATGGGTAAACAGGACAGGAAAAATATGCCAGATATTTTGGTAAAAACTTTTTTTTTTTTTTTTGAAGTTTTTATAGGCTCAAAATGCTTTTACAAAAATTAAGAAAGAAAAATTTATATTTCACAATAATTTCAGATGAAATCAAAGCAAAATGTTTCTTACTTTAATCGGCCAAATATGACAGCGCCAGTTATTAAAATGTTGTCAAACACGAATTTCGAGGGTCTGAATAATGTCATTTTAATGAAGGTATGTTTAATTGATAATAATTTTATAAAAGTAAATGAAAATTGAATATAATTTGATATTCATATATTTCAGGCTCTAACGAGTAAAATAAGTAACGATGCTTTTGATTTAGAACGAATGGAAACATTAGGTGATTCGTTCTTAAAATTTGCTGTTTCACTTTTCTTGTATGAAACATACAAGAGCTTTAACGAAGGCCAATTGACATATTTAAAGGGAAAATTAATTGGAAATCGTAATTTATATTATTGTGGAAAAAATAAAAATATTCCCGGACGAATTAAAGTTGAGGAATATATTCCCAATAGTAATTTTATTGTTCCTGCATTTACTGCTGAAAGATCTATCCAAGGAGTATTAATTGACAATGAGGTAAATAATTTGGATTTTTTTTTAAATTATATAAATTTTAATAGAAAAAAAGATGAAAATGGTAACAAATTATCAAAATAGGTACAATAGTAAAATTAAATTTTAAATAAGTGAAAAAAAGGTGAAATTATTTTAAATTAAAATGCATCGTAAATTTTATTAATCAATAATTAATATCGTTTTTTGTTTTTCTCTTCTAATTTCTAGATATCTTCAAATGTCTTATATGAATTACATATACCAGACGAGGAGAAAATCAAAGGTTATATATCTGAATTCACTTTGGATCAGATTCAGGATAAAGTTTTAACATGGAACGATACACCATCTAATTGTGTAATGGAACAATTCTTAGGAAGACAAAATGTTGCTGACAAAGTTGTTGCCGATTCTGTAGAATCAATTATTGGCGCTTCTCTTTGCGTAAGAAAATATTATTTTTCTATAATAATCACTCTCAAAAATAATGAAATCAATTGCATTTAAATCTTAGTTAGTAAAAGGAAAAATATTCACATAATTTATTTTCAAATAATATAGATTATTTTTTTCCATTCCTTTAGTTTAAAAATATGTTTATTAAATTTTGTGTATATCAATAACTAATTAAAAAAAAAATAATTTAAATATTTTTTAAACGTTGAAAAACATTGTAAATATGATAAAATTATTTCCAATAGTTTTTAAATTGATTTGAAATTTGAAAAGTACAATTTTCAAATTGAAAAAAAGGATACATAATTAACTCAAAAAATACTTAGATTATTTTTATTTGAATTAATAATAATTTTTTAGACATTGGGTACGGAAGGTGCTTTAAACATTCTTAAATGGTTTCAAATAATTCCATTTAATTCGCAAATTGAAATGAAATTCATTTCGGTTTCCTCAAAATCGTTTAATGAAATAGTTTCTAAACAAATTAACGATCACATGCCATGGGCAAATATGCTTGAAAAAAGATTAAATTATACATTCAATGATCGAACATTACTTCTGCAGGTATAGTAATTATTGTTGATAAAATAATTATTTTATTTAAATATTTTTTTAAAAAAACACATTTTTAAATTATTAACAGGCATTTTCGCATCCATCGTATTCGATTAATGGATTAACTCCTTGTTACCAAAGATTGGAATTTCTTGGAGATGCTGTTTTAGGTAAGAATGTAATTTTATTTATTTAGAAATATTTTAATTGTTAAATTAATTTTAATTTTAACTTTTTATTTTTAATTTGTTTAATTTTAATTTATAAAAACAAAAAATTACAAGGTTTGAAAATTTTTTAAAATTTTCCAAGTAAACATTTTTTTAAACTGCTACCATTGACAAGGGTAATTATGCAACAATAGAGGTAAAATATAGATTCTTAAATTACGAACAATTTATTTTTAAAAAAAATTTTTAATAAGAAAACATAGTTGTAGATTATAAAGAATGACAAATAAAAATTTCCATTCTTCTAAATAACATTTAAACTTTTGATGAATTGAAATTTCATTTATTAAAATTAATTTGTTTCCTTATTGTTTATAGATTTTTTGATTACCGTATATATTTATGAATATTGTGGTGAATTGAGTCCAGGTGATCTCACAGATTTACGTTCAGCATTAGTGAACAATATTACATTTGCCTGCCTATCCGTAAGATATGGATTACATACTGCTCTTCTAGCGTATGTACCACTTCTACACGATACAATTAATAGATTTGTCAAATTTCAAGAAGAAAAAAATCACGCCGTTGATGTCGAGGTGAGAAATAGAAATTATTAATGATTATTAAAAATTTGTGGACGCATTAATATTTCTCAAAAAGCCCCTTGAATTCTTCTTGGACCTGGAAATTTTTTTAATTTTATAATAAAAACCTTATTTTGACCCATTTAAATTTAAATGATCGCAGGAATTTGTAATATTTGTAATATTTGTAATATTTTTTTGTGTCAATTTAGTTTTTGATCAATTTAGAATAATTCAAAAATTGTTCAAAATTAATACTTTTTTCCATAATTTTTATTGTTTTCTATCGTCAATTTTTGTCCTAGTTTTTTTTTAAATGATTTTTCAGAATCTCTCGCACAGATTTTCAAAAAAAGAAAGAAAAAGAGTTGAAATTTCATTTATCAATATTGAATTCTTTCTCAATTTCAACTATTTTTCCACGCTTTTTTGAATATATATTTCAAAATCTCTTGCATGGATTTTCAAAAAATAAAAATTCTAAAATAGTCAAAAATTAAAATTTTTCTTTTTTTGGACACTCAGTATGTTATTAGAAACCAAAAATGATGCAAAAAAAATGACTTTTTTCAATCATTAAAATTTGAAGGACTCAAAATAAAGGATTTTTAAAATATTAAAAGTCTCTGCTGAACACAAAAAATTTTATGATTGATTTATCGTTATAATTAAGAAGATATTTTCATAACTTCTACACCGAATGTAGATCTTGAAAAACCTTGAATTTTTTTTTCAAGAACTATTGGACTCCCTAAATATTATTATTTTTATTTATTTATTAATTTTTGACTTGAGGGAAGAAATTATTTCATCTTACAAAAAAAAAAAAAAAATTGTTCTTTATTAGATAAAGGTGATGAATAAAAAATAAGATTGTTTTTTTTTTTCTCTTTTAAGTTACTCTGGATTCTTTTAGAAGAGAGTGAGTGCAATTTAGCCGAGCACGTCGACGTCCCAAAAGCATTGGGAGATATATTTGAATCTTTAATTGGTGCTATTTATTTAGATTCAGGAAAAGATATAAAAAAAGTTTGGGAAATTGTATTTACAATGATGCATGAAGAATTTGGTAAATTTTTATCTACAACTCTTGATTTTTTTTTATTTTGAATTCAATATGAATTGATTGTTAAAATTCGGAAATTTAAAAAAAATTAATGAAATCCAATTTTTAAATATAATATATATGTATTTTCAGAATTGTTTTGTGCTGATGTGCCAAAACAACCGATACGAGTTATATATGAGACAGGTGTTCGACCAAGATTTTTGTAAGAACAATTTAATTTTTTTAATTATGTAATCTTTACCATAAACTGATAAAAATTAATATTTTTTTTCTATAGGAAAGCGACAATAGTTGAATCAACTGGACAAGTAATGGTCGGTTTAGAAATAACTGTCGAGGGAAAAGCAAAACTCTTCCATGGATTTGGCGCTAATAAAAAGCAAGCTAAATCTGCAGCCTCGAAACAAGCGTTAAAATATTATCGCTCTAAAAAGTAAGTAATTAATTATTTATTATTTTTAAGTAATCAGCCCTCGGATCGACTTTATGGAGCAAAAAAAAGTCAGTTTAGTCTATTTGCGATAGAAAAAAAAGTCGAAAAAGTACATTTTTTAAATTTTAATAAATTTCAGACTTCGGATCAATTTTAAGGCACAAAAAAAGTCATTTTAGTCGATTTATATTAAAAAAAAAAACAAATGTTATTAGATATTAAATTCATGTTATTAATTCTGTAATGAGAATAATTCTACAAAAATATTATCAAGAAAATTTATTTCGAATATTTCAGAATCGAACTAATTATAAGAAAAATTTTCAAAATTTGATTTAAGTAGCGCAAATTTCTAAATAAAAAATTCTTAAAGTTCCATTTTTATAAATTTTTTGATGTCTAATTTAGGCAATTTATTCGAATTTAAAATTTTGTCATAGTTTTTAGTTTTGATGATTTTAGAAATAATGTAATTTCAAAAGATTTTATTAATTTTCAGACAATAATTAAATTTTACAGAATTGAAAATAATTTATCCAAATAATTTTAAAATAACACTTTTTTTTTAAAGTAATTGAATTTTCAAAGATTTACAATTTAGATTTTTGAAATTAATTGAACTTCAAGTGATTTTTAATTAAATTTTTTTGATGATTTCACAAAAACATTTATTAGAAATTGCAGACAAAAAATTTTGGTTTATAAAAAATTCGAAATTATTTTTATCAAAAAACAATTCAACTCTGATTTATACAAATTATTTATAAATTCAAAATTTTGTCAAAATACTCAAAATGTGAAGTTAAAGTAATTTAACTTTTTAGTCATTTTTTAGAAATAAAATACATTATAGAGGGAAATGAGATAATTTTTACCTAAAAGTATTTTAAATAATTGAATTTTAAAAGAATTTAATAAAAATTATTTAAATTAAAACAATTGATTAATATATTATTGAAAATTTCTAATTTTGAGAAGAATTTTAGATAATTTTAAAAATAATTGAATTTTGGAAGAGTGATACATTTTTTTTTTGGAAATAATTGAATTTCAGGAGATTTTAAATTGGAATAATAATAATAACAATAATTGATTTAAAAAATGTTCATTAAGTAATTAAAAAATATGTTTTGAAATTTCGAAAAATTTCATTTAAATTATTGATAATAATCAATTTTGGAATGACTTTTAAGATTCGAATTTTTAAAATGATTAAATTTTAGAAGAGCTACAGTTCAGAAAAAAGTCGTACAGGCTTGAATAATTAATTATTATCATTATTAGATAAACATTAAAGTTCATTTATTAAATTTCTTTCAAAATACTTTCAGATTTTTGTGAAAATAATAATTTTTGTACATTTTCTTTTTTTGCTAGAAAATCCAAGGAATGTGATGCAACATGTTCAATTCCAATTAACGTTTAAGAAAAACAAAAATATATATATATATATTTATTCATCAGGCATCAATGTTGAAAAATACTTTAAAAGTATTTATTTTTTATATATAATAAAAATTTTAATATAAATATTTTAAAAAATAAAAAAAAGAAATGAAAATAAATGTCAAAGAATTTTAACGACTGTATAAACAGCAAAGAGTACATTGTTAATATTTTGTTAATAATTGAAAGCTTTTTAATAATTGTATGGAATTTTTAAAAATATAAATCAATTTATTTTAACGATAATGTGAGAATTTAATTTATAATATATATAAAAAAACAACTCTTGTAAAATAAATAAAGTATAAATCTTTTTTTAATTAACACAAAAACATTTACATTTATTATATCTTTTCATTGATTAGAAAATTTTTAAGAATTTTCATCTTCGAATCAATATAGGAATGTTTATCATTAATTTTTTTTTTTTTTACTCAATGATTTAAAAACAGTGTAATAAAAAAAATGCCTATCTATACACAAAAAGAAAATTTGAAGAAAGATTTTGTTAGAATTTAATGAAAAAAAAAAAATTAAAGTATTAAATGATATTGTAATTAGATGTTAGTTTTAGTTGGGACTTGTGGCTAAGTATATCATAGGTATAGGTGTAAATTTTATAAGTTTCATGTAAAGTCAGTGTATAAAATATATATTCTTCTTAATTAGAAGCTTTTCGATCACATCACGTTGATCATCTTCAGTAACACTAAAATATTAAACAATCGATTAGTTGTAACTTAAAAATTATTCCTGCAATATTGCATTACAAACTTACAGAAGATATGGAAAATATTGCACGATGGTTGCAATATTTTCTATATCTTCTGTAAGTTTGTAATGCAATATTGCAGGAATAATTTTTAAGTTACAACTAATTGATTGTTTAATATTTTAGTGTTACTGAAGATGATCAACGTGATGTGATCAAAAAGCTTACTAATTAAGAAGAATATATATTTTATACATTGACTTGACATGAAACTTATAAAATTTACACCTATACCTATGATTAAATGATATTTTCATCAGAATCTTTGTTTTTACATATACATTATATGAGATCACTTTAATTTTATAAGAAAAAGAAAAATATGTATATACATATATATATATATTTATGTATGTGATTGGGCGAGCTTTTTATTCACTAATTAAAAAATTAATTTTATAAATTTCTGTTTCTTTCTTTTTTTATTCTCTATGTATTAAAACGTAAAGACCAAGAAATGCTAATATAGCATATTTTAATTTTGGATATTCGTTCATGAAAATTGTGACCATTCCAACATAGGGAAGAAATCCTCGTGCTCTTCCAACAACATCCTTATTACTTAGCCAATATTGACCAGGTGCGTAAAGACCTCTGTCATCAACTGAATTATTATCACCCTTCGTTAAAAATTTCACTGTTTTATTTTGATCATTTCTGCAAAAATTGTTTAATTAAAAATGTTAAAATTAATTAAATAAAAGTAGAAGATAAAAAAATTTACTAATTTACATTACTAAAAAATAGTTTACAATAAATATTTAATTTAATAGTAAATATTTAATTAATATATTTAAAAAAATATTTTTCAAATTAATGTAGTTTTTGTTAATAAAATAATTATATTAATCAAATTTCGGTGCGCATGATTATTCCATAAAAATGATTAGTTAGAATTTTCATTTTCAACAATTTTAGTGGATATATTTATTATTTAGACGAATATTTATTTTTCGAATTGGCATTTGACATAATTTCTTTTTAAACAAATTTATACTTTATAGAATTTTTAGATACTGAAATTTTATTTGATAGAATTCTTATTTTACTACAGAATTTCTCTTTCTACAACTTTTTATTTAAAATATAATTCTAATTTAACGGAATTAAAATTTCGCAAAATTCTTCTTCAAAAGAATTTAAAGTGATTCGAATTTTTAAAAGTCAGAATTTCCAATTCACAAAATCTTCATTTGTTCGAACTTTTGTTTGTACGAATTCTTATTTGATAGATTTCTTAAAACGACAAATTTACATTTCTACGAAATTGCAAATATCCGAAAAACAATATTGACAGTACAATTTGAGCGCGATTTTTTATTTATTTGTAATTTCGGACAAATGAAAATTCATCGTTTTAAAAATTCTATCAAATAACAATTCGGACAAATGTAAATTTGGTGAAATTGGAAATTCTGGCATTTAAAAATTCGAATCACTTAAAATTCTATTGAATGAGAATTCTGCTAAATTAATATTCGATTAAATTAGAATTTTTTTTTTTAAAGTTGTGTAAATAGAATTTCTGTGAAAGAAAAATTTTGTTAATTAAAAATTAGTTTAAAAATTCATTCTCTTTAATAATTGGAAAAATAAAAATTTGTTTAAAAGATAATAATATATCTAATAAAATTCTTTTGAAAATGAAAATTCTAATAAGTGATTTTTATGGGATAATCATGCGTCCCAAAATTTCACGGGATTTTGAAGATAATTATAATTGAAAACTTACTTTTCGTGTAGTTTAAGGACTCTATGAACTATTGGAATTTCACGACCTTCAATTTTGAAAACTACAATTTCACCTACACGAACAGGTTCGTCTTCGTAATTTGTTAGAAATAAAAGATCTCCCCGATGAAATGCTGGTTCCATACTACCACTATAAATAAATTCATTATTTTTTTAGCTTAAAATTCAAAAAATTTGGTCACTCTAGCAAAAATTATCTAGACCGTATTGCTTCCTTTAAATTTAATAAATTAATAATCAATATTTAATATTCAATTCAATTAAATTTTTTTTAGAAAATTTGTTTGAAAGTTTAATAGGTTAGTTTTGATAGTAAAAATCGTAGAAAAAGTGAAAAAAATATACAAAATATATTTTTGAAAAATAGATAGGTACTCACTAATTATATCGAATTAAACATAAATTTTTTGAAAATTATCTAAATATTTGAGGAGTAAATTTTCAAAAATTGATAAATCCATATTTTGTTATTTCGAGAAATTTAAATAAATAACATTTTTCACATAAACACTTAAGTTAATTTTAAGGTAGAAAAATTGTAATAAATTATTTATATAAAAATGTTTTTTGGATTTAAAAACGTTTTGTTTTTAACTAATTAAAATAAAAGAAATAATGAATTAGAGGATTTTAATGTTTTTGGTAATTTTATCTACAGCAAAAAGAATTAAAATTATAAATCATTTTAGTTAAAGCCAGATGTTTTTAAATTGAAATTTTTTTTTGTTAATAAATTTTTTTTTTATTTTCAACAATGATAAATCGATTAGTTTTTAATATTTTGTAACTTTTTTAAAAAATTGGATTTATCGAATTTTAAAAACTTGCTCCTCATTTAAATTACGGTTTTAATCCTTTCGTACAATTTCTTTATTTTTGAATATTGTCTATGGAGAATAATAAAAAGTTGAAAATCCTTTTGAATTTAATTCGTATAAAAATTAACAATTATATTTATTGTAAAATTTTAATGAAATCTCATCTCATAAGGAATTTTTTTTTAAATAATAAAATAATACAAAATTTAACGAAAAATAATAAAAATTTAATTTTATAAAAAATTGAAATTAATTTAAAAAATTTGTTTTATTTTTAAGATAATTTATTAATTAATTTTGTTTAAATAAAATGTCCCTGAAAATGGTGTCAAACCAAGACGCGCCGAAACGTTGCAAAAAATCTTTCAATCTTCTAATAATTGAAAAAATCAAATTACTAATTAAAATTTTTTTAAATTATTTTCTTAAATAAAACAAGATATTTTTTTAAAATAAATTCTTGAATAATAAAAATCCATACAGGAATATTAAATATTGATTACAGACTAAAAAAATAATAAAACATTCCGGTCTAAATAATTTTCGCTGGAGTAACCCAATTGCAAAACAAGAAAATTTTTGTTCAATATTGTTTCCATTAAAAATGTATTAATAGTACTAATTTATTAAAATTAAATTCATGAAAAATTCGTTAAATTAAAAACATACCTTAAAACAACTACAATCGGACTTTCGCTACCAGTTACCACCATTAAACCTTTCCATATCATTAAAGCTGAGGAAACTATCATTCCAAAACTTAATACTTGATATAGAAACTGAAAAAATAATTAATTACACAATTATAATTAAAATCAAGACTATTTAAAACCAACAAATTATGTTTTATTGATAAAAACTACCCGTTTATGACTAAATAAATAATAAAAAAAAAATTCACACAATTCATACAGTTAATCTCAAGAAAATTCTAATTGAAAAATTTTTTTCATACAAATCTCTACATTAAAAATTATTACTTTTTGTCCATGCATGTGCCTATGTGGCAATAAACATCTGTTAATATTTTTGACATAACTTCAATTTACATCACTAAACGAAAAATACAGTAAATGATTATAGTAAAATATCAAATAAATGTTATTATTTATTATAATTTTTATAGAAATTGTGTGAAAATTTATAAATTGAAATGTCACCGGTTTTTTTTTTTTTTTTTTTTTTTTGAGGAAACTATGTACAATATCCATATGTTATATTTCTAAGAGTGTATGATTATTACTTACTTGACGTTTATTCATACGTTTCAAATCATCAAGCGCACTTTGTAACATGATTGCTAATTTATAATTAACTATTTTTTATTAGAAATATATGAAATATATAATGTTAATTATAGTTTTTTTCTATAAACAACTTATGTTAACCTACAAAATTCAACTACACATCCATCCAATCAGTGGGCTCCAAACAATTGGCCCCTATGAATAAATAAACGATTAAATAAGCGACCTCTAACTGTCAATTTTGTAATTTAGTCAGGGTTCAATATGTTCCTAAAATCTAATCAAAGTAGAACGTGCAAAATATGACATAAAAAATACAAACTCCCATAAGAGACACTCAGGGATGGGAATTAAGTTAAGTTTTTAAAAAAACATGGAACTAGTTTTAAAAAAATTATTTTCAGCTGAAAGACACATTGTATAGTAAGAAAATTTAATATGATAAAAAAATTAATTCAAAAATTATTACCCTGGGTAAAGCAATCGGTTAGATTGGATTTTCACGGTTGTATCACTGAATTTGATTGGCTCTGACAAATAATACATTTTCATCGTGAAAATTGAATTTTGTTAGAGCCAATCAAATTCAGTGATACAACCGTGAAAAACCAATCCAGCCGATTGCTTGACCAAAATACTAGAGGTATAATGGAGCGGTCACACCTCGGCTGCAGGAGCAGTTGCCCATGACAACCGTGTAAGAGTAATAGAGATAGAAGATTTTCCATCTCTCTTACTCTTACACGGTTGCCATTGGCAACTGCTCCTGCAGGCGAGGTGTGACCGACATTTAGAATTTTAAAGATAAAATTAAAAACTAACGTCATATTCGTAATCAGCGACCCTAAAAACCCTCTAGCAACATATTTCATGTAAATCCGTTAAATTTTTAATTTTGTCATCCGACATTTTGAATATTTAAAAACTGACATCGGATTCGTAACATAGCCCAAAAAAAAAAATTTTTTTGTCCGGCGAACTAGACTAGTCATTTCTCACGTATTTTGAGTCGCTGAATCCGAATCCGGGGTCAGAATTCACAAGTTGGTTCGTTTTTTCTTTCTAACTTTAAAAAACTGACTTTTTTGGTACATTTTGTGAGATAATGAAAAAGCGTGAGCTAGTTTTGAAATTATGACCATGCATTACAATTAAGAAGTTAAATTTAATTACCACTTAAATTGATTCTTCAAATTATAAAGAAGGGGGAAGGACTTACTGCTTTATTTAGAGTCTTAAAACAAACATAACCTCAAAATTTAGGTCATTTTTTGCGGAGGAGGGGAAATGAGAGGAGGGAAGGGGGACTTGAATTTCAGAGCCTTGAAACGAACATAACCTCAAAATTTAGGTCATTTCTACCGGAGAGGGGAGGGGACTTGCGGCTATATTCAGAGTCTTGAAACGAACATAACCTCAAAATTTAGGAGGGGGGGACTTTCCCCCTCCTAGGTCAAAATTTCTGAAACAGCGGCGGCGGCGAAATCTTTTTATAATATAGAAAGATATACAGTAAGAAAAGTTCCATGGTAGTCACAGCCTATGAGTGCGAGTGAGACAAACTTATGCGTAACGCATGCTTTCCTATGACTACCATGGTACTTTTCTTACTGTATACATATATCATTCCTTCTGTAACCAGGGTTCCGTCACCATATTGGATCCGCTATTTTGAATTTTTTAAAACTAACGCCAGAGCCGTAATCAGCGACCCAAAAAACCCCTAAGTACTAAATTTCGAGGGAATCGGAACAATTTGTTAAAAAAATCCGCCATATTGGATCCGCCATTTTTAATTTGAAGAATCAATTTAAGTGGTAAGTAAATTTAACTTCTAAATTGTAATCCATAGTCATAATTTTAAAACTAGCTCACGCTTTTTCATTATCTCACAAAATGTACCAAAAAAGTAAGTTTTTTGAGGTTAGAAAGAAAAAACGAACCAACTTGTGAATTCTGACCTCGGATTCGGCGACCTAAAATACGTGAGAAATGACTAGTCCAGTTCACAGGACAAAAAGAAATTTTTTTTTTGTAAGGCTGTGTAATCAGTATCCCCCCCGCCCCCAAAAAAAAACCCACGAGTCAGGCTGCAGTCCCATGGCAGCGTTTTGCGTTGCGTTTTGTCACTAGACCCTGAGTGTAAACATAGCAAACATATATCTGCATCTCTTTTACACTCATGGTCTAGTGACAAAACGCAACGCAAAACGCTGCCATGGGACTGCAGCCTTATAATTTTCGTGAGCGTAGCTAAACTTTTAAAGTGTTGACTTATATTTTTATGATATATTATAATATAGGTGCCAACGCAAACATTTAGAGAAAAAAAAGGAAAAAGGCCTTTAAGGTTATGTAGTGGGAACCTCCCACGTAAAATGTAAAATGAGAAAAGATTTTTGTCTAAAATTTTGAGGGATGATAGATTAGGATACAAGGAATCTCGCTGTTCTCCGAAAAATACATAATTTTGAGTGAAATTATTAAAAAAGAAGTTTAAAAAGTATCATTTTTAAACGAAAATGAAAACAAAGATGGCGGCGCATACACAGACGTTGCTTGAGTGTGTCAGTGCTCCAGTAAACAGCGCCAATTTGAGCGAGAATGAACTATGATATAATACATTATTTTACTATTTATTGCTTTCTGTTTATTATTTTTGCGTTAAGTTATGGTGAATGAGTAGAACAGCGAGGTTCCTTGTACCAAACAAAATCATTTATCCAAAATTTTAACCCAAAATCATTTTTTATTTCAGAGTAAGTTTCAAACCACAAAAAAACGTCCATTGTCCACATACCCTTAAGTATAAAATAGAAAAGGATAGAAAAATAGTTCAGTTCTTTTCTATCGCATGTAACACGTTCAAGCTCTTGTAGCCAATGTAGAGTCAGCCTAAGGTGGAATAGGTGTCGCATTTCAGAGGTTCCTCTACAACTCTCTTGCGTGTATGTTACGTAAAAACCGTAACCAAGTTAAAAAGTTGTCTCATGTTGTTGTCAAACCCTGATTGTACTGTTGTCAAAAACCAAAATAAGGGTTTTTACTTGACAACAAAAGTATTATTTAAAAATCTATTATTTTATATAAATAACTTTAATTAAAAAATTTTTAATTAGCACTAAGTAAAATATAAGATATCTTTTTAAAGACAAAAGTGTTATTGTAAATAAACATATATATATTACAAATATATAAGTTTGTAACTTAAAATATTGATAAATAATTTTATTTATTTTTCTACTAACTCTAAATAGTTTTGTAAATTTAAATATTGTATCATAAAATTTAGAATGCAGACAAATGCAAACGAAGAAAATGTATGGAAAGAATTGTCGGAAATACCGGCTGATCCTCCAAAAATGAGAAACAAATGTGAACAATGCCGGTTAGTAATATTTTTAACAATAAATTTTTACTTTACAATAATTCTGACAAGAATAAACTTTTTCAATTGTCAACATTTATTTATAATATTATTATTTATTGTTTATAATATGTTTAAGAGAAAATTTCTAAATGTGATAAAGAATATTTAAAATTCATAAGTGAATTTAAATTTTTTTATTGATTTTGTTATTGGGGGGGGGGGCTTTTGGTCTTGAAATTCAATTAATTTGAAATAAGAAAGTAAAGAATTTTTTAATTTTTCTTTCTTACAGACGTCCAATAACTGTTTGTTGGTGCTCAGGTCTTCCAGAAACTCGAATATTCACACAATGTAGATTGATTATTTTACAACATCCAGCTGAAGAAAAAAGAAGTCTTCGTACCGTTCCTATGTTATCATTAGCTTTGGAGAAGGAAAAATGTGTTACATACAGGTTTGATTTTTTTTTTATGTGCATTATTATTCGAAAATAATTTCTGGAGTATTCTACGTAAAGCAAACAACTATGATCTTTGTTATTATATTGTTTTTAAATATTACAATTTTACAGGCCTCGGATTATACGACTTTTTTCGACATATTTTAAAAAGATGCGACTTTTTATACTTTTTTTTTACAAAATTTTTAAAGAAAATACGTCTTTTGTAGTATATAATGCAGATCTTCTTAAAATCTTCTTTATTTAAAGTATTTAACAAATTTTTAACTAAAATTTTTCTCTAAATTTATTATTTTTAATAATATCAATGAAACTTTTCACAAATCTTTAATTATCTTAAACTATTTTTCAATTAAAAAACAATTTTTAAAAAATCATCAAATAAAATTACCAAACATTTCTAGTTAAAATATTCTAAAATTTAATTATTTCTAAAATTTTCTGAAATTTAATAATTTTAACTATAATTCTTCCGCGAAATATAAATATTTTATATGATTTTTATAATATTCTTCAAAAATTGCAATTGTGTGAAAGTATTTTTTAATTGAAAAATTTTTACATTCAATTTTTGTCTGCAATTTCTAATACATTTTTCAACAACAGAAATCACCAAAAATTTCAATTCAATATCATTTGAATTAAATTATTTTCAAAAACTTCAATTTAAAACGTAAAATTTAATTTTTTTTTTCTAAAAATGTCAATTGTAATTCTTTCAAAATTTAATGATTTTAAATGATTTTTATAATATTCTTCAAAAATTAAATTATTTAAAATCATTTTTCAATTAAAATCTTTTTGAAATTCAATTTTTATCTATAATTTCTAATAAATTCTTCATCACCAAAAATTTCAATTAAAAATCACTTGAAGTTCAATTAATTTCAAAAATCTGAATTGTAAATCTTTGAAAATTCAATTACATTTCAAAAAATGTTATCTTAAAATTATTTGATAAATTATTTTCTATTTTGTAAAATTTAATTATGGTCTAAAATTTAACAAAATCTTTTGAAATAACATTATTTCTAAAATTTTTTTATTTTTTTTAATTTTCTTTCTTCCAAAGTTGAATTATTTTTAATAATTTTAATATTTTAAAAAAAATTTAATTATTTAAAAAAGTTTCAAATAAAAACTCTAAAATTGAATTGTTTTCAGAATTTTTTTTAGTAATTTGTTCTACTTAATTAAAATTGAGGAACTAATAAAATGGATTTAATATCTAATTATATTAGTTATTTAAAGTAAAATACCTATTAACTATAATTAAATTTAATTAAAATAAAAATATCGATTTTTCCGATTTTTTTTTTTTTTTTGAATGTAAATTGACTAAAACGATGTTTTTTGAGTTTTAAAGTCGAGGCCTGTATATTTAATTATTTATTAAATGAAATTTATTAATTTTAGAGGAAAAAAATTTCCACAAATTAAACATAATGGATTACAAGAAATATTAAATGACGCAAATACTGTTTTACTGTATCCAACTCCTGAAGCAATTGCACTCGAGGAACTTACACCAGTGGGTTTTAATAAACAAAAACCCTATAATGTAATTTTATTAGATGGAACGTGGCCACAAGCTAAGGTAAAATTTTCCTCATTTTGTTTAGGACGAAATTTAACATAAATATTCTAAATTATATAATTGTAATGAAATTTTCGGTATTGAAAGACAAAAGTTTTAATAGAAAAGTTCCAATTCCTAATGGACCAAGTTATTATTTTCCCTAAGCACATTTTTTTTCAAAGGACATTCAGATGGGAAGAACAATGTGAAATATTGAAAATGCAAAAAAAAATTTTTTTAAACTTTTTACTTTGGGACATTTTACTTTTGAAGCTTTTGATGTTTGGAAATTTTGGACTTTGAGAAAAATTAATTTTTGGTTCTTTTAAAGTTGGAAATTTTGGTTTAGAATTTTTGTTTTGGTAACTTTTGATACTCCAATAAAATTTTCTTATAGGCAATTTACCATTCAAGTCCAGCTTTGTATTCAATTCGTACCTGTAAAATTGTTGGAGCGCCGATAAGTCAGTATGTCATAAGAACTCAACCCTCAGATAATTGTTTATCAACTCTCGAAACGGGGGCGATTGCTCTTTCTATATTAGAAAATAAAGCTTGTTTAAAAGAACAAATGCTTCGTCCTCTTCACTATTTGTGCAGGTAATATTTTTCTTTTCTTTGTCTAAAAAAAAAAAAACAAAACCCTAAACACATTATGTATCAAAAATAATTTTCGAAATTAGTATTACAAAATGAAAATAATTATTTCTTTCAGATTTCAATTAGATAACGGTGCAGTAATTCATCACTCAAAGGAAGTGATGCCAAAATACAATAATTCTCACAAACATTCAAAAAGAAAAGTTGAAGAACAATTATGATTAACATTGAATCAACCAAAAATAACAAAAATTTAGTTAGAAACATGAATGGAAATTGAATTTTAGATTTTTTCTTTCGTTGAATGAGGTAAAATAAATTTCTCTATTTTTCGAATTTTCTTTTTTTTTTAGTTTCGATTTCTAATCAATAATCTAAATAACTGAACTATCGAAACAATTTACAAATTTTGTTTTTAAATTTATACACATATATCTATATTTATGTACAATAGTTTTTTTTAATTTTTGAAATTAAAAATCCAAAATTATACTTTACATTTTATAACTTCTGCAAAAATATTGCGGTCTCTTTATTTTACCTTTTAAGAATAGAAATTTGAAATAAAAAGAATTACATTAAAAAAAATTTTTTTGTTTAACTTTTATTTTATTTTATAAGATTTTAATTTTAATTTACATATTCTTTTTTTATAAAAATAAATTGTTAGTTTTTTTTCTTTTGCAAAATTAATTTACAATTAATTTTTTAATTACGTCTATAGTTATAAATTTTGATTTACAATTAAGAATGTATTTAACGATATTTTCAATTGGAAGAAAAATAAGGATGATAAATTTACAAACGTTTTTCTACATCCTGGTGCAAGAAATTTTTTCATGACAATGGGGACATTCTCCATAAATTTGATTGAATGCACTTGGTTTTCCAGTGGCAGATTCCAACCACTGAAACATAACATTTTTTTTATTTTTATAAGAAAAAAAAAACTCGAAAAGAAACATTTTTCACTGGAATTTTAATTTACTATTTTTCAATTATACAAATATTTAATCACTGTAGTCGCAATACATTATAAATAAAAGTCGCAAATAGTCGATATTCGGATAATTTGAAACTTAAATATTAAAATTTGTATAAAATAAAATCCGACCAATAAAAATTAGATTTGATTTGAAATACGAATCGAATAAAATTTTTATGAATTAGAATGAATTTAAAATTTTTATCACAATTTTATTCTATATGTAGAATACTTAAACTAATTTAAATTTTTCATTAGAAGTTTTTCAAGTCTAATTTATGAAAATTATTTAATTATTTAATCAAGAAATTAAAATTATCTTCAATATTAATTGAAAAATTTTATAATAGAAATTATTTTTAAATTCATTACCTGTCGTAAGCACTGTGAATGAAAATTCTTTCTACATCGCGTATTATTGCAAATTATATTTGGCAATTGATCGTCACATTCATTTTCAAAACAAATACAACATTCTTCGTCATTTATTATTCCAATATTTTCATTTTCATCATTTCTTTTCTCTGGTGCTTGTGGAAATTCAATAATATCAAGTAATAAATATAAATTCTGCAACAAGGAATACTCACAATCCCATAACTAGAAAAAAAATTTAACATTTCTATATTTACATAATAAAAAAATTATATTTTAATAAAAAAATCCAAATATTCTTTTACCTGTATTCGATCTGAAAGATTTTCACGATATTTTACAACTTCCGATTCGCAACCTACAAGTTTAACATTTGGTACACTTGAAAGATAAGAATGATCCAATGTCATCATAAGAGACAATGAATCCGAAAGATAAATTCTTCGATAAAGTTGATGTGGTTTTGGATGAATTGGATCGATGACCCAACATTCTCTAAAATTTGAACCAAAAAAAAAAAATAAATAAATTTAATTATTAATTTAAAATAATTATTATTTAATTATAATAAATATGTAAAATTTAATTCTAATAATAATTAAACATACGAGTCAATTTCTTTTAATTCACACCAAACTCTTTTTAAGCTATCAAGTTTTGAAATAAAAATATTACAAATACTATTTAACGGTAAAAAAGTATTTTCAATTGAATTATTATCGAGAATATTTGGAATATCGGAATTTATAATTTTCCACAAGTTCCCTTCTTTATTTTGAACAATTATCGAAATATCATTTGTCGTTAATTTAATATTCTTCATGTCATAAGTAGATGATACTTTTATTTCCTGTAAAAAATAATTTATTTAAAAAATATTGTAATTAATATTTAAAAAAAAAATGAATTTAAAATATTTGTTAATTATAATTTAAGAATTAATAAAAATTTATTCGTACTGAAGAATTCTGAAGCAATTCCCTCAGTTCATTAAGTCTATTTTTCATCGATTCAGGATCAAATGATGCATTAGCGATGCACTTGTAATAAACACATTCATTTTTCTAAAAAAAAAAAAAAAAGAAAACAAATACCAAGTGAACAAATATATCAATTTCCTTATTTTCATTATTATTGCTTCATTATAGAGGAAGCTTTATAGTCGTAACTATTTTCGATTTTCTTAAAATTATTATTATTATTATTATTATCATTATTATAGTTAATAATTAATTATTAATAAATAATTAACAATTGTATTCAGGGAATTATAAAAATACCGAAACAAAATTTTTAAGCACATTTTTTCCTCAAAAAATACTTTTTTATTCATACAAATTTTTTCTTATTTAAAAATCTGAAGTTCTGAACGTTCACATCAACGAACTCATTTTTAGCCTACAATTTTTTTTTTAAATTACTATACTGCAATGAAAAATTAACAAATATATTAAACATTTTTTAAACTATTTATGTTTTTATACAAAAACCAATATTTTAAAATAAAATTTAAATTTAAAGAAGTCGTTAAAAAAAAAATTTCCGGTCATTTAAATGTTCAGAGTTTGCAGAATGTATTTAAAATCCATCTTAATAAATAAAAAAAATTTAATTAATTATTAAATTTAATTAATAAAAAATTAAAATAAAATATCCTTTTCCGTTAATTTATTAAAAATTGTAGAATTAATCGCAATTTTTCATTTTTTAAAAAATTGAAATTTTTTAATGGATTTGCAAATTTACATTATTTGATGATTTCTTTTTTCGAAAAACTTTAATAATTTTAATAATTTTAATAATTAATGAAGATTTTTTATTCTTTAAAGAATTCATATTTTTATTTACTTATTTATTTTTCTTTTTTTGCTTTAATTTTTCAAATTAAATAGTTTATGAAGAAATGAAGAATTTTTTTATATTTATTTTTTCTCTATGAGAAAGCAAAAATGTACTATTATTAATTTCTATTAAAGTCTAAAATTAAATACAGTTCTTTATTATATTAAACATTATAATTATTGTACTTACCACTTGTAGTATAAAATATTCCTTTAAATGATTAAGAAATGAATGCAAAGATATTCTATTTTGCAGTGAATTTAATATTAATTTTTGAAAATCAGATTTAAAGGATTTTTTAAAATTCTCAGTGAAATAAACTGTCATATCATCTAAATTTGGATAGAAAGGAACAATTAACTTGATTTTTATAAATATTTTACCGTGAATATTACATATTTTTGGTAAACTTAAAAAACCCTCGAAAGTATATGGTGATTTTGAAATTAAAATTAATTCTGGATGCCATTTTAATAGATCAAATTCTTCTCTGCGTTCTGACATTATTGGCATTATTGTTGGAAAATCATTTTCAGTTTGACATTTGAACGATTTGACAGTTGGTAAACAAAAGCAGAAGAAAATAACGTATGGGCCGATTTCTATGAGACTCGAATCATATCAGGGTGGAGAAGGTAATTTTTCAGTTTTTTTTTTCTCAAAATATCAAAAAGAAAAAAGGTTTGCTAAATTAAAATAAAATATATATAAATCATGATAAATTGTAAAAATAAACAAATTTTCGAAATTAAAAAAAAAAATGATGGAAATTTATATGTTAACGCAAAAAATTGTAAGAAGCTGAAATATACATAGTTTCCCAACTCTGATATTATTGAACCTTGACCTTCGTAACTGTTTTTTTGTTAACAAAATGTCAAAACTCCATACAATATGTTAAGCTCCAAATGATTTTTTCTTATTTTTCAAACTAAAAAATACTCATGTTACATTAATATAGAAATAATAAAAGTAGAGTAGAATAAATAGAATAGAATTTTATAATAAAAAAAAATTTTGTAAAACATTTATTTCTTTTGAAATTTATTTAATTTAAAATACAATATAATTGAATAAAAAAAAGAATTAAAAAGTAAGAAAAATGAAAATATTTTCTGAAAAAGTATTTCTTCTTATTACGGGAGCAAGTCAAGGAATAGGTGAACAAATTGCAAAATCTTTTGCCCCATTATTGCCGGCTAATTCACAAATTTTACTTCTTGCAAGAAATGGAGAAAGTTTAAATCGAGTGAAACAACAATTACCTGACAATTTAGTGATAAATACTGTCAGTGTTGATCTTTCCTCTTCATCAGCTGAGGATTTAACTGGTAAGTAATTCATTATAATTTAAATTAAAAAATTTTCTTTATTATTTTTGATTTAATTTGTTTTGAAAAATTTCAAATAATCAAAATTGAAATTATAGTTATTTTGCAAGTTAAAAGGTTTTAAGTGTCAGTTATTTTAGATTTCTATTATAATTAATCAAATTTAATAAAAAAAAAAATTTTGTTTAAGGGAAATTTTTTAAATGTCAATGAAATTGAAACTTTTATTATTTCTTGTTTATTTACCAAAGTATTAATTTAAATTTTAGGGTCTAGTCCACTGACTTTCGTCTAATAGTGGTTGCGACTAAATTTTAAAAAAATCTAGTTTTAATATATGTGAAACTCGATGATTCTCTGAGTTCATTAACCATAATATTATGGTAAAAATTTTATTCCCTTTAAAAATATTAAATATCAAAAGTAGGAGGTTCACAATGTGATTTTGTAACCTTAAATTTTTCAATTTTTTTAAAAACGCTATTATTAAAAAACTATTAAAAATTAGATGTTGGAACTCACCAAAAACATAAATCACTTTATTATGCACAGAGGAACGAAAGAATTGTTGCAAAAATTTATTATTTTTGGATGATATACGATTTTAAAAAAAATTTTATTTAAATATTCTCAAGATTTTTATTTACTTACAACTTTTTTGTCGGTGCTCCGAAAAAAGTTGATGTTTTGCACAAAGATTTTTTATAATATTCTTTACCTTCTATTAAAATCTTACGAAGGTGTTTTGCTTCGTTTTGGAGATATTAATTTCAAAATTTTTTATTTAAAAAGGTTAATTAAAAGACTTGAAGTTAACTAAGTAAATTCAAACTGCTCCATTTTTTATAAAAATATATTAAAATGTAGCGATTTCAAATTGATCAGTTAACTTCAAGTCCTTTAATTAACCTTTTTAAATAAAAAATTTTGAAAATTAATATCTCCAAAACGAAGCAAAACACCTTCGTAAGATTTTAATAGAAGGTAAAGAATAATATAAAAAATCTTTGTGCAAAACATCAATTTTTTCGGAGCACCGACAAAAAATTATAAGTAAATAAAAATCTTGAGAATATTTAAATAAAATTTTTTTTTAAATCGTATATCATCCAAAAATAATAAATTTTTGCAATAATTCTTTCGTTCCTCTGTGCAGAATAAAGTGATTTATGTTTTTGGTGAGTTCCAACATCTAATTTTTAATAGTTTTTTAATAATAGCGTTTTTAATACAAAATCACATTGTGAACCTCCTACTTTTGATATTTAATATTTTTAAAGGGAATAAAATTTTTACCATAATATTATGGTTAATGAACTCAGGGAATCATCGAGTTTCACATATATTAAAACTAAATTTTTTTAAAATTTGGTCGCAACCACTATTAAACGAAAGTCAGTGGACTGACCCTTTAGCTTTTTTCTCATCAATGTTTATTTTCAGAAATTTTTCGAAATAATGTAAAAGAAGAAAATATTTCACTGTTTAGTGAAGCTATTATTATACATAATGCCGGTTCTTTGGGAAATATAACACAAAAAACTAACGATATGTTGGATTTTGATGTAATGCGTAAATATTATGATTTAAATGTATTTTCACCAGCAGTGTTAAATAATGTTTTTATGAAATTTTTCAATGGACATGTGAAAAATAAAATTTTTGTCATTAATATAACATCGCTTTGTGCTATTGAGCCAATGAAATCAATGGGTTATTATTGTTCTGGAAAGTCAGCAAGAGAAATGTTTTTTAAGGTATAATCTTTTTATTTTTCATTTTTCTATTTTTAAGGGATGTCATCATTTTTATTTTGAGTACTTCAAATTTTAATGATCACAGAAAGTTATTTTTTTTTTTATTGCATCATTTGGGTCCTAAAAATATACAGGATCTTCAGATCTTCTTTATTTCAATTATTTAATAAATTTTTAACTAAAATTCTTCACTAAATTAATTATTTTTTAAATAATTTAAATTAAATTCTTCATAAATTCAATTATCTTAAACTATTTTTCAATTAAAATTTTTATGAAATTTAATAATTGTTTATGATTTTTAAAAAATAGCAAATAAAATTACCAAAAATTTTTAATTCATAATCACTCATGAAATTTAATTATTAGCAAAAGTTTCAATTATTTTTAATGATTTTTATAATATTCTTCGAAAATTCAATCATCTGAAAGTATTTTTCAATAAAAAAACTTTTGGAATTTAATTTTTGTATGTGATTTTTAATAAATTCTTCATCAAAAGAAATCACTAAAAATTTTTCTTATTATAATTATTGTCTGAAATTTAATACAATCTTTTGAAATTCAATTATTTTCAAAAATTTCAATTTAAAATCTTCTAAAATGTAAGTTATTTCTAAAATTTTTTTGAAATTTAATAATTTCAATTATAACTCTTCTAAAATTCAATTACTTTTTAATGTTTTTCATAATATTCTTCAAAAAATGTTACTATCTGAAAGCATTTTTCACTCAAACAATTTTCAAATTATTGGTTTTCTTGTCTGCAATTTCTAAAAAATTTTTTAGTGAAATCATCGAAAATCTCTTGAAGTTCAATTAATTTCAAAAATCTAAATTGTAAATCTTTGAACATTCAATAACTTTTAAAAAAATGTTATTTAAAATTATTTAATAAATTATATTTAGTTCTGTAAAATTTAATTATTTTCTGAAAATTAACATAATCTTTTAAAAATTCAATTATTTCTAAAAATTTCCACTTTAACTCTTCCAAAATTATTATTTAAAAATTTGTAAAACTTGATTAAGTACTGCCAGAAATTTTTTTGATCATCAAAACTAAAAACTATGACAAAATTTTTAATTCGAATAAATTACTTAAATCAGACTAGAAAAAAATTATAAAAATGGAACTTTAAGAATTTTTTTTAGAAATTTGTTCTATTTAAATAAAATTTTGATAATTTGTCTTACAATTAATTCGATTCTGAAATATTCGAAATAAATTTTCTTGATAATATTCATTATAGAATTATTTTCATTCCAGAATTAATAAAATGAATTTAATATCTAATTACATTAGTTATTTAAAGTAAAATATTGATTAGCTAATTAAATTTTGTTAAAATAAAAAAATCTACTTTTTCGACTTTTTTTGTACCTTAAAGTTTTTTCAGTACCCAAATGATGGAAGAAAAAATATAACTTCCAGCGATCATTAAAATTTGTACTCAAAATAAAGGTGGTGACCGTTAATTGTGATTATTATAATTTTTATTTTTTTTATAGGTATTTGCCAAAGAAAATCCACATGTGAATGTATTGAATTATTCACCAGGACCTGTGAAAACTGAAATGTTTCACGATGTATGTCAAAATGTTGGAGATTTTGAAGTAAAGGAAAATTTTAATGAATTAAATGTGAAAAATACAGTTTTAACAACACAACAAACAGTAAATCGTCTTTTGACAGTATTAGAAGAACAAAAATATTCATCGGGCGATCATGTTGATTATTATGATTCTTTATGAAATGGAAAATTTATTTTTTGTTAATTTTAACATTGAATATGGATTATTTGTGAAAATAAATATTTTTTTATAATTGTTTATAAATTTTTTTTTTTTTATTAAAGAGATACATAATAATACAGCGTTTAAAGAAGTAAAAAAAATACACAAAATTTGTCGAATCAGTTTTTTTTTTTTAAATATATAACAAGAGAAAAAAAGATTACATTCAATTATCCGCTAACTTACGATTAATATACAGTCGTTCGTTATTTTTAAAACTGATTGAAATTTTAGTGTAAAAAAAAATTGTTTGCATTCATTTGATTTAAATATTTTGTTCTCGTCGGGGGGTTTTTTTTTTTTATACATTATTAATTCAAAAGTCTCAATAACAACAATGAAGTAATATCATCAGCTTGCTAAGAATCATTTGCATGTAATGGAATAACAAATTTAGGACCAAATGGTGATCTATAAGTGATACCAACATCTGAATAGACTTTATTGGGTAAGGCGAGATTTAACAAATATAATCGTCCATTATCGGTACTGTGTGCCAATGGTAATGCACCTAATAAACTGAATTTACTTAAAACACCAGGTGTACCCGATGATGGTGGTTCTATTGCCAATATTGGCGCTCGATTATTATTTGCCCATTTTGCAACAGACGTTATTGTTCTCGGTGAATTTTCTCCACACAATGCCATTACTATTAAATCAACAACGGGCGGTAAATTTTTCACGTCTGATTCAACTTTGTTATTTGTTAATTTATATAATGATAATTCTTGTAGTAAAAAAACATCTTCGGAATTTTCAATGAATACAATTGTTTTTACACCGTGACTAGAAAGTTGACGAGCACAATTAATACCAGCGGCACCTGATCTATGTGGTCCACATAGTGCAACAACTGTTGGTCGTTGATGAGCATTATTTGGATTGAAACGATGTCCACCGCCTAATAGCTGTAGAATTATTTCTGTTCCAGCACGTCCAAATAATTCTACCTAAAAGTATTTATTTTTTTATTATTATTATTATTAAACGCTCGTAAATAGTCCATTTATTTGAATTAAGATAATTATATAATTATGAAATTTTTATTTAACTATATTTTTTATGCCTACAATTTTAATTAAGATTATTATTTTTTAATTGTTAATTTTGTTAATCAAGTGTTTTAAATTTAAATTAAATTTTTAATAGAATATATTTTAAAATTTAATCATTAACAAAAAATTTAAATGATAAACTTTGGAAATTTAATTAATTTAAAAAAAATTTTAACAAAAATTCTTCGAAATTTCAATTATTTTCTAAATTTAGTACCCTTGGTACAAAAGGGCAAAATTTTTTCTTTTTTTAAGCCCGTGTATAGGTAAATAAATAAATAAATTTACAAAAATTTTAATTAAATATTTACTACTCAATTATTATTGTTAAAAATTCAAAAAAAAAACTATTCCAAAATTTAAATATTATTTTATTAATTTTTATTTAAAATTCTTCGCCAAATCAATAATTTTTAATATTATTCAATATAGAGACGCATGACTATACCATAAAAATCATTAATTTGAATTTTCATTTTTAAAATTTTTATAAGAAATAAAATTATTTTTTCTACGAATTTTAATTTCTCGAATCACCATTTGACAGAATTTCTTTTTATACGAATTTTTACTTTCAAAAATTTGTAGCTACCGAATTTTTGTTTGGCAGAATTTTTATTTTATAATTCATTTAAAATTTATATGACTTTTTATTTAAAAGAATTTTAATTTTACAGAATTCTCATTCAATCAAATTTTATATGATTCGCATTTTTTAATTAAGAGAAATTTCAATTCACCGAATTTTCATTATGTCCGAAATTACAAAAATGTCCTAACAAACAATCGACAAAAAAGATTTCGTCACAATTTTTGAAATTGACCAATCACGATTTTCTTAATAATTTCTAATTGGTCAATTTTAAAAAAAATTGCACCGAAATTCTTTCTGTCAATTGTTTGTTTGGCCATTTTTTTTTGTTATTTCGGACAAATGGAAATTCTGTGGAATAAAAATTCGTAAAAATTCAGATAAAATAAATAAAATGAAATTATTTGAAATATTTTGAAAATTTGTTTAAATAATAAAAAAAAGAAAAACTTACTCTTCGCTCCCAAGTGATACCAAATCGATCGGCTGCACCAATTAACTGACGATGAAGATCCAAAGTGATGCTTGGAATGATTAAACCATCATCCGTGACATATTCTGTTCTATCCGGATAAGGTACGATTATTTGACGAAATGCCGCTGGCGCTGATTCAATAATATTTTCATCGTGACGATATCTCGATTTGTTTGCTTTATTAATTTCTGATTGGCGAACAATATCTGGTCTCGATGAATTTATTTCTTGCCAAACAGCCTGGAAATTATTAATATTTTTATTAGGCCTCGCATCTCACTTTAAACCACCAAAAGTCGCATTACCAAATAAACAAAAAGTTTTTTTTTTAAATTTCACTCTAAAGTAAATTAAAAAAAAAAAAATTATTAAAAACTACTTTTTTTTCTTTTATATTAATAATTTGTTTTTTTTTCACTTTTCATGTGAAAAGATTTATGGAACTTCAATCCGGTGTTCTTAATTTAAAAAAAAAAAGGAAAAGAAAACAAATTCAATTATTCCCATAAAATCAGTGATAAATTATATATTGAAAAAAATGAAATACCTCTTTGTTAAATAATGCCAAGTTTTTTTCAAAATCAAAATCTTGTTTTAAACATTGATCAATTGGCGTTCCAAATGCTTGTTCATCTCTTTCATTTCTTCTCTGCCTATGAGTCAATTTTCTTTGATTCGATTTAGATATAACTTCAGCTGAAAAAATGTAGTTAATAATTATTATAAATTACAATCATGTTCTTAAAATAATGAGAATTTTTATTAATAATAAATTAAATAATAAATTATTAATATATATAATAATTGATTGAAAATCAAAAAAAATACCTGAACTTATTCTTCCGTTTGCCGGTATTTCCATTTGAAATGTAGATTCAATAGACTTTTTCAAAGTGAATTGTGTTTGTACTTGTACCTCGGGTGGAGGTGGTGGTGTAAAATCCGATGTCGATCTACCAGCTCGCTTTGCAATTGGTCTTTTAACAATAACTCGACTTTGTGTTTCAGCATCCGCAACATTTTTACCAGCATCATCATTAATCGATATTATTGAAATTTCCAAAATATCTTTCGCGCTGCAATTTATAAGAAAATAATTTACACATTTTATTTGTTTAAATCATTTTTTATTTTTAAATGCGAGTTGCCTGCTATTTTCTCTAATAAAAAAAAAATTTTCTTGATAAAAAATCAGGATTGACACAAAAAACTATTATTGTTTATTGTAAAAAAATATATTAAAATAAATCCTTCGAAAATTACATGATTTAAAACAGTTTTCAATTGAAAATTTAATTATTGTCTAAAGTTTTTAAAAAAATTTCACCAATTTAAAATGAAAGTTCCAATTAATAATCTCCTGAAATTCAATTATTTCACAAATTTTCATTTAAAATTAATTATTTTTTTCAATAATATTCCAATCAAATCGAATAATGTGCTTAAATGGGACTTGAAAAATTTTCTTTTTTTAATGTAACATTAAATTATTTTTCAAAATTTGTTTTGGAACTGAATTGAAATCTTGAAAATTTGTCTCAGTTTAATTGGATAGTTTAAAAAGAAAAATTGTTGAAAATATTTCTGTGAAACATATTCTTATTAAGAAGAAATTAAAATTAATTAATTAATTCTTATTAAAATTTATAAATTTATTCAAAATAAAAAAATAAACTTTTTAGACTTTTCTTGTAATATAAATCGACTAAAATGACTTTTTTTTTCTTTTAAAAGTCGATTCTCGAGGTCTACAATTAATAAAAATGTAAGACAATAATTTTGAGAAGCAAAAGTTTGAATTAAAAATTTCAAAAATTATAATTCCCCCGATCTGTGGCAACCTTGATTTAAAATGTTTACTAAATTCTCGATTATATTTAATTAATTATAAAATATAATAATTTAAAGTTAGAAAAAATGCGTTTTGTTATAATATTTTTGTTACGGTACCTTTTTTCTAGGAAATAAATAAAAAAGTAGGTGACAAAAAAGCGATAGTTTTAAAATTAATTAACTTGGAAAATAATAAATTTGTATCTATTCAAATTTTGTTTAAAAAATTTGAATAAATTAAAATACGAATAATTTGAAATTTAAATCGATTAAATTTTTATAGCTAGATTAAAATTTCGTTAATTTTAAGTGAAAAAATATTTTAATCTGAATAATTTTTCAAACGATTGAATTTTTTTGATAAATTCAATGGAAAAAGAAAAAAAAATTCTTACTTTATAGTAACTCGAGATGATGAATGCGGTACACCATTGCAAAATGCTTTCGTCAACAATACTTTTTGATCATTAAAATCGACAATTTGCCCTTGATAAGTGCCTATTTCTTCAACACATGTAATTGAAACAGTGCATCCTACAAATTGTTCTGTCATTTTGAAAATCTGAGAAAGAAACATTTGTTTTTTTAAAAAAAATTTTTAATTACTCCAAAAACTTCACATTGCGCCTAATTATAAAAAAAAATTACAAAATTGTTTAAACAAAAAATAAGTAATACAATTTTAATAAACATTTTGCTAATTTATAAATAAAAAGAATTATTCAAAAATTAATCATTTTTCTCTTGTAATAAAAAGTGTTTACAAATAAATTAAAATAAGCATAGTTAAATTTAAATATTTTATACACCTACCAAATTATAAAGTTTTCAAATAAAAATTTATTTTCTCAAAACAAAAATGCAATATATATGTAATGAAAAAAAGTATAAAACATAATTTAATAAATTTTCAATATATTTTAAAATTTAAATAGTTTTTATAAATTTTATATTGCTTAAAAAAAATAATGCAATTGTTAATTTTTTCAGTTCATTGTTGAAATATTGTTTAAAAAATGAATGTAGTTTCAAAATAAAATTTAATTAATTATTTTTTAAAAAAGAATATTATTATTTCTTTATTTATAAATAATGTAAAATTTAAGAATTACAAAAATTTTAACTATACACAAAAATGATTCTACCTGTTACACAGCTTTTCTACACTGGAATAAATATTTTGTAAATACCTCTCAAAAGAGAGAAAGGAATGAACGAAAATTATTGTGAAAAGCAAATTAATAGAAACAAAATGCTCTTCTTAGAAATTGTTTAAAAAAAAATATCAAATATATATTGTAAAATTGTTGTAAAAAAAAAAAAAGTTTTCCTCTTTTTTTCCCAGTGTTTAGCAATGACAGTTCACCATGATTCACCAGGAGACTGAAGGTGTGCATGTATGTATGGTAAATATCGTAAGAATTGGTAATTCTGGTAAATAAAGCGTGAATAAGCTTAAGCTATGTCACATTACAGAGGCTTTGGCCGAAAGCGTAAACTATGTGAGTAAAAGAGATAAAAATAATTATAACTTTTTCGATTTTTGCATATTATTGTTTATCGGCTTTATATTTCCCTTTCTATAAGTTAGACAAGAACAATTAGTTTCTATCTCTTATTGTCTGACTCATGAAAATAGAGTTTTTTGTTTATGTAACGTGCTTTAAGTTATTAATTTTGAAAATAAGTTGACCAACTCAATTGAGTTTATACTTCATGGATTAACTATTTAGAAGTTTTCTGATGTAATAAAATACAATCTGGTTGGAATTTTTAATATTTTGCTTTAATATATGTATAAAAATCATTTGAATTATTTTAATTAGTGAAATCGTTAAATTTGCCCTAAAAATGTCTGAGGAAGAATCGGTAAGTAATGAAAAAACACTGAAATATTGAATCATTTTACCGCATGCATCCAAGAAAGCATGGCATGTCATTCTGCTTGTAATATATAGAGAAACTATACTGTAGGCATATAATAAAGTAATAATAATTAGTTATTTCCAAATTATATTGGAAATTATGTTGAATATTTCCCTCTATTATTATTGAAAAAAAAAAATATATTTCCAATCTAAAGAATCCGATACTATATTCATAAATAATTTGTAACATTTTTTTTTTCCTTAAGTGGGTGACATTTATTGAACCTTTCGACTCAGTTTTCATTTTTCTTGTTTCCATATTTTTATTTATTTTTTTTTTAAAGTAAATTTTGATTGTTATATTTTTAAAGAAACGGGTAAAAAAGAAGAAGAGTATTTTTCAAATTTTATCAAATTAATGTAAAATTGACAAAAAAATAAAATTTTATGAAAATGATGCTATTATGGGAATATGATACGGATATTTTAAATTACCGGTATTGGAATTAGTAATTTAGTAAATTAAAAATATTACAGTAAAATAGAGGAAATAAATGAATTTGACGTTTTTTTTTGTTTATTTAATTTTAGATGTTTGACCCAACTTTGAAGAAAAAGAAGAAGAAGAAGAAGACTCCTTTTGACATTGACGCAGCTCTTGCGGAAGGTGGAGATTTAGGTGATACTAATGAGGGTACTGGTGATAAAGAGAATCAAGAACCAGAGGCAATGAATGCAGATGATGATGAAGTTCTAGATTTAGAATCATTTGGAAAAAAGAAGAAAAAGAAAAAGAAGAAATTCAATCTTGACGAATTAGATGCAGCTCTGCCAGATTTAAAAAAAGAGGTTTATTATTTATTCAACTTTAATTAATCGTTTTTTTCTAGGTTTTTTTTTTTTTTTTTTTAAATAATTTTTGATTAATTAACAGAACTGAAATTATTTAAATCGCAATTTAAATTATTAAGTCATTTACATTTAAATCAAAAAGCCTTTAATATTAAAATTTTTTTAAAACATTTTTTTTTAATTTATATTTAAAATATTTTTTATTTTTTATTATATTATATTATTTTTTTTTATTATTTTTTATCTTTTTATCCAACTTTTTAAAAATAAAATTTGTTTTAAAACATGACTTTTTAAAGTATTTATTAAAAAATCTTTTTATGTCAAAACTATCATAAAAGTTAATAAAATATTTAAAAACAGTATCAATTTATTTGAGAAATTTTACTTTAAATTTAATATACTTACTGACGTTTGAAAAATTAAAACATTTTATTTTGGATAATTTCAATTTAAAATTTTAACTATAATTATTTACAACAAAAAATAATTTCGCAAACTTAAATCTAATAATTATTTACCAAATAAATTTTTTTAAATTCATCACGAACTATAAAACAAACAAAAAAAAATCAAAGAAATTGCGTTCTAATATATTCTAAAGAAAAAAAGTTACAGTTATCCAAACTTTACTACGAAATTATTGACTTTTTGAAAAATCTACAATTTTTAAAAAACATTAATTGTTGAACAATTTCAATTTTTACGATGCTGAAGTAAGCAATGTTTATGATAAATGATTTTTAAAGAAATAATTTTTTAGAATAAAAAATTCTATTATTTTTTGCCTGAAAAATATTTCTTGTAATTTAATTACAATTTTTCTTCTTTAATTAATTTCTAAACGTTAACCATAAACGTTGCGTACTTCAGTATCGTTAATTTTTAAATTCATAAATATTATTTTCTTCGATAAAAATATAAATATTTCCTGACGCTTGTATTACGTATAGTTTACGTATTTATTAAAAAACCAAAAAAAATCAACTTTTGAAAAATGTTACGTAAGTTAAAATAAAGAAAATAAAAAAAATCATTTTTAATTAAAAAAAATTGAATTCTTTTTCCTTAAATTATGATTTTTATCAGCTTTTTTAAATAACAATGTTTATTAGGATGCATCGGAACCACAAATGGAGGATCCCTCAGTGGATGATAATTTAGATTTGGATATGGACTTTTCGAAAACGAAGAAAAAGAAAAAGAGAAAGAAGGATCTCGAGGAACTTATTAACGAAGAGGAGAAAAAGGAAGCTGATGACACTGAAAATGGTAAATATTAAAAAAAAAAGTTATATCTATTTAAAAATGTGGATTACGAAAAGTTTGATATTTTTAAAAATTGTTATTAAAATTTATTTATCACATTTTCGTCATCCACATTTGTTGACTAATTCCTTTTTTTATATATACGATTGTATACTTTTAACATTATTTGTTAACATGCTGCACTGAATCTGAGCGAAGTGCAGAATACGGTAAGATTTATATAATGGTTGCATTATAATTAACGTCACAATAATTATTTGCAGAAAATTGTACAAAAAAATAAATAGTTTTTTGAACAAATTTATTTATATTTAACTAAATTTTAAATCCATTAAATTTATTTCAAAGTGATTAAAATGCAAAAAAAAAAGTAATTGCATTTTTTTATTTTAATTGTTTGTTATAAAAATATTCTTAATATATATATGGTATTAAAGAAAAAGAAATATTAATTTTTCTATAGTGGAAGAAAGCAATCTTTGGGTAGGATCCGACAGAGATTACACATATGATGAACTTCTTTTGCGAGTATTCAATATTATGAGAGAAAAGAATCCTGATATGGTGGCTGGAAAGAAACAGAAATTCGTCATGAGACCACCGCAAGTCGTTCGTATTGGAACGAAAAAAACATCGTTTGCCAACTTTACGGAGGTTTGTTGTTTTCTATTTTTTTTTTACATTGAATTTTTGGCGCGGTATTTTTTTCCCCATATTTAAATGTTATACTTAAAAATTCTGGATGTTAAATTGTATTTTTTTTAACTTTTCCTCAAGGAATACTAATTTTAAACTCTACATTTAAAATTGAACACCGTTAAATTAGAAATTGATAATTTTTTATTTCATTTTTTACATGGAATTTAATTCCTCTAGAATTGTACAATTTAAGAAAATAAACTTAATCAAATTTACCAAATTTAACGGTGTTCAATTTAAAATCTAAAGTTTAAAATTAATATTCCTTGAGAAAAAATTGAAAAAGTACAATTTAGCGTACTGAATTTTGTGTATATGTTTTTCTGTTTGCAAATAATAATATTTTAATATTTAATATAATATTATTATAATATATTTAATATTTTTAAATTAAATGAAAAAAAATCTATTAATTGGAAAATAATTATAATTTTTGAGGAGGAATGTACTATAACAAAAAATAAAGATTTTTTGATATTTTTGAAATATGTTAAAGTTGAATTCATTTTACGTAATTTTCTTTTGCCAATGTCTCATTAATTTTTACGATATTTATCCTGAATTCTTTGCATTTGTGACTAGTGGTAACGTAAATATATTTCAAAATTAGTTTGCTAATTTTATAAAATTGTTTTAAAATATTTTTTTTTTTTTTTTTTTATAAAAACTCGCTTGACTTCAATTTGCGACACATTTCTCCTTAAAAATATTTTTATACAAAAATTTTGTGCTATAAATTAGTGAGTTTCTCTTTTTATTATTATTATTATTATTAATTGTTATCATTGACGATTTTAGATTTGCAAAACCTTACACAGACAGCCGAAACATTTATTAGATTTTTTATTGGCTGAATTGGGAACAAGTGGATCAGTGGACGGTAACAGTCAGCTTATTATAAAAGGTCGTTTTCAACAGAAACAAATAGAAAATGTATTGAGGAGATATATTAAGGAATATGTCACATGTCACACATGTCGTTCTCCTGATACTATTCTACAAAAAGATACTAGACTTTTCTTTCTTCAGTGTGAAACTTGTGGATCTCGATGTTCAGTTGCAAGCATTAAATCTGGATTCCAAGTAAGTTATACAATTTATTATTTTATTTTGATATAAATTGATAAAATTTTATGTATTTTTTTTTTAATTCTTTTTCAGGCTGTCACCGGAAAAAGAGCTGCTATTCGTGCAAAAACTGCCTAAGCATTTTTCTACATTATTCTGTAATACAGAAATTTTTACGGGCATCGAAATTGTTTATAAATTATTATACTTTTATTGTACATCTTAATCGAGTATAATATAACAATATTTGGATGAAATAGAATTTTAAACAAAAAAAAAAATTAATTAATTTACTTTTACTTATTCTAAATTGGAAATAAAAAGAAAATTTATGCTCAATACATCAGTTTTTCAAATTAAAGAAATTATTTTTTATTTTTGAGACGATAAAATTAAAGATGAATGACAATGATGTTGATGAAAAAAACTTTCGTCATAAATTTATCTCTTATAATAAATTTATTAAATAATATATATATATATATATATATATATATATATATATATATATACCAGTGCCAGAATTTTTACAGGAAGAAATTAATAAACAATTGACATCTGAATAGCCAAAAACTTTTATTGTATTTTATACTTAAGTCATTTGAATAATATACTCGTAATACTCTTTAC